TACAAAATAAATTCTAAATAAGGTTGAAACTCAAAATTAATCGTACTGCGAATTTATATTGAAATTGAGCATCTAATTGAAATATACTAAATTCTCAAAAACGAATTAATCTTCGTCAAAAACCGTATAAACCGGTATTACAACCGTATAAAATTATTAGCGCCAATCTTTAAGAAGGGAGATAAAGTTTACTTTCTTCGCTGAAATATTAAAACCAAACAACCAAATAACAAATTTAACTATAAGAAATTAGGACCTTTTAAAATCTTAGAAAAGGTCAATACTAACAATTATAAGCTTAAACTTCCCAAAGGAATACGATAATAGTCTACATTTTATATTTCGCTACTAAAACCAACATCGAAGAATATTAAAATCGATAAAAACGTACGAATATAGAATAATAGTAATAAATTCATTATAAAAGCTATATTAGATTCAAAGGTCAATAATAATAGGAAGATAGAATATTTAATTAAATAGTAAGGCTATAGCTACGAAAATAATATATAGGAATTAATTGAGAACCTCCTTAATTTTAAAAATAAGATTATAAATTTCTACCGACGGTTTCCTAATCGGCCGAAGCCGCTAAACGTTCTAAAGACTCCAAAATTATCATATTTAATTCCTTCAACCAATTAAGCTCCTTAATAAGTTCGGGAATAATAGAAGAAGAAGGCTTATCGGCAGAAATACCTCTAAATATCTCCTCCTCTAAATTTACTATCCCTCGATTGAAATATTCCTTCTAACGGCGAAATAAATAGCACTTCTACTCCCGAATATAAAGCAAACAATTCTAGAAAATTGTAATTTCTTATATTAACCGCTCTTCTTTATCCTCCAATCTCTTCGCTTCCTCTATCTCCTTATCTACTAAAAATCTCTCTATTAGTCGCTATTTTACAAAAATACAAAAGGAAGTAACCTATAACGTGAATCTGGATCGACCGATACGTCGTACGCTATTTTACGACGAATATATTTATTATACAATAAAGACTTCGAACGATCTACAATATAAGACCGGTTATATTAATAATAATTAGAATATAGTATTATAGAAGCTCTATTAAACTATTTAATATAGCGAGCCAACGCATTAATAAATACCCTCTTCTAGGAAGAACGATTCGAAACAACGTACGATACAGGCATAATAGGTAATAACGTAATAACGATAAAAAAAGGAAGGAAAGGTTTACTTACAAATTAGGGTAATACAATTAATAAGAAGGATGAGCCGGGAAGAAAGGGAGACGAAGGGTACGGTAGGCATTAAGGTAGCTACCAATACAACTCGTTGGCACCCAAGCACTAGATTCGGATAAGTAGTATTATAAGGTTATATTGTAGCGTTGAGGATAAAGCCACAAAAGAGGGGCATCGTATTACGATCCAACCAACAAGCTTAAATAGATTAACCAATCAGGAGGGTCCCGGGGTCCCGGGATAACGGGACCACGGGACGGACCCGAGGTCCCGAAATAACGGAACCACGGGACCGGCTGAAAGCCAGTATATAAGAAGGCCTCCCGGCCTTCGTTATCATAGCTCTTCAGCAAGCAATAGCTTCTACAATCGATCAGTACCTTTCAGCTACTACTACCGTTGTCCATCCCAGCGATATACTCTTGTGCTCGTAACGGTTCGTCACACAGCACCTATCTTTGACAGCGGGCATCTTCTCCAAACACCCCCAAGTCCTGCCGAGATAGCGTTCACAGGGCGCTGTGGTAGTGCTGTGGCTGGCGCCTTCCGGCTGCGCAAAGTAGGGCTCTTCTACTCCCTTCCAGTTTGCAGTCACGTCCCGATTTCGATTCCCGGTCCTCAACTCTTTTTTTTGCTCTTTATATTCTTCTTCTATCTTTTTCTATGTTATTCCCCTTCCCGATCTTGATCGACGACGACAGCCACAACTTCACGGACGAAAAAAGACCAAGCTCCTTTCTGCATGTGATGGGCTACCTGGGTGGTGAAGCCCGAGTACTCGCACACTATTTCTCCAAGCATCAGAAAGATCTTAGACAAATTTCCTATTACTCGGCCGCCTGGGACTAGCCCACGGGACAGGAGTTCCTGGACCGCTTAGCTTCTCGCTTCCAGCAGGGCAACATTGTCGCTGTCTCCGAGAAGGCTATAGCACAGTTGAAGAAGAAGCACGGTATCAGCGCTACATTTTCGAATTTAAGATTCCAATCCACGTACCGTGTCGATACCTGTCATGGACCTAGAGTCCGGACTCGCTCATTAAGAAGGTCTTAACATACCTACTAGGTATATAAGACAGCGACATGCCTTCGGAGGGAGTTGGCAACGTCAACCTTATCAGCTCTCCTGCCACGATATCAACTGGGATGTAGGGATAACATAGGATTTGAAGGACATACCAAATATTATACAAAGGAAGGAAGGATTGATAAAAGTCGGTACGAAAAGGCTTTATTCCAGCTCTCTTTACAGATGTTAGATGGTGCAAAAGCGGATCATCAGGGGCCATAAAGCTGCGCAGGATCGACAACACTAAATGCTAGGTTCCGTGTCGTGCTGTAATGTTTGAAAAAGAGAAAAAGAATGGGATTTAATTATTGAATTAGAATCGAAAGGTATGAGGCCTTGAGTTAAGTAGGATAAATATTTTGGAGTAGAAGGATGAGGGAGCGTTTTCTGTCGGCAAGGATGATAAGGTGCTTTGTGCTGTACTTGAATTCCCATGTCCTGCAGTGCGCGCCGGTTACTTCAGGGAGGTGCTCAAACGCGCCTCGGCAGAGAAAGCTTTGGAAAATCTCCATTGAATCTTTGGGACACGTAGTTAACTTTAGAAGGGCTGAATGACAAAGCTCTCAAAGCGAAGAAATGGAGATCCTAGCCGCAGCGGGAACGGCTGCATTTTCCTATTTTGTACCCCTATTGTTCTATTCCACTAGAAAGCTTCCAACATGTCAAAGCGCAAAGGGCATACGATGCCAGATCGCCTAACCACCAAAAGATTGAAAAATGTTCTATTCACTAGACAGAACATTGGATGCACGCTTATATGGCGATTGTCACAGTTGAGCAAACCTTGTAATACAACACTAGTGCAACCTCCTGTGTCATATAGCGAGTCGCAGAGGCCAACCGGGAACTCTCTAAGGTCATAACATTATGGGAAATAGCGACAATAAGAAGTTAACTCACTTATACTCAAGTAAAAAGGGGCAAAAAAAGAGTGGGGAACCGGGAGTCAAACTCGGGACGTGACTGCAAACTGGAAGGGAGTAGAAGAGCCCTACTTTGCGCAGCCGGAAGGCGCCAGCTACAGCACTACTACAGTGCCCCACGAACCTATGTCCATTTTTCCTATAGGTGCTTTGTCCCAGCTTAGTAGGCCCACTGTAGCCCCACGTAGATACGCAACCTACGCACCACGCCGCTCGACCACCGGTCCGTTGGATGTGTTGAATACCCAGTCTGAACTTGCGGTCTATTAGCTCCCTCAGAAGACCCGCATGTCGCTATCTTATATGGTGATATGTCTGCAATTGACATTTTATTAACACTCAGCTTACCGATCCCGAGGAGGCATCGTTCCCGAGTGCACTTGTGGATAGTGAGAACCATTCACTCGTCGGTCGGCGTCGACTTCAATTTGTCCCTGAATGTAACTTTCCCGTGCGCACTATTATAATCCTTATCACCAACTCTACGTATAAGCCCAGCTGCGCTATACAGTTGATATTTCGAGACCTTCCCATCGCGCGAGTTTAACTACTGGGTTCAAGATGTGACGGGGCGGTAATGCATTTGACCGCCGAGCCAAACCTTTCCAAAAGGAAGGACGATGTTCGCTTGCCAACGAACATTGGAATGCATTACTATATAGGCCAGGACAACCATGTCACGTCTAAGGATTTACCTTGTGACAATGACAAGTACCGACACGGTGTCCCAGCACCACATGTCAATTGTCATGGCACCGAACCTATGGCATTCTGCCACCGCAAGGCTACAGTCCCGAGTCAGACAATCTCCATGAAGGCGGCTAGCTGAAGTGGGATCTTGGTTGATGTTGGCGATGTGAAAGCTTGAAGGCGTTGTAAAGAAGCTTTGTTTTGAGCGCTAGTCATTGTTGTAAGGTGCTATTTCTGTCGCAACGAAGGACACACAGCATGGAAGAGAGGTCTTCTTGAACAGATAGTGCAAAACGAAGAAGTATTCGGTCACGACCGGCACGTTCAAGAATCTCTTCTCGCATCGCTACGTAGCTCGGAATAAAGCCACTGTCAAGTTACCAGAAGACAAATAGACAGACGGAACTAATATTCGAATCACACAAGGTGAGAAGAGGAGTACCCGTTCCGTTGGAGAGAAGGAAGACAGACAGAATTGGGTGGGTTTAATAACTATTAATCTAGCCGCCTCCTTCCCCATCGGGTGACCGGCAGAAAAACGTGTAGAAAGAGCTAAAAAGAAAAAAAAAAAGAATTGAGGACCAGGAATCGAACTCGGGACGTGACTGCAAACTGGAAGGGAGTAGAAGAGCCCTATTTGACACAGCCGGAAGGCGCCAGCTACAGCACTACTACAGGCTACGGAACCCAGCACTACCAATTCCAGGCCTGTTTCCAGGCCTGTCCGAGGCGTCCGTACCAGGGAGTCGTCCTCGCTCCACCGTCCCGCCTGTAGCCCCGCGAGTTACGCCCTTTGCGCAACCCACCGCTCGACCACTGGACCAATTTTGTTTGTTGAGATCTTGGACAGAACTCTCGACTTATTAACCCCCTAGCACGTGCGGTCGCTCTCACAGCAGTCACAACGAACATTCAATGTCCACCATAAACAAGACATACCTTCCCAACACGACCTTTCCCTTTTTTTCTCTCTACCAAACCAACTGAACCATGGCATTTCCCTTCAAATTACCGCGCCTATGACTCTGCACAACCCAACATTTTTGCACCTTCCGATTATACATCACTTTCCAATTCCATCAGCCCTTCACTTCTCACCACTACCTACGTATCCTTGTACTCCACCGTCTCGACCTCAGTCTCCATCTTTCCATCCTTGCTGCCGCTACTACTACTACTCGCCTTCTTCTTTTGTCCAGAGCCAGATGCGTCCTTGCTCTGGGACGCCGATGAGGAGGAATTCTTCTTCTCCTTCTTTTTCTTCTTCCAGTTCCCGGGCCACATCATAGCGTAAACTTTGGCCTGGTCTTCCATGGGTAGCCAGAAGAAGATGTTGCTCATTTTTGGAGAGGCTCAAGGGTATTTTACAGTGCTGTGTGGTAAGCGTTGGGTTTGGCTTTAATATAGTCTTGCGTCTATGGTTGGCACTTGGTGATGATGGAGTCGGTCTGTTGGAGGAAAAACCGGGGATTTGGTAATGACTGACTTTATGCAATTGTATGGAACGTGGGAAGTTGTGGCTAACGGTTTGGGAAAAAGGAGAGCACGGGTATACATTGCGAAAGAGGTTGGAAATGTCTTTATGGCCTGAAATGGGAAATTTGACGTTGTTTTTGACATAATTCTGGGGCTGTCGTGAATCAGGGGTATGCATGCTCGGAAGCGATTCCCCCCGGTGATCTGCGTTAGGGGTGCTGGTCTTGGCGTGGTATGGCTCCATCGACAAGGATACATTACATTGCACCACTCCACTGTATCATTCCGGCTCACGATACGTCTATATACTTACACAATGCACAATTCTTGTACTCCCCAAGAGGAAAGTAGGTATTCATTCGCGCTAAAACCCATGTTTAGGTCTTTTATACAACGATCGACAAACGGAGCACTCCAATCCCTAAAAAACGCCCATGATGCACAACACCGACCAGCAACACTCAACCACCCATTCCTTCTTGTCCAACTTGAAAGCACGTGTAAAGTAGAGTGTGCTTTGGCCCTCTCCGTCCATGTCCTCTCTCTGTCGCACTTTTCCACCAGTTCTTCCCAACACATGAGACATGACATCAGCATTCTCCACTGCCACATCAATCCAACACAGCAACACTCCAGCGTCTTTTCGGTGCTTGGCACATCTTCAGCTCGGCGATCGGTGCTCCACTCCGACGAACTTCAAGGGGTCAATGATTGTGTCGCCTTGCTTTTTCGGGCGCTGGGATATTGGCTGAAAGTGGCTAGCTGACACGCATCACCGCCTTTTGTGACATTCGCGGTGGCCATATAAGATCGGGGATTTTCCCCTTTGATTGTGCGACGACGACATATACGGTATATACCAGTGACTGCGGTAAAGATGGGCGAAAAAGGCATCATCGAACATCCTGAACTCCTCAAGCTTGGGGAGCCTCTTCCTCCTGGAAATCCCCATGTAAGTCGCTCGCAAGTCAACTCGCTTCTATTTATTGAACAAACTGACCATTTTTTTACACAGGGAATAAGCGTCCACCTCCCAACATGGGAAGACACACTCGGCTGGGCAAAGCGAGACCCCCGCGTAGTAGACACCATGAAAACAGGCTACCCGCGCTTCTTCATCCCGCGAGTAATCGAACGCCTAGCCGACCGTCTTCTCGAGCACTTCACCCGCAAAGACAAGCATGCCTTGATCGTTTCGACAGGCCACCACGCGCTCATGTGTCGCCAATTCTTCCGCCAGAAGGTCGACCCCAATTCCTCGAAAGTCACCTTCCCCATCCTCATCGCCCACTGGGACGGCACCATCACTCCTGTTCGCGAGCATGAACATCTACCGATTACAATAAAAGCTCAACCACTACCACCCCTCGGCCAAGAAGACATCTTCCTCGTTCCCTACCCCGTCGACATGTTTCCCTCTGCTAAATCCTTCTGGCAACACACCGGCTTTGGCATCTCCAGTCGACGCGCGACTTACTGGATGGAATGCGCCCCTTTTTTTCAGTCCACTCCCCCCACCAGTTCAGACCACCTACCTGAACCTCCAACCCCAATTACCTTCGACGAAACCACCACTACCGCCGCCCTCTCCTTACTCCGCACCCACCTCGCAAAAAGCTACTCCACCCCCTTTTTGCCCGTCTCCCCCTCCGACATCTTTCTCTACCCTACAGGCATGTCCTCTATAGCCGCCCTCTCCACCGCTATCAAATCCCTTGTTTTGTCCACCCCCAGTTCCACCCCCAACCCCTCAGATCCCCCCCGTATCCCCTCCGTAGCTCTCTTCGGCTTCCTCTACGTCGACACCCTCAAACTCCTCTCCTCCCTCCTCGGCTTCTCTCTGCACCTCTTTCCCTACTCAACACCCCTTTCCTCCCTTTCGGAGTCCCTGGAGGGCGACCTGCAAATCGATCTATTGGTGACAGAATTCCCCGGGAATCCACTGATGCAATCACCTGATGTTTCTGGTCTTTATAAGCTTTCGAGACGATATGGGTTCGCATTGGTGGTGGATGATACTGTTGGAGGTACGGGAGCGAACGTGAATGTTTTGGGGAAATGTGATGCTGTGGTGAGCAGTATGACGAAGATGGTGAGTGGGGGGTGTGATGTTATGGGGGGGTGTCTGGTTTTGAATCCGCGGGCGGAAGGGGGGAGGTATAAGGTTTTGAAGGAGATGTTGGAGGGGGGGGATACAAATGGGGGGATGGAAGGGATAGGAGCTGGGGGAGAGAAGAAGAGAGATTCGGGGTATGCGGCTGGTCTGAACGGCGAGATAGAAGGGGTTAGGGGAAAGAGAGAGATAAAGGGTGAAATTACCCCCAAGGTACAAGGGGCGCAAAGAACAGAGGAGGCAAGGAGTGAAATTACCCCCAAGGAACAAGGGGCCCAAAGAAGGGAGGAAGAACGAGCTTGGTTCCTAGCCGATATCGCAGTCATGGAACGAAACAGTCGAAATTTCGTCCACCGCGTACGCAAAGCTAGCGCCAATGCCGAATGGCTAGTACACAACTTACTTCGACCACATACCAGCGTGCAAGAAGTCTATTATCCCAAAGGGTCACCGACAGAAGATATCTACGAGCAGTTTCGGGTCAAACCTACCGATGACTACGAGCAGTTTCGGGTCAAACCTACCGATGAGAGTCCAGAAGAAGAAGGCGGGTATGGCTTCCTAGTCTCCATCAAATTCCTGACCCCCGCCAAGGCCAGAGCATTCTATGACGCCATGGCGGTGGCCAAGGGGCCGAGTTTGGGAACGAACTTTACGCTGTGTTGCGCGTATACGCTGTTAGCGCATTATCGAGAGCTGGAGTGGGCAGCCGAGTTCGGGGTGGTGGAGGATCTGGTGAGGATTAGTGTCGGGCTGGAGGACAAGGAGTGGTTGGGAGAGAGGGTGAGCAGGGCATTGAAGGCGGCTGGGGAGTGTGACGAGTGATGGTTGAAGAGGGAGGCCTGCAGGAGATGAAAGGGAAGGTTGATGCTTAGTAAGACTGTACTTGACGTTGACTGGCGTGTGATTGGGACTGTGGACTACTGGATGGATTAATAACAGATACCCTCTATTACCCTTGATACGGGCCTTTCGAGTAAGGCATTGTCCCTTTCGTCCATAATCATATTGTTGAAGTATCTAATCAGGGATCAGGTACTTCGGGGATTCAGCCCGGTATCTAATCCCTCCGGGGGATCAGATACTTCGGGAGGAAAATCCGAACCAACCACGTATAAACTAGTATTTAAAGTTCCCGCCCATCTTTCCAATCCTGAGTTGAAGGGTTAAGCAATAAGAAAAATCATTTTCCACAATCACTTTTCTTTGACACATATCCCCTATGCATACCCTCTCCGGTCCTCGTCAGAACAGTGTACCGAACAGTAACCTTACCTCAGTACGAGGACGGCATAACCGACAACCGCCCACCATCGTTAACAAGAATCAGACCATTGCAGAAGCTTCCGGCACGGCTTGCCAGATACAGGACGGTTCCAGCCATCTCTTCCTCGCCACCAAACTTCCTAACCGGGATGAAATGCGGGCTTTCGAACGACTCGGTCCCAGGATCACGGTTACCGATAAGTCCGGCGGCGAGCTCGGAAGGGAACACTGTAATTTTGTTAACGTCGGCCAATATGCGGAGAGACCGCAACTTACACCCCGGAGCCAACGCATTCGCCCGAATGCCATAGGGAGCCAAGGCAGAACTGGCTTGCTTGGTTAAATAGATCATCGCAGCCTTGCTACTTCCATATGCCGGCGTCGATACCGTTTTCCGACTGAATCCCGCAATACTAGCCGTCACGATGATCTGGCTTTGAACAGACGGGACATTACTCCCGGCTACCACCGGCTTGCCAAACCCTCCCTTTTCAACAGCGTTCTTGTTGCCCGCCTCCAGCAGCTCAAGGAAGGCGACCATCGAAAAGAATGCGCCAGTGACGTTGGTGTGAAGGGCACTGGTCATCTCCTCCATCTGGTAGTTGGTGAACAGGTTCTTGCGGACTTCGGAGAGAGGGAGGCTGGTGTCCCACTTGTTGGCAGGACCCAGGACGCCCGAGTTGGCGACGAAGAGATTGATGTAGCCGACATCGTTCGTGATCTTGTCGACGCACTTTTGGAGGGCGTCCTTATCAGTGACATCGCAGATGATGGCGACGATGATGCCTCCCTCGGGGTTAGCTCGGACGGCGGCGGAAAGGACATCGGCACGACGACCGAGGATGTAGACTCGCTTAGCACCATTGGCGGCAAGGGCTCTGGCCATCATAAGGCCAATGCCTAGGAAATGGAATGGTTAGCCAATGGACGAAGGCGAACGTCAAAGAGGTTCACCTGTTCCGCCTCCGGTGATGACTGCAACGATGCCGTTGACATTGAACAAGTTGTTCACGGCGAGGTTTGACATGGGGGTTCCGGAAGTCATTTTGACGGTAGATCTTGGTGAATTCGATACAGAAGATGTCCTTGGAGATCTGTCTTTTGAGTCGATGTTGTTTGTTCTGTCACCGTCGAGTTCAAAGTCGCATTTCAGTTCACCAAACAATCGATGATGTTGTGTGGATGGAGGTTTGAGAGCTTAAGCAGCTCATGAATGGTTGTGAACGGATTCCAAGTCAACTGTTCCAGTTCCCAGTTTATGTAGCTTGCAGTGGCTGCTCTTTATAGCGCGATGCATTTAAGCTTCTTTTCTTGGTGGTGCACATGCACTTCGTGTTCGGATTTATTGGCCAATCTCCATCATCTCCTGCTTCTGTCGCAGATATCGGAAGTTTTGGGGGATCGCCGAAATGTTATGTAGGACAGGCCGGCAGTTGAACAGCGACCGATGTCCAGGCCTGGTTGGTCGTGTTAAAGCCACCATCAATGCATGCCAGGTGACAGTAAATGGCGATCGTGTTGGCTTAGCAGCGGCCAATCAACATTGTCAGAGTTTTGGTATATGGGGGCAAGTTGGTGAGGAGAATGTTGAAGAGTCGGGAATAAGGACTTTGGGAATTGCTTGACTGGCATCTTAGTTGGAGAAAGGAAGAATGGATGGCCAGCCCAGGTTTGAATACTACCACGATGGAACTTCAAGGCGGGGGGGGCTCTTTTCAGACATCGATATCCAATACTCATCACCATGTTCGCTCAGATTGGGGAAAAAGAAGTCCATTGACAAGGAACGATGAACGGAAAGTGAGTCCTTGATATTCGTGTCAGTGGGAATAAGCATCGCTTGACGCTTGGACCAAGCGGCAATCCTGAACAGTGACCTGAAGCCATTACCATGCCTCGAAACCGCCATTGGTGGAATACCATTTAAAAAAGAAAAATCCACGATATGAATGACAGCGGTCACAACGTTGACATAAACAGAAAAAAGTGCAAAAAGAAAGGCGTGTTTAAACGCCGGGAATTGAGCCCGACGTGGGGGTCGAACCCACAACCTTGAGATTAAGAGTCTCACGCTCTACCGATTGAGCTAGCCGGGCAGCCAAAGCTGCCGTTTGTTGAAAGAACTGAACGGAACTGGCGCTCAAGAGCCCAACCGACTTGCGTTGCGCTGGTCAACAATCAAAAGAACACAGCGCGCTGATTGAAGATACATCCGTCAAGCAGGTCGCCTGCAGCATCAAGATCCCGAGTGAGCGAGTTTACTGTTGGTACACTTGCTGATTGAGGAATGCGCGATGATGGGTGCAAAAGATGAGCGACAAGCAGACGGGTGATGGTGGCAGTGGCACTGCGCCAACATGTCCGGTCGGGGGTCAGAGCTCCAGAACTACCGGGTAACCAACTACCGGGTAGGCTGAACAGGACGGGATTAGGGAGGCATTGCAACATGCGCGTTGAAGAGAAGAAGATAAAAGATGATAGCTACTAATGAAGTGATGCTGGGCTAGTGAATCGGGAATTGTTGGAGTCTCGCATCAGTCAATCATTCCGAACGGCGTTGCTGGCGGTGAGATGCAATGGTGAAGCTGCGGGGAGGCGGGAGACGGGAGACAATGACATGCTTTGTTCAACGAGACACCCCAGGGAGATGGCGCGGGGTCAAGACCACTAATACGGGTTAGGGTTGTGTATGGCTGACTCTGCGGCCTCCAAGATTTTCCGCCAGCTGTCATTGGCCAGATACACACACTCACGGATTGGAAGGGTCCACATGTCCGATTCGCGGGGCCGGGCCGCGTCTGGAATTTGGGAAATTGTGAGTCAAAGCCCCACCATGCCTGTGCCAGACGGAGACTCCAGTACGGCGCCGCACCCCCCCGGAGTTTGACCACTGAACCGTCAGCTCCAAGCCCCCCAAGATCCGCTTGCCGCTCCGATCGAGTCCGTCCGGTTTTGTTTCCCTACACACACACACACATCCACACATGATGGCGCCCCCAACAAACACCACCGCGTCCTCCGAGGACCTCGCGACCGACATCCTCGCTGCCCTCGACAAGTCGCAGCCCCTCCTCTCCAGCGATGCCTTCCCCAGCGCCACCTTTGTCGACCTCAAGGCCGCCCTCGACAGGCTGGCGTCGCGCGAGATGGTAAAATACGAGACCATCGAGCGCCAGGAAGCCCTCCTCGAACCCGAAGCCGAACAGATCGCCGCCAATGGCTCCCACGAGGCCCGCGTCTTCGAGGCCCTGCGCAAGGCCGTCGAGGGCCTATCGGTCAAGGAGCTGGAGGAGGCCATCGGCGACAAGAACGTGGTCAAGATCGGCCAGGGCAAGGCCTTCAAGGAGAAGTGGATCAGCAAGACCAAGGACGGCAAGTTCACGGCCGTCGCCGACAAGATCAACGACACCACCCAGGAGCAGATCAAGACGGTCCAGCAGACCAAGACACACCCCGACCCCAAGATCCTCGCCGACCTCAAGAAGCGCAAGCTCATCCGCACACAAAACATCTTCTCCTTCAAGATCCACAAGGGCCCCAAGTTCGCCCTCAGGATCCCCGAGGAGGCCACCGACCTGACCGCCGACATGATCGCCTCGGGCGCCTGGAAGACGGCCACCTTCAAGCCCTACAACTTCAAGGCCCTCGGCGCCACCCAGAACGGCGGCGCTCTGCACCCGCTCAACAAGGTGCGCCAGGAGCTGCGCAACATCTTCTTCGAGATGGGCTTCGAGGAGATGCCCACCGACAAGTTCGTCGAGTCCGGCTTCTGGAACTTCGACGCCCTCTTCGTGCCCCAGCAGCACCCTGCCCGCGACCTTCAAGACACCTTCTACATCTCCGACCCCAAGGCTGCCGACTTCCCGCGCGCCGACTCGCCCGACGACACAAAAGACTACCAAGCCTACTGGGACAACGTCAAGGCCGTGCACCAGGACGGCAAGTATGGCTCCATCGGCTACCGCTACCCCTGGTCCGGCGACGAGTCGCTCCGCCTCGTCCTGCGCACACACACCACCGCCATCAGCGCAAACATGCTGCACAAGCTGGCCGCCACCAAGGGCCCCGACGGCAGGCCTCTCCCGGCCCGCTACTTCTCCATCGATCGCGTCTTCCGTAACGAGACCGTTGATGCCACACATTTGGCCGAGTTCCACCAGGTCGAGGGTGTCATTGCCGACTACGGCCTGACCCTCGGTGGTCTGATGGAGTTCATGGAGATCTTCTTCGGCAAGATGGGTCTGCATGATTTGCAGTTCAAGCCCGCTTACAACCCTTATACCGAGCCTTCGATGGAGATTTTCGCTTACCGTGAGTGGCGCCATTTTATTGTGGTTAGAGAAACCGAAAGACTGACATACAAACAAAAAAACAGACAAGGGCCTCGGCAAGCTCGTCGAGATCGGAAACAGCGGCATGTTCCGCGCCGAAATGCTGGAGTCTATGGGTCTTCCGTACGTTCATCCCCTTACCTCTCTTCTCTCACTTTCCATATCCTCGCAAACTCATACTAACACCCCCACAGCAAGGACATGCGCGTCTTCGGCTGGGGTCTCTCCCTCGAGCGCCCCACCATGATCAAGTACGGCATCTCCAACATTCGCGAGCTGCTGGGTCACAAGGTGGATTTGGAGTTTGTCCAGGGTAGCCCGGCTGTTTTGCTTGGCCAGGAGTAGTAGATGTGGTCAAGACGAAACAAAAAAACAAAAGAGTTAATGAATGAAAGAAAGCGTACTAGACGATGATACCGAATACAAAAAAGGAGTTTGATGTTCAGGTTGGGATTTTTGGTTTTCTGGCAGTAAGGAGAGTGATGTCGTTGTTGATGTTGTGGCTTTGATGATATGGTTGGATAAACCATGGAGTTTGCAGTTTGCATCAGGCGTCGGGTATTCGACCCGTTGGGGCGTTCGGGACAATCAGGAGCTGGTGGAGGTCCCAATCTGTGAGCAACACCAAAGACAGGTACCGGATAAACCGCCCGCAATCATCCCATCTCCATCCCTCTTAATCCCATCTCATTCGGCTAGTTCCCGTCACGAACACCCCCTTCCTTCCCCTTCTCCTCAGAGTCTTCAAACTTCTGGCAATCTGTCTTGTCCCTCATAAAAAAGGTGAGACCTTTCGGGTATTATATGGGCGATCAGCGCAACTTAATGTACCAGCTTTTGTACCATCGGCGAGCCTGTCTCTACCAGTACACTACAACAGCCTTTCTCAGCTTTACCTCGTCCCACCAGCTTTGCAAGGACTCAATGAAATAGCTCAAGTCTCGACGTCACGTTATAGATCTTCCACCTCAACAATTAAGCTATCTATTTAATTTTAGCTCCTAGCTCCCCAAGTCCATTGCCAACCCAGACAAGCCAAATCAGCCGGACCGGCTCGCTTCGATCGGTTCGGTTCGGTTCGGATCTGTTGCGGGCTTGACTCAATTTCAAAACATCTCGAAAGCAGCTTGCCAAATGGCTAAGTAGACGAAAACACCTATTCCACACATAAAGACGGCATAAAGTTTACATCCTCACAAGGCCAGCATTTGTCCAAGACCGCGGCTCGAACCGATCATCAATGCGCACGGCCTCCACTCCATTGAGAATTGAGAATAGAGAAAGCGCACGGCCTGGATTGAAAAAGGGCACAGGCCTATCTCATGGACTAGGCACCCTTGCTAAAAATGCGAGCCTAGGGGTCAGAAAAAGAGGGTCCACGATGGACTGCAAGCAACTGAAGTAACGAACTGAAGTAAGTAAACAAACCCCCTTTTCGCTGCATCGACGGCGGCTTGGCGTCGCTGTTTAATCCAACGTCGTTCAGTTCTTGCTGGGTCGTTGGACTCGTTTTTGTCAACTTTGACGTTGCGACACAACAAATTCTTCGACCCATAACAGTCAGTAGGAAAGCCTGTAAATATCTCACTTCGGGGCTAATGTTAGGAATATGACAGCAGATGTCATCAGACTTGGGGAACATGCCAAACCTTCACCAGCACTCCTTTCAGTCTCATAGTACAAACCGGCCGTCGTCCATCGCGCTCAATGTCCGCTGTCAGACTCTTCAAGATTATATCCTGATTTTAGACCTACTTACCCCCTCCGGAGTTCTGCCCATCCGAACGCTCAACTCGCCACCCGTCTCAACTTTCTCCGTACTCCTGACACAAACAACTACGGACTTCCCTGTTTTTCTTCCCCCCCAACTCCCAACTCTAGACAAAAACCAATGTTTTCTTTCTGTTTGCAGACTCCCCGAGTCAAAACCACCCCTTCGTCAGAATTTCGAGTTTCATCCCGGCCTATCCTGGTTTCTTCTCCATCGGAGAAGTACCAGAAGACCTACAGGACGAAAGGAGGGAACCGAAAGAAACACGGACCGCCGGGTGATCTAGCAGTTACAAGCGACCACGAAGAAAAAGTTTTCCATACTACCATAGTGGCTAATGTCGATCCGACACCACTTTGAAAACACAGCCATGACACAACCAACAGGACAGCCATGATTCCAGGAGTCATGTATCGAAAAATCTTTTCAACCGAAACATTTCTCTGGATGGTTTCACAACTCAACAACAACTGACATCTGATAGCTCCCTTCGAGCTGCTTCGAAACTGTCATGGTTCGAGACGTGGAGATTCGGCCATCGTAGTAGCAGGTCCTGCCCTACTGGGTAACCGACCATTCCGTTTTGCGCCTCCTTCACAGCCCCTCACGGACCCACGGATGTCAAACACTGGTTTTCTCTGACTCCGGATACCGAACGCCAGATAGCGACGAGTATGAGTTTGGGTTTATATAACCACCGTTTACTCTCTGATTTGGAGGGGAGTTTCTTCTCCTCTGTAGCAGCATCGGCAGCAGCAACAACAACAAGGACACGTTTTTCTTGTCTCCGTTCGTCTTCCTTTGAACATCAACAGAGTCGAGTCTGGTACTCCTTGACTTCTTTTCTTCTTCCGCTGCCGGTTATCAGCATCATCGCTTACCACCTTTTATCATTTACCTTTTTCGACCATACCTCCAACGCTCTTATCTGCCGGCCAGTAACTTTCACAACTTGTGTCTTTGCAACAACATTCCAAAGACCCAAACTTACCTTACCCAATTTACTCCTACGACTGATCCACACAACAACCCAACAACACCCACTCCGACGTCAACATGAAGTTCTCTTCGTTCTTCCTTTTTACCTCGGCTCTCTCCGCCTACGCGGCCCCGACCGGCTTTGCCCCCGGCGATTCCAATTCTCTGGCGGCCCGCCACCCTGACTCCCCCGGCGTCATCGCTTCTCCTTCACCCACCATCCGGGCCGGCGCTCGCCGCTCCGTTCCCCTCCGTCGCGATCCCAGGGCCGTGGTCTTTGATGATGGTAGCAATCTCGAGCCGAGTGTAATCGGCAAGAGAAAACATCGTAGCGGTGCCGCTGGCAGCGCTGCTAGTACTACTGCTAGTACTACTGCTAGTAGTAGTGGAAATACCGCTAGCAGTGGTGCTACAGCTGGTGGTGCTACGGCCGGTGGTGCTACTAAGGGAGGTGCTACTAAGGGAGGTGCTGATAAGGGAGGTGCTGATAAGGGAGGTGCTGATAAGGGAGGTGCTTCTAAGGGTGGTGCCGCTGCGGGTGGTGGTGCTACTGCTGCTGGCGGTGGAGGTGCTGCTGCTGGTGGAGGTGCCGCTGCGGGTGGTGGTGCTACTGCTGGCGGTGCTACTGCAGGTGGAGGTGCTGCTACTAAGGGTGGTGCTTCGAAGGGAGGTGATTCCAAAGGTGGTGCTTCTAAGGGTGGCGCCGCTGCTGGTGGAGGTGGTGCCGCAGCTGGTGGTGCTACTGCTGGCGCAGGTGCTGCTTCCAAGGGTGGTGCTTCTACGGGTGGTGCCGCTGCTGGTGGAGGTGGTGCTAAGGGAGGTGCTTCAAAGGGAGGTGCCGCCGCCGGCGCCGCTTCCGGTAAGGGAGGTGCCTCTGGTGGTTCCGCTGCTGGTGGAGGTGCTGCAGCTGGTGGTGCTACTGCTGGTGGAGGTGCTGCTACTAAGGGTGGTGCTACTAAGGGTGGTGCTACTAAGGGTGGTGCTTCCAAGGGTGGTGCTACTGCTGGTGGAGGTGCTGCAGCTGGTGGTGCTACTGCTGGTGGAGGTGCTGCTACTAAGGGTGGTGCTACTAAGGGTGGTGCTTCCAAGGGTGGTGCCGCTGCTGGTGGAGGTGCTGCAGCTGGTGGTGCTACTGCTGGTGGAGGTGCTGCTACTAATGGTGGTGCTTCCAAGGGTGGTGCCGCTGCTGGTGGAGGTGCTGCAGCTGGCGGTGCCGCTGCTGGTGGAGGTGGCGGTGATAGTTCTTCTAAGGGTGGTGCTTCGAAGGGAGGTGCCGCAGCTGGCGGTGGTGCCTCTGGTTCCGCTGGTGCTCCCTAAAGCGGCGCCACGCAAACTCATTCGTCTCCTCCAGGCGGCGGTTCTCCTTGCGATGTCGGAGTTGAGTTTGAGGCCGAAGCCATTGGCAGTCTCGAAGATGAGGAAGATTGTGCCTCGCACGGAACCGAATTGAGCAGGATCGGTTATTTGCTGGTGAGGTAGACGAATAGACACAGAAATCGAGGATGGATACTAGCATGGATGACCAGTTAGCTTTGTTCGGCTTTGGCTGTTCTTTTCACAGCCTTGTTATCATGATTGGGCACAAGGAGTTGGGGACTTGTTGGATGTGTTTTGGAATTTGAAGCGATACCCACGGTCGTTATTTTTTAGGGTAGTGAATATCGAGAACGGAAGTAGTCGAGACATTCGCTCCTTGCAGCTGCAGTAGATAGAAAGGAAAACATTGTCGCAAAGCGTTCCGACAACAGGAAAGTGACGTGCGCCAATGAAGCATTTCGTAGTCGTGCCAATAGATAGTAGGTTGATAAACTAGAGAGCGTGCGTGTGTTTGAGTGGTTCGACGGGGTGGGTGATGATGTAGAAACTCGGCACAAAAAGGAAGAAGTTAAGTTGTTGGTCATTCCAAGAAATGGTGTTTGACTTTGGGTTGGGACCACCGCCTTCACCAAGAAGAAGCAACGGGTGAGGGCGAGCATGTCTTTGACGTCCGAGTCAACGAATGCCAAGCAAACACTGTTCCTGACAGAAGATGCAGGTACGGCCCGCAGCCCCCCCACCAAGTCTCTCGCGCCTCAAAGGGTTGGAGCGACCGACACAAGAGGCAATGAAGCAAGCAAATAGAGAAAGCACAATTTGTTCGTAAGAAGGTTGAAATCAATCGATGATTGGCATTCTTCATAGAAATGAAACTCAAAGAAGCAAAAAAGGCAAAAAAAAAAAAAAAAAAAGAAATTAGAGCCTAACGGGATTCGAATGCGGGACGCACCACTTTCAAGGTGGACGTGAACAACTGGAAAGGAGTAGAAGAGCCTTATTTATTGCGTAACCGGAAGACGCCAGCTGTAAATTGCGGCTGCCAAACCTAACTTACTATCCCAACGGTGGTCATTTGGACCAAGCAGGCGCCGTTGTCGTCTCTAAGGGGTAAGTTACGTCGGACAGCCCCCGCATTCGTCGGAACCCTAGTAGCCCACGAGCAGCAGTAACGCTTGCGCACCACGCCGCTCGGCCACCGGCCCATGAAAGTTTGTGTTGCAAGTAACCACTCAACCTTTAACTTATAAACCAACCACACCATGGGCAATAGTAAGTAGACACCACCGTCTTATGCGTCACTTACTCTCTGTCTGCAATGCAAAGCTCACGCATGCATCAAACCCATCTATACACCACCACAACTTTGCACTCCTATTCCCCCTGTTTGACAGATGTCATCTGCTCAGTCCCTCTTCTTTCAACTTTGTCACAAACACGTTCAGCAAAAGTTAGCCGTCTCACAAACGGCCACCCATTCACTCAATACCGGCGTTGCTGGCACCAGTTTTCGCTAGAGGTATCTTAGCAGAGCTTTCGATTCTCAGCTATCTCTAGGTCGTTCCAGTCATACACATGTCTAGATCAACTATCATAGCATTACTCTTGGCCCAAGCCTAAAGGGTGTCTACAAGCCCACAAAGACTCAAACCACGATGAGCGAAAGCTATACAGTATATTCAGGCCAAGGTATCATGAACAATCAAGGCAATAACGACAAATCCAACCACTATCCCAACTTCCGAAATGCTGGAAAGGTCGTCCATCCAACGGTTTCTGCAGACATCATACCCCCTCTCCCTGTTTAGCGCCACGAGTTTCAACCAGATTCTGCCTTGTTCTCAATAACCAAACGAAACTGCTTCAAGATATCCACCTTGACATCCTCGCGCAGCTCCCTCTTGAGTCCCTCCTCCATCTCACCCAAGAGTTGAATGTCAACTTCTAGTTGAGTGAGGCCATCATCGCCAGGAACATCTAAAGCCGCCACCTCCTCTCCTGCTGCACTGACCTGTTCCTTCTCTGCAGCTGTCGTATCCTTTGTCGCACCTGAAGTGTCCTCTGCCGCACTTGCAATGTACGCTACTACAGGAATTGTGTCCGCCGCTGCAGCCATCTTCTTCACGGTGGCTACGGCCACTGTATCACCCGTGTAGCCCGACTCAGGGGACAGAAGGGTGGAAGTGGAGGCTAGACCGCCTGCAGCTTTTTCGCTCAGGGCTGAGCTTGGGAAAGGAGGATAGTCTCTACCAAGATGAGCATGGCGAGAGGGTTGACAATGCCTATTATGATGATGAAAGGACGAGGACATAGTTCGTCGGGTTTCTTCCTCTAGGTCCTGTTGAAGCGGTAGAAAGACAGCCGCAGGCATGGACGCAATGCTTCTTCTATTTCTGTCGACCGTGATAATATTACAGTGACGGGGATTTCTAAGGATCTGCTTTGCAGCCTTGTCGGCGGTATCGTTATCGACAACACCGGCGTGTCCAGGAACCCAGAATAGGTCGAGCTTTACGTCGAGACCGGGAATACAGCCAAGTTCATGCGACTGCTCGCAGACAAGTCGAATGGCCTTTCGATAAGTCTCCTGACGGAAGCCTTTTATGGCCGCACGTCCATCGATGTGTTCAAGTACTTGATTTCCATCCGTGAACACCTTCACCGTCGCCGCTCTGGTGTACTTTGAGGCCAGATGTGCAGCCCGCAGCTTTTCGCCAGCTACCTGGATAGCCTGTGCAATGGCGATAGCCTCCCCAATCATGTTGTCGATTATATGGGGCATATGCCACCCCATTACTACTTTTCTCCCATGGTCGAAATGTCCCGGACAGTGTTCGTTAAAGACGACGGCATATCCTCCGGGGAGCGCAGGTAAGTCTTTGTGGTCCACTGACGCATCGCAGAAGAGGACCAGCTGGATATGATATGGTGGAGACCAAACGGCAATCTCCCTTTCGACTGTGTCAATGACTTGTTGGCGGCGCCTGGGATTGTCATTGCGATTGGATACGTAGTGTAGGTTGCCCCGAAAGCCCGTCCGATCTGTACGTGGAGGCGCATCAGCATGAGGTTTGAAGGGATTGATATACCCCGATTTGATGCCCAAAAAGCTTCAGGTAAAACGAATAATCAAAGGAAGATGGGAAGTGTACACAACGAAGTTGCCCCTCGGACGAATTACTGCACAGGGCGTTGGTCGTTCGTGCCAATCATGGAAACATCGCATCCTTGGAAGCGGCCTTGGCAAGATCTTTCCAGGGAATGTGGTACTCACCAACGCGCTTAGTCCTTTTTGCCGGATCACCGCGGTCCTCACAGAGACCAGGGTCTTTGCCCCAAGCTCGTTTTTTGCTCTTTTCCATTTCGAGATGGGAGTAAAGGGAACAAGAACGTGTGAACGGTAAAAGAAGGCCTAACCTATACCGAAGCCAGCTTTCCGGTGACAGAAGCTTGGAGGGAAAATTTTAATCGATTCCAGGGTGTTTGCGGAAGTGATGCGACGGGAATTGTAGAGAAAGCGCGAGTCCCGCCAAGAACCTGGGGTTGCTTCAGATTCAAACGAGGGTGGTAAGTTGAGCAGTGGATCTTTCCACGAGTGCCAGTGATTGATGACTCGAAGCAGGAGCGAAGCCGTAGCGCAGCGACGAGGCGAAAATACGCTCCTTCCCTTCACCAGTCTTCTTGAGTGGAGGCTCGAAGAGGTATACCGGTTACGCGTCCAAGACAGTCACGATACCGGATGAAACGCGTGCAGATTGTCTCGCTGTTGCAGAAGGGAATCATTCAAGCATCCAACTTTGTAACAGTGGAAATGATGATTTCACAAGCTGGCAGATGTCTACATGGGGGCATTGGGGTTGAACCGCCATTCGATGATTTGAGTTCCATACCTACTCTTCACTCGAGTGAGGTGTTCTGGAGGATGAGCATGTCTTATCCGGTCATCATCTGTGATTGTGATTTTGACTGATGATTCCAACAACCAAATAACTGTATTCACGGCTTTGCCCTCGCATCTGAGGCACAAGAGGGTTCTCGCTGGGGCAAGAATGTTGAGCGAGATATCTGGTCATTCCATACTAAGGCTCCCCCTTGCCTTACACATGAACATATATCGACGGTTTCCCTTCTTTCCGTTTCGTGCTTTTTTGTCCTCCTTCCATCAACAACATCTTGAATCCTCGCTTGCCCTTATGATTACTCGTATTAACTTTGGCAAAGAGAAGTCGGGGCCCACCTGTTACGGATTCAGCCCATAGTTTCTTCGTTGGAACCAACAACTCCTGAAAGGAAGTACATCTCAAAGGCCATCGAAAAGGCTACGTAGGAGTAGGCTCCTTTTAAAATACTGCTTCTTATGTGATGGTCAATATTGGACTCTGTACTGGTTTTTGTTCAGTGCGAGAGGAGTTTATGTGTAGTACCAAAGACGTGTGCTTGCCTGATGAAGGTAAAGTTTGCTGTTTTTCTTGAAGAACAATTTCTTCTGGCTGACTTGAAGAACACCGCAGTACAGATGTGTCCTGATGGAACTTGGATAACTACCTACCTTAATAGGCTGAGATTTAGACCGAATTATGTCTGTTTACATTTGGCACATAGCTTAGCGCAAGGATCCATGGCTTTCTATGAAAGAGGGGGGTCGACAAGAGATCTGTTGTTTTTGAACCCTTTAAAGATTTGTTCAACATCCAAGGGTCGAGTGGGAGTACAAAGGTTAGTTGGTGGAGCCCCCACAAGTTTCAATACATACCGTAGCGGGAAAATATGCTAGGGGACAAGCCTTGTTAAGCTTACTACGGCTTTGAAGCCTTGTTGTTTTTACAGGCCCTATTGTTTTAACAAGCCCTGTTGAGCTGAGGGAGGCTCCTGATTGGTCGATTAATTTACAATTGAAATATCCCCTAAAGACGGCCACTAAAATCCCCCCCCGCCCCCCAAGGACATCACACTATATAATAAGAAAAGTCCAATCTTCATTTCAATCAATGGGCCAGTGGCTCAATGGTTCTTATTGTTGCTTTCTTTCTTGAGACTCTCAGTTCGATTCCAATTGGAGTCAGCTTTTTTTCGCGCGAAGAGTTTTACGCGGGCATCCGGACTTTGAAGTCAAAGTCCCACCCCCCCTCCCCCCCCTCCCCCCTCCCCCTCCCCTCCCTAAAAGACTACTATAATAACCACTAAATAAAGACCTCTATAATAGCCTCTAGAAGGTTATTATAGGGGTCTTTAGCTTTTGCTATCTTGTACTCAAATCCGACCAATCAGGAGCCTCCCTCAGCTCAACAGGGCTTATTAAGTCAACAGGCCTTATTATAGAAATTGGGCCTTAATATACAACAAGGCCTGTTGACTTTAACAAGCGCTGTTACGCTCCCTATATTCCCGCTGCGGTAAGGGGATCCGTACAATACGCAGAACCCCGGGCTACCAAAGCTCTTCTAGGTACCGTACTTACTCCTTTCAGGTTGGGTAGGTAGAGGTAATCTTCCATACGTTCCGTTCGTCGAACTTTGAAAGTGAATGGCACCGCGGCCGGTATGGGTGAGTGCAGTGCTTCGACAAGACACTTTATGGAACGAGCCGCCTGCCCCGCAGTCCCACACACGGCACCAAATCGCATTTCTTCACCACGCTTCGCCGATTCTACTACCCGACCGTATCAGTCGCGTTGTTTACCCACTTTCTCTCACAGCATAGTCTACGCCTGCGTCCCATTGAGTGTCTACTACCAAGCGTATTTGACTAGAGGAACCATTTCACGCAATCGCCAACCATCAATGCGCTTGCAATCACCATGGCAGACACCGAGCAGAGCAACAAGAGCGGAAACCCTGATTCAGACGTCAGCAAGCAAGGTCGCGCTGGCGATACCATGAAGTCAGGTAAGTAATTCTTCTTGATTTCGACACACCTGACAGCCCATTTGAGCGGCTCGCGCATTCAACTTTCAACTTGCTAACCCATCCTCTCCAACAAGGCTCCAAACCCACCAGCAAATTCAGCGGACAAATCTTCGGCCCAGGCATTTCCGACAAGGCGACGAAAGACAAAGCCATCTCCACGGCCGGTTACGCCCTACAAAAAGAGCTCCATCCCACCCCGAACCATATCTGGATGGCCTTCTTCACAGGTGCCTCCTGCACGAAAACAACCAATCCCACGGGCGCATACTCTGTCGTCTTCAACCAGGACAAGAAGCTGGCCAAAATGGCATGGTACATGAGCTCTTCCTCTGAAGTGGTCAACGAGAAGAGACTTGCCGGGCTGGCCATTGCGCAGGCACTCTACATCGCAAACAAGAGATTACGTGCCTTTCCCGACGATGAGGAGAGGCCAAAGAAGGCGACAGTGAAGGTGTTCACTTACTGCGTCGAGACACTCAAGAACATCGATGATTCGAGGGAAATTATCGAGGATGGAAGGGAGGCAACGCTTGAAGTCGTCAAATTGATCGAGGATCTGTCGTACAGCCTTTGCAACATCGTCGGCGCGCGCGTGAGGCTGTATCTCCAGTGGGTGCCAGCGGACTATGGGAAGATGGTGTGTGCTAGGGACTTTGCGAAATGTTGCCGAAGGAAATCAGGCAGGAAGAATATGTATTTTGTGGGAAACGAGAAGAGGGATGATGGGCTAATACCCGAGGGTGTCTCCGGCTTTATCGAACGAGATACTGCGGAAGAGGACCGGCACGATCTGATGGAGCAGCCAGGAAAGGCCGTGGCCATAGCAGAGACGTTAACTGCTTCGACAAAGAAAGAGGGTCAGTCGGGTGTTCACCAAGTGGCCATTCTAGGTGACCAAGAGATGGATGAGAGGAGGGCAATGGTCAGCGAAGAGGCCTCAAACGAGGAACAGGCCTCGATCAATCAACAAATCCTTGCTGATTGCTACCAGCAGCAAGTTTACTCTCTCCGCCAGCGAGGGAATAAGGACGTTACCAATTAACAGATATCGGGAGAGCGTGCGGATGGTTATGCCAATGGGCTATGCCAGTTGGTCCTGGACCATCTGTTGCCGCCTCCCCCTCGACATAATGGAGATCCATCTTGCATTGCGCCTCAAGCTCATTGGTTGCCAAACTTGTGTTGCTAGAGGAATCTGAAGAAAAACTTGTGAATGGTTCTGGTAGCATGTTGTTTTGTTTGAGCAATAGAGTTCAGTGTTGCTCTGGGTTGTACTTGTGGAGAGATGCCTTTATTGGCCCATATATCCATGATCTGGCTACACAGGGCCAGTCTACTCACATATGTTTACAGTAAATTGCCGCCAAATCACCCAACACTTGCTTCTTCCCAAGATTCTGTTCCGCATTTCGTGGGGAAATAGTCTTGCTCCACCGAAGCTGAATGGCGTCGGTACGTCGGTCACACCGCATCATCGGCAACAAAATCTTCCCGAACAATCTGGCGAATCAGATCTCACTCCCTTGTCTTAAATGGCAAGTGGAACCCGCAGATCGACATCAGCTCTTGGGAGGTAATGGACTCCATTGGAACGAGACCCGGCATCACAGCTGAAGATGGCACAGCGCCTAGTTCCCATAGGCTTCCGACTGGTGTCTCGGCTCCTAGTTTGTCTCAGATGCGTAATGTACGATAACTTTGAAAAGGCAAAGATGGAGTTGTACGGGGATAACGAACCACAGAGCTGACTTTCTGGTAGGCTATGTTGAGGATTGAAGACATATATGAACCACTTTCCCCTCATTACCGCTGCTACCGTGGAGGAGAAGACACTTTGTTGTACCTTCAAGATGCGTGTTCAATATTCCCAAGTTCAAATTGCACCCAAAGGAAGAGAAAAATATGAAACGACTCTTTTGACGAACACCAAAGACTCCAGCAACAACAATGCATTACATGAGCACCATCAACGCACCTACGACGTACCGTCAGCGAAGACAGATTCTCATCTTTCAAGATGTGCCTGGCTAGGTCAAACGATGGGTCGCCAAGAAACAATCCCAATCATTGCTACAGAAAAGTTGCATCCTTCAGTGAACGCACTCTGGCATCTCATTGAAGACAACCGTGAAGTTCGTTCACTCTTCACCCAGATGCTACAACAAATCCCCAATGGACCTCTTTACGACAAGAATCCAACCGGTGGTCCACAATTCCACAACTGGATGGGCCTTCTTTGCGCTTTCAACAACCAGCTCACACAAGGACCGGTATGGCTTTACGATACACCAGGCCAGCAGGGACTAATTGGCTTTCCTTTCAACGCCCTTTTGGTACGTTACCGTAATCTTACCTCCCCACCATTTTCTGGCTTCTCTCCTGTCGCCAATCGCATCTCTAACCCCGCCCAAACACAAAAGAACTGGTCCATGTCAACCCCAGCAGGCCTCCTCGCCTTCCACCGTCCCAACGTCAACGCCCACTTTCACGATATCCTCACCGCCTACGGCAAATTCCTCTCTTCCCCCGCCTCTGTTGCCGTTCTCAACTCCTCCGCGACCGGCTGGCTGAGCCCGACTGCCCTTGACGCCCTTGTGTCTACCGCCCATCTGCCTACCACTATCAACACTAACAGCTCCGACCGCGAGGCGAAGACAGACACCAGCGACGATCCCCGTCCCCAGTTCCACGACCTCTTTGTCTCTGACCCGCTCCACCCTACGTACGGCTTTTCGTCCTGGGACGCCTTCTTCACGCGCCATTTCCGGCCGGGTATCCGGCCCATCGCTTCCCCCTTCGATGACGGGATCATGGTCAACGCTTGCGAATCCACGCCCATAGCGCTAGAGCGTGGAGTCAAGCTGCATGATGAGTTCTGGGTTAAGGGGCAGCCGTATAGCTTGGTTACCATTCTCGGGGCTTTGCAGACCAACGAGGAGGGAGAAGAGTCAGGGGATGACTTGGACATGAAGAAGGAGGAGAAAGAGAGGAAGAAGGAGAAAGAGAAAGCGAAAAAGAAAGAGCTAGAACAAGCAATGCGCTTCGAAGGCGGAACCATCTACCAGGGCTTCCTGGGGGCACTAAGTTACCACCGCTGGCATGCGCCTGTTTCTGGAGTAGTGGAGAAGGTGAAAAAAATACAAGGGACTTACTTTGCTGGATGTCCTGGATTAGCCTCCCGCGAATATTTACATGATGGAGAGGAACGAAAACTCGATCCTTCAGCGCCGGATCGAAGTCAGAGGTATCTCTGCCAGGTAGGCACCAGGGCTTTGGTGTACATACGGGCGAGAGATAGGAGGCTGGGGACGGTGGTGTTTGTGGCGGTGGGCATGGCAGAGGTGAGTAGTTGTGAGGTTACAGTCAAGGAGGGGGATATGGTCGAAAAGGGGGAGGAGATTGGTATGGTGAGTTCCCGGAGTTCTTTGTTGCCGAAGTCGCGAGTATTCATGTTGACATGGGTACTAATGATGTTTGATTGCTTGATATAGTTTCACTATGGCGGCTCGACGCACTGTCTTATTTTCGAGCCGGGTGTCCGGTTGAAGTTCACAGATGCAGCAGAGAAGGTTGAGGGCAAGAGACGGGGTCATAATTTGCCGGTGAATGGATACTTGGCGGAGGTTTTGTCTGAATGATGATGCCCCTGCATGACGATGCAGAAACGGATTATGTACAGCATAGATACTATCGGGCATGTGGAAACGCAAAAGACTTCGAATGCGAAGAATTCTTTCAGAAGTATCAGGTATGTACATGAAGTTTTTCCCTCCAGTACAGTCTTTCTTGTTCCTGTCTTGTCTCCAACCAACTACTTGACTTTCCAAATCCACCACTCAACACTCCATGAACCTGGTTCGCCTCCCTGAATCCCCGCCCATCATCATACGGCTACAAACCCCATCAACATAATTCAACTTCTCCAAGCGCAGTTCAATTAACGCTTTTATCCCCTCGACATCCCTCCGCAATCCCTCCGCGCACATCTGCGTACCAGTCATCTTCACATTCTGACTCCAGATCTTGATCGCAGACAGACACCCGCCACAAATAGCCAGCAAATCATTACATGCCTTCCTCAACATACAAATCTCCGGCGCCATCTCCTTTACAACCTGTGCGAAATCCTCCATTGGTGTTCCCTCAATCCTTACCCCCAGCTCATGTATCTCCTCATCCAAATGGCTCTCACACAGCTGAAGAAGCACAGTGAACACACTCATTGGGTTTTCTCCAAGCTGTTCAGCATGCTTACCCAGCGCCACTCCCAAATCGGAATCCATAATCACATTCTTCTTCTCCTTCTTCTCCTTCTTCTTCTCGTCCTCACCTTTCCCGGCAGAGATGGGGAAAAGCCCCCTATACGAAACAATCCCCACCATTCTATTCGCCTCCTTCCTTTCCCACCCTAGTGCCACTTTCGGGATAAACCGCCCCATGAAAATGACATAACAACCAGATATGGACGTCCAGCGGAAGGCAAGCTCGATGCTTGAATCTGATGATGGTGATTCAGAGAAGAAGTAATCGGTTAGTGATCCGGTCTTGCCGATGACTCTCTCTGTCTGCTCTTCTTTGAGATTCAGGGCCTTTATGGTAGATTGTATGACGTCTTCGGGCGCGGCGAAGCCGGGTTCCTGTGGGCTGTTGCGGGATTCGAGAAGGATGAGCGATTTGGAGGGTTGGGAGAGGATGTTTATCATGCTCTCGATCCAGAGGGCAGGTGTGAGGTAAGAGGGGTTGGGAGTTATGGTTTGGATGCGGTAGCGGGAGGGAATGGTGGTGGTGTCGGGGTCGTTGGGGCCGCCGGAGTGGATGTGTAGGTCGGGGTCCAGGGTGGTGGGGGTGAAGGTCAGGCCGCGGGGGACCCAGTCGAAGGTGGCGTTGAAGGGCATGGTTTTGGTGGGTGGGTGAGATGGGTAGTTGGTTGGCTTTGTTGGGTATGGTGCTCTTTTTTTCGGTTACTTTTGCCTTTGATCGCTTGAGGTATGGATGTTGATTAGTGAGTGGCTTTGAAAGGGTGAAGATGTAGAGGTCATGGTGAGGGTGTGAAGGTCTTTATACAGTAGCTCCATTACCTACCTACTTGATAGCGTTATACGTGTGTCTTTGTGTTTGAGTTGCTTCTATAGAAATCTACCTATGTTTACCTCAATCACCAGCAAAACTGATGCATCACAAACTGCTGTTGCTTCCCCTCGTCATCACAGACACTTCCAGTTGAGTCCACAGCAAGCATAATGGACAAACCAATTCCAGGCTCTACTGTATTTGTCCCGGACCATAATACTAGAGTAGTTCTTCTTTTCTCCCTTGCTTGCCATCCTTTTGGCTCTCAAGCAGATATCAGGCTTGCGTAGGTAGTGTCAACGTCGGCTCATAAGAGACTGAGAGAAACAAGTCAAACGGTTCGGGTTTTAATGTCCGGGAATGCGGACGGGGAAGCTTCAGACACATCAAACATGCCCCTGCGTTTCCTTCAATTGCGCAATCAATCATCGCATCACGGAAATCTGAGTCTTTGGGAGTATGCATTGTTTGTTTAGCCATTGTATTCGCTAACCTAGACACAAGAGAGTAACTGAGCAATCTACTGAGTGTCCAGCCCGTTTTGTCTATGCTACGCTTATTGAAGCTCATTTCTGTTCCCTCAATAATATCCAGTTTTAACAGGTTCCATAGTCCTTCTTATCGCCACCTTCCTTTAATCTCCTGGTTACATGAACACCAAGATGAGAAGCCTTGTCACCCCAGTCAATGTCTCGCGATGCGTCATCTTTTTCCTTATGCCCTCTCCTCACTTAGCGACTTTTATTCAACAACATGAGTTGCTTCAACGCAGCCATGCTCTTCGTGGACTGAATGTGTATGTTCTCGAGGTAATGGATCCTGTTGAGTTGAAACTTCAGTCGGGAGTGTATTCTCTCGATGCCGTCGCGCAGAGACCTCAAATTTCCCAGGCGATTATCACCGACGTGCTTGGACGAGAGGGAAGCCTTGAAAGCGGTGACGAACCCAGAACAGATCTCCATGAGGTTACGGCAGGAGTTTCTCAGTGTGAAGATTGAAGTGGTGAGATCTCTGTGTCGAGTGTGGAGCCCGGGAGAGCCAGAAGATTTTGCCTCTTGAGAAGATAGAAGGCTTTGTATCTCCTCGACCTTCTCAGCCTGCTGCTGAATGGATCTCTCAAGATGTTTTTCGCACTGGTTCAGCATCATGACAACCAATCTTAACGGTGAGCCTTCCCAGCAGCCAAAAAGGTCTTCTCCGCTCTTCATCACATCGCCGTTCCACATGGGTGTAAGAACGCCCCGATGAGAAAAGACTCCGCGGAACTGAGAAATGGGCTCGTTAATGCCACCATAGCGGAGAGTATTGACAGAGAACATTGAGCCAAGAAGGATAAAATAAGATCCAGGCGCTGACGACCATCTGAACCCGATATGCAACCTTTGGGCCTCTTCGAAGAATGAAAATTTTGGAAAAGACCCAGGCTTCTGAATTTCGTCAAAAAGTTTTCTGGGGATCTTCCACGTGTTCATGATTCTCCCCAATATTTCCTTTGGAGCTGAGAAGCCTGGAACAACAGGACCAGCAGACTCGATGCAAAGAGTCGTGGGGGGTCCATATCCCCAAAGATTTTTGTCGTCCAGCTTGTCAAGAAATGCAACTTGGAGATGGGCTTTCAAGTCTTCATTGTTCTCCTGTACAGGTATTTTACCAAAACAGTTCTTAAGAGGAGCATCAGAATGTAAGGTATTTACGGCTATCCTCCGTTCCGTATGTAACCAAATGCGTAAATGATGTTGGTTATCTGAGAATTGAAGCCCATTCGGCAACCAGTCTGTTTCGGCGCTAAAGATCATGGTGAAAAACGAAAGAGATCAGCCCCTAGTTAAGTTGTGCTACTCTGGGAAATCAGTTCTGATATCTGGGTGCTTAATCCTTGAGCCCAAGAAAAGACCGGGCTTCCGGGGCTTTTTATACCGCTCTCAATTGAACAACACAGCTGACACAAACCAACATTGATTGTAGCAGAATAGAATGTGATTTGGTTTCCTTTTGAGGCAGGACTTCCTGCGCCGCCATCAGGTGAGAAGGATGATACAAAGATGATCCAGATCAAACTGGCTTGGCATCTTTTCCACACTGCTTGAACATGAAGACTTTCATGTCTGCCGAAAGTGTAAAGGTATGAGACAAACTATCGCTCTGCCTAAACTCCAACCGTAAGTGCGGCTATAAGACAACGAGACCTTCATCCTCATCTTTCCACATCTGGAGCCTCGAGTTTGGCAACACCAAAGTCTGCAATCAGCCAGTCCTTGCAGGCTAGAACAGGAAACTGTGGACAAACCTACACTGCCAAACCCAAACTCTGACGACTTTGTGTCTTCAACAACCAGAGCACGTCAACAGCTCAGGCCTCTGCATCATCGACCATGTCTCCTGACAGCTACTGCTTGCTTGAAAGTATCATCGGTGCAACAGTACCAGAAAGACATAAACGGAGGAGATTGACAGCACTTGCTCCTTCTTTCTCACTCATCAACACAACCAAACAGCATATTCACACTTGTCAATCAACATCACGGTTTCCCTGAGAAAAGAACTCCAACTTCCAACATGCCTGAGTTTGTCTCCAATCTGCCTCTTTTCTCTGCTCTCCCGGTTTACTTCCAGTCAATGACCGTCACTTGACCTCTTTCAACAACATCTCTCTCCTCCTAATATCTTCCCAATAACCAACCCCCTTCCAATGTGCCTTTGCGGACCAACCACTTATCACCTTTTATAGCAACGACACAAAATACGATAACAAGAGTGGTTCTACCACTTCTACCAGCTACGTGACCGCTGGCTCTTCGTACTCCACCTCAGAAGCAACCCGCAACTCGTCGTCCTCGTCCAGTTACACTAGTTCCTCCCCATATCAGAGCAACGCTGAAAGGGAAAATACCACTCCGGCTGCCACGTCCCTGTCGTCTGTCTTGGACTCTTCCAGTTCCACCACTACTACTTCCAACACCACTTCCAAGTAAGTGTCGTGATAGCGTGGCTCAAGGTGAATTTGTGACGACGATGTCCAGAGGGAAGTGAGCTTTCAGGTTGTGATATGCGTTGCTGTTGGATTTGGAGTGATGAGAGGGTTTGATGTTGGGCTTAAGTCTGGAAGTTTCCGGGTTCGTCAGCTGTTGACAGAAGTTGCGAGTCTCGCTGGTCGAAAGTCAGGGTGGTTGATCTCCATAAAGCTCTGTGGTTCGAACTGTCCGGCAATGTACATCAACAGGGTTGCGCAGCTCTTGCTGGGGATGGGTGTTGCGGTAGGTTGACAGGTCCGAAGCAGCTGGAATAGAAGAACGGAGCGTTGCCTTCTTCACTCGATCGACCGTTGTCCGTATATGCTTCTTCCCTGTGCATGCCTTCCAGTGTGCTCTTCGCCTTCAGTTTCATTTTGGACATGTACTATTAGTACGGTGTAGTGCCGAAGTGTTCTCCCTTTGGTCATCCTCATCCTCACTCGAGAGACTCGAAGCCGGCTCGGGCCTTCCTCCTTTCCAAAACGGACAACCTTTGACTTGAACTTCTAGTGAGAGGCTGTGGCGGATCCGCTGGCGTTGTGCTTACACCGCTGGCCGCTGGCACCGACAAAACATTCAACTCGATATCGCTTCCAGTGAAAGAGAGGTGCAAAGGTGAGGGCGTTTCGGTCTTTCGCGGCGACGGACAGGTTTTTTCGGAGTTCTTTACAGCATCACGAGATTGCTGCTTAACCGGGCGACTCAACGCTCGTGAACTTCGTTGAAAAGGAAGGTTGAAATTCGATGCGAGATGCGGAGTCGACCGACCGGTTCCTCTTCCGCGCCGTGGGCCAACGCAGCCAAACATCGGTGCCAGGACAGGGAGGTTGCCGCATGTGATACCCGCTGACAATTCAACAAATGTCCAGAGACTGATGCCGATACTGCTGGCTGAATGAGGGTGAAATCATTAGCTACATAGCCTCTCAAAGGCTGGGATAGGAGGAAAACAAGAGGACTAACGCATCGTAACATCATCTTTGGGGTGGTTTTGCAACATGGCCGCCCATCGCGCAAAGCTGGTAGCGATGCAAAGAAGACCGAGGAGAAAGACGCAGCAGAGGCCGAGCTTCGTCCTTCTGTTCACCCCTAGTCTGACCAAAATCGGGATTGGCATGATATAGATGACAATGTCGCACAAGGTCGAGATGATCCCCGTGGTCAGTGGGACAACAAACTTTGACTCGCCAAAGCACTGCTTGTCGGCTCGCGGACAGGCGGCGATCTCCTGGAGGAACGCAATGAAGAATCCGGTAAACGAGTTGATGAAGGTTATGCCGAAGACTGTCCACACGAACTTGGTGGAGATCCTTCCCTTGAAAAGGTTCATGTTGAAAAATAGGATGGATGCCTTGACGCAAAAGACACCCCAATTTTGAAACATCAACATGGCAGAATTGGTTCGGGGAAGCCAAAGCTTGTCGTGGTCTGTCGTGAATGCCTCCTCACCCAATCCGACAGTCAGTCCATGTAGTATGGCTGCAATGACGCCCCAGCTCCAAAGCAATCCAGCGAGCATAAACCAGTCATCGCGCCGCCAGACCTTGACCGTTCTTCGCCTCGCCCAAAATCGGAAGCCGGTCGAAAGGGACGAGGTCACGAAGCCGACAACGATGGCTGCAAAAAGACCGTCCTGCTTGTAGTTGTGCATAGTCAGGCCTGACTGAGCGTTCATGGTTGGTGCTAGTCGAGTCTTCGGTTGAGAGTCGAGAAAATAATGATTGCGCGTGCGATCATCGACGGCGAGTGTCGCTGACGTATCCCGGCTGTCCTCCACTACAAATCGTGCGCTCCGATGAAGGAAATGAAGGCACTCAAGAATGGAGAAGAGGAAAAGAATACAAGTAATGGGAAAAAAAAAAAAAAAAAGCTTTGCGTCGGACAGTCAAGGAAGGAGCGCACAAGCAGGTTCTCATCCGACGTAACTGCCGCCCTTCACTCCGACAGCTTGCCCCACCATGATTGGGATAGCGGTGAATGGACTTTTGCGGACGGAAAGGAACTGTCCATCTGAAAAGGTTTTGGGTGGGTCTTCAATGCGAGGTTCAGAAAGCGCATTGAACCACCCTTCGAGTGCTGAAGTGGAAAGAAAAGAAAAGGAGAGATTTGAGTGTGAAATACAATGAATTGAAAGAGCCCGAGGTGCCTGTTCCTTTTTCATGCCTTTCTCGGTCATATCAGTTGCTGCTTCATCTTCCAGCTCGGTGTAATGTTGCCTCTTTGGAACTCCTCCATACTCCAGAGACGCCCTAAAACGCACTGAGATTCATCAGAAGAGCATACCCATTGCCCTGTTGAGTATGTTGTAGAGTATGTATCAGCTGTGCTGCCCAACGAAGCGCATCATCGTAGACTTGAACGTTGAAACCGACACACATACGCTTCCCCTGTGGGCTCCTGGTTTCTGCTTCGCGTAACTGACCTCTTGGTCAAGTGATGATTGTACCGAAGGTGTGCTGGTCCAGCCACATGGCTGAGGCCTTCCAAGCCGGCTACAAGGTGGCGTCGAGAAGCTCGAAGCAGTGTGCAGCCGATGTGTAGAGTAGCTAGAGGACCCTTATGGGTTCGGTGCTGAATGGCGACAAGCCGGGTTCGAAGAAAACTCCTTTCGACCTTTCGGCCCTTTGTTTGAGAACGAGAGCAGGTCAAGCTCGCGTGATTACCCTCCTAGATTTTGTCGCTACTGCCACCCATTAACGGGGAACAGCGCCTTTTCGAATCTTTCTGGTGACCATCCTTGTGGCGCTCACACAACCCAATACAGAGTTGGAGTTGAGTCTCCATCTTCGCAGGTCAGAAGCCCTTGGTCGAGTACCTCGCAAGGGTATTGAAGCTGTGTCCAGTGTCAAGCTCAATACCCGAGTCCTTGATAAAGAGCTCTCCATTGTACTCCCCTCACGATTAAACGCTGGTTGACGTCAATGGCGCCAATTCATACCCCTCTAAGGGATTGCCCATCTCCACCAACTTCTTCGTCAAATTGTGCATGATGGGGTGGTCCAGCGCGGCAACTGCGCTGCGAATGAGGGGCGAGCTCATCGTGGTGAGGAAGCTACAATTGCTCGTCAAGATTCTGGCAGTTGCCAGCTACTGCTTCGCATTTGGGACAGAGTAATTGGAGAAAGTACACAACAAGCACTATGGTACCTGCCCATAATGTTAGGACGTCCAACCAAACCCCCGGCAGACCCAAACAATATCCTGACAGCAGCACACACTGAATCCACGTTTCATACACCAAAGCTTTAGGCACCCTTGACAACTGAAAGATCTGAGACACTCGTCACATGCCTATTATTGAACTGGAAAGACATGATCCCGACATACAGGCCTGTTTTCTCTACACAGAGGACAAAGAACTCGAGAATAACTATTTCAGGTGGGCGGCTGGCCGTTACCAGTCTCGCCAGGATTGTGGTTGTCCCACTGCCAAATCCACTGGTTTGCGCCATGATCCCATAGCCACTGACCCGCTTGGTGCCCGTGGGCTCTCTGCCAGTCCTGCCAGCGACCTAGCTGCTCCCAGTAGCCCGCATACTGGTCGTAGTATGTCTGGACCTGGTTGTACCATTCCTGCTGATTCGGTTGTTGTGAAGCTGGCTGCTGGGTGTGTGGATCAGTTTGTTGGGGTGGCTGACCAGCTTGGTTCTCTTCAACTCCAGTCTGTTGTGGTTGCAGGACCTCATGATTCTGGGCCTCAGGGACCTCTGCCCACTCTTCTTGCTCGCGCTCTCGCCATCGCAGAAGTCTTTCCTCTTTGTATCGCCTTGCCGCTTTCACCTCCTCGTAAACGCCATCCGCTCCATTCTACTGAACGTATGTTTCGTTTATGAAGAGAAACGGCTTCTTATCCAGGCAGCACTTGCGGGACAGCTTGTCCGCTACCTGGTGGAGGGGGAATGAGGCATCGTGGCCAGGTATCCAGTGAACCACTAAGTCCACCTTCAATTTGCACCCTGGTCCACGAAACTTCTCCCTCAACCCCTCCGAGAAAGTGATGATGGCGTGACCGGTGTGCTTCATTTTCTTAGGGAACTTTCCCGCCTTCATAGCTTTCAGGACCGTCTGTGAGTCTGAAAAGATCTTCACTGAAACTTCCACAGGGTCTCGAGCACCGGCTGTACTAATGTGCCTGGTAGCAACATGTTCCTCCAAAATGGTAAGCTCTTCGATTGCTTCCCTAAGAGATTGAGCAATGGAGAGTCCTTCGCACGTATGGCTGTCTTTGGTGCGGATGGCTGTCCATCCTTTTGCGACAGGTCGATCGTCGCTTGAGGTATTTGGCCCGAGCGAAAAGCCATTGTAGACTATGGCATAGCCTCCGTTGTGTGTTGGTCGGTCGAAGGAGCCGTCCACAAAGATGCACAGTTGTTTTTTCTGTGCTGTCGACACAAATTCCAGCGCATCTATGGCCTCGCTTACGGCCGCGTTGATGTTGTGTGCGATTCTCACTGCTCCGCGAAAGTAGTAGGGTGCTGTTTCAAAAGCATTGTCAGCTTGACTTCGTGAATTGAGTTCGAAAGAAAGTTTATCGCGGAGGGAACACGTCGTAACAACCGCTTTTGAGACAGTACTTACAACCCTTCTTTCTGCGCTTTAGAGCATTGCTCCCTTGCGAGGCGTGCCCAAATGCTGGGACTACCTCGTCGCGGACCCTACTCCTTTCACTTTCGTTAGACATCACGTAATTCGGTGCGGTGGTTCTCTACGCGTTTCCTGGCATCGAGTAAGAACGACTGTTGGCTTGGTCGCACTGTGAGGTGTCTGGTGGTCGCTAAGAGAAATAATGGATCGGGAGGAAAAGCAGAAAAGATGGTAAGAAATGAGGGGCTTCTCAGAAGTTGGCGAGACCAGAGAATTTCGGACCTCGGAACCGCGCGTCCCGGTTGTGCGTCCTGCTGGCAAAAGCGGGGTCACAAATGCGGTGACGGGAAGGGAGTTGGAACAAAAAGTGAAGGGCAGGACTCACCGCATTGTCTCCCGTCATCTTGAGGAAGGTTTTTGACCACGTGCTCCCGGACGAGGTCGACTTTGACTCGCTTACTTGGAGGACCGCGTTTCGACTTGGTTGATGGAATGAGTCCCCGATTTCTCCATATAAAAGACCTCGTGTCTTAAACCGCACTGGTTTCGTACTTTATTCTGTTCATATAGTCCTTTCGAACAAGGCATTCTGTATCTAAACCTACTGTTCCACCACTGTTCTCGTTGTCGCCTCTTTCAACGCACGCATGCCCTATACGCTCGCGCCTGCTCTTGGATGCCCAAGTCCCAGCCAACATGCCGACCGCCAACTGTTTGCTCAAGGCTGCCCTGTGGCAGAAGCTCATTCTGGCCTTCATTTGGGTCATCCCATTCTCGTGGAACATGATCTTTGTTTTTTGGCTGTTCTCTCACCTTTCCATTTTCAAGCGTCCAAAGTTGATGATTTTATGAGTAGAGACAAATTAACTGAAGGTCCTGGGAGGCATGCATTTTATACGTGATGATAAACCCGCAGAACTTCTGCTTGACAACAACAGCAATGTGTCATCGACAAAGACCAGTCATCGGCAGTCAAGGCCGTGACACATACTGCGTAATACCGAATCGTTAATGAAACATCCATTCGCTCATCCATGTTAATTTTCAGACTTATTCACAGTATCTTGGTCAGGTTTGGATCAAAGACGTTGAAGTGGAACCCGATAGTTCGGATTATGGTAGGGCTGATGCCAAAGAGGGAAAGTGGCGCTTCTAGGTCATGGTGGGGTGATGGGGTAGTGGGGTTTGGTGGGGGTAATGGGGGGAATTCAGTTTGTCCCTTGACTTTCGTTGGTCCACTTCCAACAACATCACAAAAAAGAAGGAGAAATATGGCTGTGTTCGGTAGCACCCTTAACGTCTTTATACTATTTTTGCGCTTCCGCACAATATGGAGGTTAGAAGCAACTATAAGTCCAGGAAACTGAATCTAGTATGAACCTCTTATTACTACTTGTTTGAGGTTAGCTACAGTGTCAGTGGTCGGATGCATAGCGCAGGGTACTTTAGAATTCTGGTCAGGTTATAGAGCCAGACAGTCACTAAACGATCAACAACATCCAATAAGGTTCCACAGGGCGTGTGGCTCAGTTGGTAGAGCGTTCGCTTAGCATGTTTCTGATCATGCGAAAGGTCCTGGGTTCGATTCCCAGCTCGTCCAAAACTTTTGCCATTTTCCTACATCTTGTCCTCACTGTCTCTCCTATTTTTTTTGTTCCTTATCCGTGACTGAAAGTTCATGAAGACCTGCGCGCTCAGTGCCATGTTTCTGCTTTGAGATCGTTCGGTCACGGAAATGTCTTCACAGATGTTGGCGCACGCCGCACAAACCACCCGACTGGTTGCCCCTGGTCCGATGCCGTTCTGCACAGTCCCGCGCGCAGGGAATCCCTGTGCCTGGCACGCTGCGTTTATCCACTTTTAACGTCCTTTCTTCTTTTCACTCCCAACTCGCCAACTTCACCAATCGACCACTTGTAAGTCTTTATTGTCGCTCTCTCATTCAAAGGGACGAACACCGCTTCCATAAAGCAAGATCGAACCCCTTCAGATGCGTTCCCGTAAATCGCACGATTACCTGTAGCGTAGGTAGGTAAGGTCAGTTTCACTTGGACTTGCGGACTCAAGTCAAAAGCGCAGCTGAGCACGAAAACAAACAGTTTGCTTCTTCAGGGAAGGGCATGTGTAAGTGAAAAGTTTTGCCTCAAAACAGAATCCAAGAACAAATCCCCCCGTTTTCCCTGCTATCTTCACGACTTCCAACCTTCCAAGATCCGAGCTTCAGCCCACGCACGACCCACACCTCCTTCCTGCATCCATGAACCAAGACTCACTCCCAACTTCCACCCCCTCGGTATCATCACTAAACATTAACAGTAGACCCCACAGGCCCAAACCGAATGTTCGAGTAAACAACCTTGGAATTAGCATACTGACTCTCCACCTCCGCCGGCACCCCCGAGCTCTGCGAGCAATCACCACGCGCAGCACCCGGCTGGCCCTCCTTCTCAGGCGGGTAGACGGAATCCAGCCAAAGCATGTTGGCGTAGTGGTCGTCCCAGATGGACATGACGAGCACCATGGGCATGCGCAGCGCGCTGTTAAGCTGGGCGAAGCCGCCGACCTCTGCGAAGCGGTCGCGGTCGCCAAACGCCTGGAACTGCGCGCTGCAGAACTCGGGCGTGATGTTGGCGTTGTCGGATGGGATGCCGTCCCATTTGGGACCGGGGATCTCAATCTTTTGTCCGTTTTGGACAAAGAATTGGCTGAGTTTGTTTTCTTCGAAGCGGGAGACGACGCTGTTGGGTGGAAGAGGCGGGTTGTGTTAGTGAGGTGGGGATATAAGGGGGAGGGAAGCTATAAAGGGGAAGGAACGTACGTAAACTTCTTGCTGGTGTCGACGGTCTTGCCCTTGCCGTAGAAATCGGTATTACCCATGCGGTACGGGTTGTAGTCGCACCCGTTGGCGTCGCAGAGGCCGGCGAAGCGATCCTCGGAGTAGGTGCCGCCGCAGTTGTCCCTCTCGCAAACGTGGTACTTGTTCGTCTTGCACGCGTGCGGCGTGAAGGCGAACGAATGTGCGTTGGACTCCCTGTCTCCGTTTGACAACGGTTAATAACAATCCAAAAACATTTCCAGTAGTAGGTACCCTTGATGAAGAAGAACTCACCAAACGTCAATTTCAGCGCAGCAACCACCATAAGGACCGACACCGGCGTTGGCATCGTTCGTGGACGGAGTCCAACCTTCAATGTTGGCCTTTCCACCGACGAACTTGAGATCGCGAGCGCATTGAGCGTCGCAGTACTAACAAACCCGTTAGCGCCAATCTTCACCCCCAGGATGTGGTCCACAAGTACTTACACCAGTACCGTACTTGGCACCAGCCTTGTTGCTAGAGTAGCTAGCCATACCACCATCCTCCTCCATAGCCACAAAGTACAGAGCAGCGTTCAAGCCGCACTCAATAGTAGACAGGTCAACATCGAAGGCAAACTCGTTGTTCATAAGTGTGAACATCTGGTACTTGGACGCGCCATTCATGAGATAGAAACGCGAGCCGATGTTGGTGCCGTATTCGTGCTTGGTGACGAACTTGAGGGTGAGGGCATCGCCGCTGGTCGAAGCGCCGTAGGTAGTTCCGTAGTTGGCTCCATCAAGCTGGCACTTGGACGCGCAGTCAGTGGCGCTGCTGCAGGCACTGGTCCACTTGTTGCCGTCGTAACAGTTCTTGCCGCTGGAGTCATGAAGCCAGCGCCAGTTGGAGTCAATGACGACCTCGGCGTTGACGGTGTTGCAGTTGGCCTTGCCGGTACACTTCTTCCATGACAGCTTGGGGTGCGTCTCCGTCGTCTGCTTGCCGACTTGCTGGGAGGTGGTAAGCCCAAGAAGGGGTAAAGCCGCAACGAGGTATTCGAAATAGGCCTTCATGATGATGACCTGGGGAGAACAGTAGTAGTGTGGACGTCGGCAAGAAGGTGAATGGCGTGACTGATAGATCTGGATCCCAATCGTGGGTGTGTGTTCCCTCATTTATACGTTTTCCTTGCTTGAGAGACTCGCCACTCCATTCGGCCCCGACCGTAAGTCTGTGATAGTTGAGGCATGCCAGATCTGGAAACATGCTCAACACTGAATGGAACCGTTATCCGAGTTCCCATATAATGACATATCCGAAACTGGCTGGCCAATCAACCTTCCATAAGTTAATTGAGATCAACCTATGCACATCCAAGGGATAGCCTGGCTCGGTAGTCGTCCGCAATAGATTATTCTGGGGAATCTGGGGAAAACTTCGTGGTATACATCCCGTCTGTACCCCAGAAGTGGGAAAATGGGATGGCTAATTGGCGTGACTGTCGCATGTATCTCGTTGTTACTATCCTGAAGGCGAGATGTTAACCAAGATACAAAGCCTAGCATGACCTTCAGAGCAAAGCCCCTAGTTGACCTCTGCGTCAATTTTACCGTCGCCCAGCCTTTCCTCGTCGTCTTCCAACGTTTCATATCGATATGAATAGTGCCTGAGTTCTCGGCCGGACTTTGGTCGTTGACTAATGCCAATGATGGCAGGTGATGAAGCAGTGGTCGAAGATTCGTGATGGGCAGCATCAAACCGCAAGGCAATTAGGATGGCAATTAATCGCCCCTCATCGGGATCCTTCCACCGACGGCTTCATACGAGCCAATAATGCCGTAGTCGTCTCATTGGCGGGCTTCGAGCACATTAGGTGATCGTTTTCCGTCGTTGTGATGGTGATTGGGATAAAATGTTTCTGGGCAGAGTTGCGCACATTGACTGGATATTGAGGTATAGATGCGATCTTCAGGGAATACTACTCCACATGGTTCTGGGTCATGAGCAGGTGGGCGGAAGATATTAAGAACCAAAAAATGTGAGGGCGAGCCGCCGTATTTATCCCGGGTATTTGAAATTGCGGAGGTGGCACTTCCGGCCGGGACTGGGCGGCTGGCCGCCAAGAGTGCTGATGGCTTGATGCTGCAACAGTGATCCTCGTGACTCGTAAGACGATGCTAAAAACAAGCCATATCGCGGCGTCACGGGGATGGACGCCCGCATATATTGTATATCCCTCCCCGCTCCTTCGTTCTTGATCTCCCCAAAGTTCTGCGTTTGAGGCCCTCGCTGGGAAACCCGACGATTTCGTAAACCAGAGCAGCGATGTATCGATGTCTCTCCATATTCAAATGCTTTATACCAAACTCAGGCAGATGGGCTTTTGAAATTCCAGCTGAGAGTGTGTATGTACAAAGAATTGGCGTTGAGCAGAGGCGTGTCAGTGGGAGAAGCATCGCTTGGACAGCGTAAATCGGACATGACAATTGAGAGCTGTGAATGACAATGTGCAAGCCAACTTCCTGTGAACTCGCTTGTTTGGGTTTGTTAGTATTTTTGGGGAGTGACAGTAGCCTGCTCGAAAGGTTGTGGCCTTGCCCTGTATCAGGTTCGCCTTGGTGAGGACTCTGATCCATGTGAACAGAGCTGGAAAAATTGTGGTGAGACTTTTGTTCCTGAAGACAACGCCCAATGATGCTGTGCTTAGCCCAATTGCAATCGCATTGTCCGAGCAGATGCACACAAGCCCGTCGGTATCCACCATTCAGGGGTTTGTTTACACTACCTGACTGCTAACCACCACCATATGGTCGCCTGCATGGTTTCATAGAACACAAGGACTTGAATCCACTCAACAATCAGGGGCACCCCCTTTTTTTTTTTTTACCAACACCAGGGTCTTGGCGATGTGCAGTCTCGCACACAAGCACAAGTGTACCGCAGTGAGACCAAATGACGGTTGCACAATAACCCGAACCCCGAAAACCTCCAATTCGGGTGTTCAGTAACATAAGCGCTAACCTTGAGCTTATACTAATCTGGGCGAAGAGGCGTGCTAAACGACAGGGGTGCCACCCTGCATACCGAGATCAGGAGTGTCAGGTTCCGATCAATACTGCAACCCAAGGTCTCCCAAAGCGTGCTCGTGGCGCACGAGTCGAAATGCTGAAAATACTGGTGCCTGATCGCGGGCTATTTCCGCGGTTGAGGCTCTTCGGGATTGGACGAATGAGTAAGGTGATAAAGAACCCTGAGTAAGGGAACCCGGTATCGTCAGCGGCGATCGGCTGCTATCGAGTCCTGTGTCATATCCACTGTAGACCGCACTAATTCCCCAGCTCGCCCAGGAAGACCAAGATAATCTTCCAGTGTGGAGGTGATGGGACGTTCGATTACTCAGTCCATACCGTGGGGCTGGGATATGCGGAAGACATTGGCCTATCACCGAATACAAGGTTGAGCCTCCTTCCAGAATGGGCTTTGGTCTTCGACAAGGATGTCGGTATTGCATCGGATGTATGGCGTTCGCAATGTGATTGTCCAACATGGGACGAAACAGTCGGTGTGGTGCCGATTTCGCATAAGACCTGTCAAGTCCCATTGTACTTTAACTGATGAGCCTAAAAGTCCAGAGAGGAGGAATGCCACTCTCTGCTTCCACGACACCACAGCTCTGAGATGATGGTGATCCAGAAATTTGTGGCCGCTGTGGCTCTCTTTGGAAGCAGTGCAGTTGCCTCTCCGTTGCTGGACGTCTCCGCTTCAGTCTCCTTGAACTGGACCAGCGTTCATAGTGTTTCCGACGGACCGACCAAGTTCTGGTACTCCAGTATCGACCACAGCACTCCCGTTGTGCGCGGCTTTGCTCCCGACCTTGACGGAGATGTCAACTACGCCGTCTTCAAGGCGGTGAAGTCCGGCGATGGGGCGAGTATCCAAACGGCGATCAACTCGGGGACCAACGGTGCAAAGAGACACGGTCTTTGGTTTGCTTCCCAGCCACGAGTAAGCACCTCATTTGCCTCACATGCGAGCATGGAAGAACGCTGACAGAAGGGCTTTATAGGTTGTGTACATACCGCCGGGAACATATGAGATCTCCGAGACCATCTTCATGAACACTGACACAATTCTGATGGGCGACGCAACAGACGTAAGGACGATGGCCTCTCCCATGCAAGCGGAAGTGAGCTGATACTGATCGCGTTGTGAACTCCTAGCCACCCGTCATCAAGGCATCTTCGAATTTCTCCGGCAACCAAACGTTGATCTCTGGCCAAGACCCCGCAACTGGTATCTCCGGGGAGCTATCGTTTGCTGTCTCCTTGAAGAACTTGATCCTCGACACTACCAATATCCCAGGAGACCAAGCCTTCACAGCCCTCTGGTGGGGTGTTGCTCAAGGAGCTCAGTTGCAGAATGTCAAGATCCGTATGGCGCCTGCCATCGGTGGTGAGGGACACAGTGGTATCCGTCTCGGTCGTGGCTCGACTCTCGGAATTTCGGATGTTCGTATCGAATACGGGCAAAACGGTATCTGGTACAACGGCCATCAGCAAGCTGTCTTCAAGAGCATCTACTTCTTCCAAAATGCTGTGGGAATGTTCATTGACGGTGGCGCCACGATCAGCATCGTCAACCCGACCTTTGACGGCTGTGGCTTGGGCGTTTACCACGTCGCCGGCAACCCTTGGATTGGTCTAATCGATGCCACTTCCATCAACTCCGGTACGACACTGAAGACGACAGACTGGCCAAACTACTTGGTCGAGAACCTTCGTGTCATCGACGGAAAAAGCGAAAACGCGGTCGAAGGACCTGGTGACTTCGTTCTGGCAGCCAAACCGTACATAGCTCAGCTCTCGTACGCCAACACTGTTGGCCATGATCCCATCTACGGCCCCATTGAAGCAGCGCAGTTGAACCGTCCATCATCGCTGGCCCCTGGACCTGATGGGCGTTATGCGTACCTTCCAGCACCCAACGATGCCGAGCTCAGCGTCCGAGACTTTCTCAACGTCAAAGATCCTCTTCAGAACGGAGGCCACCTCGTCTTCGGCGACAACACCCGAGACGAGTCCTCCACTCTCAACGCCATCCTTGGTCTCGCCGCTCGTCAGAACAAGATCGCTTACTTTCCCTTCGGCAAGTACCGCGTCGACTCGACCCTTTTCGTTCCCTCCGGCTCCCGTATTGTCGGCGAAGCGTGGGCCACCATCACGGGATATGGCCCCTTCTTCACAGACAGCGCTCATCCCCAACCAATCATCAAGGTCGGTAATCCCGGCGATGTGGGCACCGCTCACATCCAAGATATGCGTTTCACTGTATCGGACGTGCTTCCCGGAGCCATCATCCTGCAGTTCAACCTCGCCGGTGCGCAGCCAGGGGACGTGGCAATTTGGAATTCGCTTGTCACAGTCGGAGGAACGCGGGGTGCGAAGGCGTTAACGGACAAGTGCGTCAATCCGGAGACAGACGAGCCGTGCAAGGCCGCTTTCTTGGGTATCCATCTCGCTTCGACGTCATCCGTGTATCTCGAGAACGTATGGAACTGGGTAGCCGACCACATCGCCGAAGAACCGATATCGCCGGGCGGGAGCAACATTGCCGGAAAGGGCGGGGTGCTCGTCGAAGCGACCAAGGGGACCTGGCTGCACGCGCTTGGCTCGGAGCACTGGTGGCTGTACCAGCTCAATCTGCGAAAGGCGTCGAACGTGTTAGTGACGATGTTGCAAAGCGAGACGAACTATGACCAGGGAGATAACGCGGTGCAGGTGGTGCCGCATCCGTGGACGCCGGACGTGGAGGGATGGGGTGATCCGGACTTTGGCTGGTGCGCTGGGCAGGAAAACGAGAAGAGGTGTCGGATGGGGTTTGCGAACTACATCAATGGCGGAAGCGACATTCGGACCTACGCGAGTGCTTCGTGGGCGTTCTTCAGCGGGCCGGGATATCAAGGGTGCGCTGGGCAGTATCAGTGCCAGCGGTATATGCATTGGGTGGAGGAGACGCCGGCCAATTTGCAGGCGTTTGGGTTGTGCTCGAAGGATACGTGGGCGACGTTGAGGTTGGAGAATGGAACCGAAATTGTCACGAACGAGGGGTTCACCGGGTCATGGTCTGGGTCGGGAGGCGATGTCGGCAGGTACACTCCGGAGGCATCGTGAAAGAGACCGACAGAACATGTTGAGGATAGCAAACACCCCAAATAATTCAGTATTTGACGTATACTATTAGTATATGACATGCCTTTCAACGAAAAATAAATACATGTTCAGTAACGAAATATGGGCAATTGAGCTTCTTGTAGGCGTCGTGCACGTTCGTCCCAGGCATATTGTCGTTTTCTTACGGCCTTTTCAGTGGAATGAAGGGCCCTTCAATGCTGGCTGCTGTGATAAGCAGCAGTACCCGTACAGCGTGGTATAGGCCCACTACAGGCTTAATGCACTAACAGTGCGAAGGTCGCTTCGGCCCCCCGCCCTGTGGCCAAAGAAATGGAATGGACTCAGTCCATGTATGGACTGCATATTTTCAGCAAGTCCTATGCACTTCAAAATGCAAGTGGTGGTTCCAGACATACAGTAATGCTTTGAATGAGAGGGGTGGTATAAACTGATACAAAAGTACAAACAGGACTCAAACAACAAACATGCAAGCTGGACTGTCTATAAACCTAGTCCGGGTATCTCATGAACAGAAAGAGACAAACACCATACTCCATGCCCGCTAACAAAACAAAAACAACCATACGACATTCCCTTCATCAGCTATCCCGTCTCTCTTGACTACCTCTACGCTGTGATGCTTCCGAGTAAAGCTCAACAGAGACTCTCAGCACAAACTCCAACAACACAAAGTCTGACGTCCAAATTGCCCCAGCAGCAAGGAAGAATTCGATGCTCTTCATGGTGAAGAGAAGATAAAATCGAGCAAAGAACGGCGCGGAACACGAGTCAACGGATGGTCCGGGACCAACTTCTCCAGCTCAAAGCAAAAAGACTCGGCAGCATTCTCCCAAAGCTGCTGGGTCCTGTAAGTGCTGCGACCTGGAAGGGCCCTCTCCCTGCAGTAACGAATATTATGCGCATGAGTCTCGATTAAGAGCTGTCGATCGACGAGAGCCTGCTCCTCCAGCGGGTCAAGGCAGCCTTCGTCGGCCTGCTCTTTTCCCTCTGTTGTGAGGTCTTGGCCGTCGGGCGCCGGGGAGGGGTCGCGGGGCTCAGAATGATCTGGGTGAGGCTCTTGAAGTTGGGTCTTCGGAGTCTCAGCAGGGGACAGGACGGGGCCGTCTTGGTTCATGGCAGGCTCGGCGGTTGCGCGAGCTGCTTTCCGGAGGGTCGTGGTTGCCGAACTTGCCATTCCGTTGGCCCTCCTTTCTCTGTTGACCCGGAGGCGCTCTCGGATCAGGACGTCTGCGATGAGTGGTGAGACCGACTTCGGCAACTCCGCAATGGGCCTCTCTTCATCGTTGACGAAGATCATGTTTTTGCCGTATTTGCGGCATTTCATGGCAATCTTGCCCGCTTCCTTTTGGCTCGTGACGCCAGATTTGGCTGGGACCCAGTAGAGAACCAGTTCGACCCTCATTCCCGGAATATCGGAGAGCTTTTGTACTTCTTCAAGGACAAGTGAAGAGATTCTGGCGCGTACGGCTCGGCGCGGGTCCTCAGGTGCAGTTTCAACCGGGTTGATGATATCGCGAAGGGCTTGGTTGCTGGGGGTAAAGACATTCACGGTAACCTTTCCCGGGGCCCTTCCATGGGGGCCGACTGGGATAGCACGCAATGTCTGGCCCGCAATCCTAACCGCCTGAGAAATCGCCAGACTGTTCGCAGCGTGTTCGTCTGTGACGAAAGGCTGGTTCCAACCCATCTTGAAAACCTCGCCATGGTCGCTTGTGCCAGGTGACATCTGCCTGAAGACTACCGAGTACGCGCCCTTGAGCTCATGCCCCTCGACACATGATGCTGAGACAAAGAATCCCAACGAGATGTCAATAGGGGTTGCGATGGGGCGACACTGAGCTGCCTCAGCTCGCGCAATCACCTGGTTTCGGCTCATCTCATCGCCTGCGAAGGGAATAAAGACGGTGGCGGTCAGAGTAGAGGTGAAAAGAAGTTCTTGTTATCACAGCTCAAGTCAGTGACCGGGAGATAATACAAGCTGAAGCCGTATCACCGACAAAAGACTTACTGAAGAGCTCTACATGCTCAGGCGTGGGCCGTGCTCTGCGAGCGATCCAGTCACGTTGCCCGCTCCTTCTCTCTTCATTTCTGGGCTCTGGAAATAGCGACTGCATGGCGATTTGGGGCGTAGGTTGACGATGAGGTATATGTAATGTACGAAGAGTAGGTACGTTGTGCGCGCGCAGGAGACTGTGGCTTTGGTGGTGTAGTTGTGGCTACCTCAGCAAGTGAGTTACGGCGAACTGTCGATTGTTGTCCGTGATGCGGTAGTTAGGAAGGGAAATAATTTTGCCGAGAATTGGTATTGTGTGCTCCGTAAAGAATACCTACTAGGGCTCTGAAACTTTCAGGCAGTGACAGGTTCCGCGTCAGCTGTCTAGCCGTGGCAATTCAATACCGAACGTAGTATCGTGGGCAAACATGGGATGAAAATTAGGGCAGCTCTTGTTGTCCACGATCCTATCGGAGCTGGTGTCGACCTTGACCCGTGTTACTGTGGAAGTGGCGTGCATAGGGGTGGTAAAGATGAGCTTATCCGGCACCACTTTTCTTGTGTATCTCATTCTGTCCACAACAGGAGAAACGAGCAAGTACAATGCCATAGTAGAATTCAGGCACTTTGGTGGTCTAGACAAGGACATAGGAAAACAAAATGCGGTCGAGGAACCCTTTGCGAGAGTCTTACGGCTTAGACAAGTAAGGATGGAGTGCTTGTGTGACAGTGCTGCTTCAGCTTGAAGGTCAAAAAAGTGAGCGAGGACACAAGAACGGTATCGGGGAAGGCGAAATAGGGGCGGCACGAGGCCCACATATGTAAAGCTAGGATCGCGCTTCCCCATACTACCTGTATGTACTAGTAGAGATTGTAGTGCCTTGAGAGCGTTGAAAGCAGATATCAGTAAGTTAGGTAGTGGTGAAAAAAAGGGACCAGATGATGTGTTGCTTCCAACGTCTTGATGAATATGGGTATGACCCGACGGGATGCATAATTTAAGAAAAAAAAAAAAAAAAAGATGGGCAAGGGCGTGAATCGAACGCGGGACGTACAGCAGCCTGGAAAGGAGTAGAAGAGCCTTATTTATTGCGTAGCCGGAAGACGCCAGGTTGAAGTACTGCTTGGGGGCCAAACGCCTCGGCTCCTAGCTACCCGCAGGACAGGCAGACTAGAGCAAACGCGGAGCACCGCTAGGGTTTCACAGGAGATTCCCCAAGCCCCGAGTGGTGTGGTTTGTAAAAGCTGCGCACCACGCCGCTCGACCACACAGCCCTTGGAAGTTGTTGAAAGTACTAGCTGTTCGACTAGCCTATATTGCCCGCTCGTCCATCCGCTACATGCAATCACGCCCTTGGTGAATTATAAACAAGAATTTAATACCGCAAGCCTAAAAGACTTTGCATATATCGCTAGATGCGTTCAATTTCTTGCATCCACGGTTTCATTCTGAGGCTGACCGATGCAGGGTCCAAGAATCTTGAATAACAAAAAAAAGACCAAAAAATATGGCAAGGGCGTGAATCGAACACAAGCGGAACGTACAGCAACCTGGAAAGGATTAGAAGAGCCTTATTCATGCGTAGCCGGAAGACGCCAGGTTGAAGTACTACTTGGGGGCGCCAAACGCCTCGGCTCCTAGCCACCCGCCGCAAGGCAGGCGGACTAGAGCAAACGCGGAACACGGCCAGGGTTTTTCAGGCGAGATCCCCCAAGCCTCGCTGTGTGGTTCGCAAAGCTGCGCGTCACACCGCTCGACCACAGAGCCCTTGGAGGTTTGTTGGATGTACTGACATTTCGATCAGTTTGAATACCCCCTTCCTGCCCCATACCCCTCAGCAGGACTGGAGCTTTGCTGCCTGCATATTGGTCTTGACGGACTTTACACATGACACTCAGCAATTGCGATTCTTTCCTTTTGAGATAGGCAAACTAATCTTCCTTTCAATTGACACGGATCCTTCTTTGAGAAGTTCGTTTCCGTTTCCATTCATCCTCAGTCTTGATATGAGTTCTGTTCGAGATCCCAAGTCGGAAATGGTGCCATATGCCTTTGCTTCATTCACGCGTACAACTCCAAGTTGAGAAAGGAAACAAAGTACAGAAAGAATGCTGATCAGGAATGCAGGTGGATATGTTTAACATGCAAGGTAAACTGAGCAATGGGACAAAGACCGAATTTGACCATCGACTTGATAACGCGCAAAGGCAAGTTTTGACTAGCTAGAAAAAGGAAAACATGTATCCCCAACACCATGAGAGCTATGCACTACAATCTCAATTGAATACAAGTCCTTCGATCTCCGGTCGTAGCAACAGTAACTGGAGCAAGTGTCCCCTATTCTCCATCCAGCAATGGCGCTTGTTGGAACTGACCACTACGGCCTCCTCCCGATCCTGAAAACTTGACCTTCAAGTATCCTGACTGGACAAAATCACCCGTTGTTCATCGCCTATCATTGAGAGATGTTTTCGGGTATGATGTTGCTGATAACGTGACCCTCTAAAACAACTCGGACACATCAGCAGGCATAACCTCCGTCATCAATTTCCTTCCAAGCCTCCTCTCTTACTCCTCGTTCTCAGAAGTGTCAGACTCTTTCTCGTCGTCACTAACAGTCAACTCTCCTGACTCATCCTCGTAATCGCCGTCGCTGCTCTTCTCATCCATTGCCGTCTCGTAGGCCTCTGCATACAAGATCCGATATGACTTCTTGTACCCACGGCGGAATCCGTCCATATACCCAGTGTTGTTCCCATCATGGCAACCGTCAGAGATGCCATTGTCGTAGCCGTCCTTGAAGGCATCGTTGTAAGCTAGGTTGTACGCCTTGGAGTAGGCCTCGTCGTAGATCTCGCTGTAGACCTTCTTGTACACCTCGTTGTAGATGGACTCGTACCAAGGGCCATTGTCGGTGAGGGCAAACTTGTGCGCGTGGACGGGTCGGGCAGTCGGCTGAGAAGGCGCGTGGGACTGGTGCGAGGTTGAGAGTGGCTGAGACGGGCGCTTCTCTGTGTCAACGTCGACGTTGCGGCGCTTGGTGAATCGCTTCTCGGTGGCTTCGTCCTCCTCGCTGTCGTCTTCGCGCTTGCGGCGCTGTCCGTTCACTAGCTTGAGCTCTTGTTGGCCATTCTCTACTCTGGATCTCTGTTCGTAGTTGTGACGGTGCTCGCGCTCGATCTCGAGTTCGCGCTCAAGCTCGTTGCGAACGCTCAAGCTCCAGGCGTGTCTGGTTTTCAACAGGTCGCGCCGGCTGGGTACCTTTAGGTCTTGGGTACCTTCGGCAAGATAGCAATTGAAGGAATCTGCTTGAAGAATTGTCAGAATACACCCTGGACAAGAGCGCAGGAGATTTGCTGAAGTTGAGAGGGAGAGGGCGCATCAGCTTACCATTGTTTGAGTTTTGCTCCTTCTTCGGAGGTGCAGGCGGTACCATTGTAGCTCCCCTGGATCAGGCAGTTGTTGATTGAGGCGAAAATGCAAAAGGGATGCTTGCGCTCGTTGCTTAAGCCAAATGACGATTTTGAGTTGCGACAGGAATGCGGGAAGTCCCCTCTGGTATGTAGGTACCTAGTGCAAAGTAATGCAAGTGAAGAAACGCCCGGTTGCAGTGAAGGGCGAGAAGTGGGGGCATTGCGGGCGAGGCATGGATTGTTTGTGATCTGTGGTGGGGGTCAGGTGCATGCATAAACTGGGATATGGCAGTAACTTTGAGTCTTGCAGCGCACGTCCGATGCTGTTAGCGCACTATGTAAGTGCTGTGACATTCCTGGTTCAGCCTCTTGATAAACTGCGGGGCGTTCATGGTGAATGGTTAAAGCATGATACCTCCATTACCGTCATATTACTGTTGTTACCGTCGCTTCAACACAGGCAAGCAATGACTAATATGTGAACCAGGCTGCAAAGCCGGTATTACTCACAATATGGTCCTATAACCCTGATTCTGAGATGTTTGTTCCTGCGTGACGCGCAATGCTGCACTGAGCTGCCTCGCTGACTCTCTACAGTATGCGCGGCCCACATAGAGGATACAGATGGCATGACTCCGAAGAGCACGCCTCGCTTCGTTTGGCTTTTCTGAACTATAAAATAGCAGATCCCATGTAGTTTCTTGATTCCACCCTCGGTAGGGCTCGCAAATTTGGGAGTATAGCACCACTTTGGGGTTAGGGTTATAACCGTATAAATAACGAAAGTTCAGCATGCATCGTTCCTTCCACATACAACGATTTTATCTCATCGTACTTCCGCCTTCATTTGCAGAACCCGAGAAAGACTGAAGTTGGCTCCTGTTATTTTCTGCCCACATCTTCCGCTCTCGAACTAACTTGTCACGAGTCACGGGACCAGACGGATTCTACAATACTTGAGTTGTACCGTCTCTGCCCCGCTTTTCACCCGTTTCTCATCAACCAACGATCGCGTTCGTTGGCGACTTCCGTCCTCCCTCGCATTCATCACCCACCCGCGATACAACCACTTTTTATAACGGAGCAAGCTCTTTCAACGCTTTCCATCCGACGAGGCCACCTCACTATTTTCGTTGGTCGACCCCAGCTTCTAGAATATGCAATACTCGCGAAGACATCCACGAGATATGGATACCTCCTTGGACCGCAGAATGAAATCCCGACCGGATAGCTTGAGTATTGCCACATTACCAAACACATGTCAGTGCGCGTTGAGGCGCATGGCCCTTTGAGGCATCAGAGCCGGTTGCGAGACAGTATACTGACAGTTATTTCTGACTTCAGACTCCCGAGTCCTTGATTCAAAGCATTTTTGCGGCGAGATCATCATTGAAAAGGACCGAGCGAAGGCCATCGAAACCGCGTGCCGTGCGCACCGCGTGGTCTCAACATCCACAAACATCACCCTTGCAATCTTTACCGATGGCTCACGGCGCGGTCTTAATGGTGCCTATGCGGTCACATTCAAACGCTATGCGCCAGGCACTGAGGAGCACGGCAGCGAAGTAGCGGCCGGCTGGCCTGTTTTCCGCCAAAGCATCAACGGCTGTGAATTGCTAGCAATCAAGCACGCTATCAAGGTGGCAATCAGCGAGCTAGCCACACTCGAACGACAATTGCCGCCGAAAACCAAATCAAAGGTGCAGGTCAAGATCTTTAACGATGGCATATTCACGCTCGAGCATCTAGCAGAATTGAGGGAGACTATGCCAAAAGAGAGCGACCATATCTCTTCCATTTACCGCTGGTCAAAGAGACTTCGAGAACGATTCGCAGGTCGCGTCTCACCACTTGAAGTAAGATTGCACTGCTCTGGGTTCCTGGTCACGTCGACAACAAGGTGAAGCTTCATTGCAAAGCCGATGAGGTAGCTGGCATAGTTTCCGAGACTACGATGCCCTTGCTTATCGTCGGCGGAGAGGAGCGGCCGTGCCGTCACTGGGACTCCGTGATCCAGAAACTGTCTCGGGAACTGCCCGCTCCGCCTTACCAGGCGACATCACGAGTGGCCGAGGGAGGGGATGCGGAGGGCCAAGATGGCGACTACGATCTATTCCCATGCCAAGCGGACATAAACGGCCCAGGGAACAATCTCGAGGTCCTCGAAGGCTCGAACGACTACGAGGTGCACGGCAATGATAATCACCTCCAACCTCAACCCAATGAAGAGCGGCAAGATATCAGCTTCGAACACTGGTTCAATCAATGCCAGGATATCCAGCGGTGGAACCAGTTGTCAGCTGAGTTTCAGGGTTGCTACCAACAGTGGTACACCCTGTTTTTAAGAGAACAATAAAAACGCGATGTCGATCTGGAAATGGGCGGAACTTGAGGCGTGAATCAGGTGACATGTCGCGTAGGGCGGGGGGACCTGGGCAGTCATCTAGCTAGGCTAGATGACTGGCCGTCGGTCGTTTCTGGGCTTTGGCAATCAATCGAGCAAGTAGCTCAAGACTTTTCTTCCTCTCTGCTTTTTTCCCTTCTTCTTTTGACCGTTGGTTCGATCTAGTGATCCACTGACAGTGGCCTCTTTCTGGTGGCGCGAGAAGTCTCGCCCATCCCTTGTGACTGTGAATGGCCTCTTCGACCTACTGGGTAAAATGGGCTTTTCATCCCTCATGCCCTCCCTATTATCCAGCTGTGATACCCTTCACGACAGTGTTTTATGGCATGTCGACACTGAAGACAATGAACGCGGAAGCAAGCCTCTTTGTTTGGCACAAACAACTGGACGTTGAGTTATGGTTTTGAATTTTCCGCGTGCTCAATTTTTCTGTTATCTGTGTATCCGATGTGTAGCTGGCTTGCCAGTTAAGCTTGCTGTGTCGTTGGTTCCTCCTAATCTCGTCAGGGATACCCGGTTCGAAAGTGGCACCGCTGGCATCTACTGACATAGTGCATTAACACAAGTGTACCATAACTTGCCGCAACACTGATAACAGCTTATTTGTAAATATCCATGCTTCCCGGTCACCCTTGCCTGGCCCACTGTTCCTTCTACCCCACTATTAACCTCACTTCATTAACGGAGGGCTACCGTCCATACCTGTGAGCACAGCGAAGACGTGAGTTAACAACGCTTTCAAGGACTCAACACCCATGTTGACATCAGGAGAAAGTTTGTGAATGAGAGGCAGCCAAATGCAAGCCGAAAAGAATGGATTGGAGTCTGCTCTATGCCTGATTCGCTGAGGCACAGAGGCGCTACGATTGTTTGGCAGAAGCGTTTATATCCCCTGAAGCCTCTAATACACACCACTACTTGATTCCATACTTTCATTCTCTTATACTTTTTATGGCCCTCTCTGTGCCCTTCTGCCCTTCCTCCTCGTTTTCTTCTGTTTTGTTGTTTTCCTTCTTGGACCTGTGCTGCTTTTTCTTCTCCCGTCGATACGGGTTTCGACCTGTTGTTCGTCCATCTTCTCCTTCTCGTTCTCGTAATCCGCCTCTTCATCCTCCATCCCCTCCTTCTTCTACTCCTTCATCTACTACTCCCTCTGCTGCACCTTTATATCTCGCTCTCTTGATGTTTCTTGTATCGTTGGTTGACTATAACATCCCGTTTATAATAGTATTGTTGTCAGTTTCTCACGAAGGTTAGAGATCCATCGCTCTGTAAACCTGCAGCACTGTCAGTCATGGTGAGATTGTGAGTATAATGTTAAGAGCGTTAACAGCATTATGAGGCTCGTGCAGACATATTCTGTAGACACAAACTGTATAAGAAGTGTGAAGACGTGCGGTAGCGTGATATTATCTCGATATAAAGTTAAAGCCAGGCAAGAGTGCCCGGCCTACTTCTCCTTGTACATACCTCTAGATTAGTACAGCTAGTCCAATGCTACCTAATCAGTTTGTTAACCTGATATTCCAAGTCAGACCTATCCTTATCCGTTAGAAACACTGCAAGATCACTTGAAAATGCCTTCGGTCAAACAGAGAGTGCATTACGTATCTCGGTATAACCAAGCGTGAGAATGGTGTCAACCTGAAACCCTCTGAAACACATCATATAATTTAGATACACCTATACTAATTACCGATACGCCTGAAGCTCACGAAGTATGGAAGAGTGTCCTGAAATTCATCCATTGACCGAGCGAAGCGAAGAGTTATGTCACAGTTCCAGTGAAGTCGAAGTTCACTTCAGGAGAAATAACATTGTGCTACTTCATGTCGCGAGAGCAGTAGAGGTAGTTTTCAGGTTTCTTAGTTATGAAGCTGGATCGAAGGTACGATCACAGAATACAAAGCTATTCAACAGCAAAGTACTGGAAGCGATGGATGTATCAAATGAAACATAACTCAAAGCTACCTCTACCATGTTCTAAAGTCTCTACCTGACAGGGGTATCTCGTACAAAGGAGAAGAAACCGAATGAATCCAAACTCCTTGCTCTTGAGCAATGCGAATAATGACAGAGAGAAAACCTTGACAAACCCCAGCTTTTCACACACCAAACGCCACACATCTATGATCGCTCGGCAACTTCGCCATAGTGCAACATCAAAGTCTTCCTCCTCCAACACGAACGCAACATGACATAACAAACTACAAAGTCCAGAACATCCCAAGGCCGCCAAAGTACCAATGACGAGGACGAGAACGACCAACCAACCGCCTTAGGAAAAGGATGCTCCGAAGAAGAAAGGTTGGTCACGCGCCAAGTGGCGCACCTCCTTGTCTTTCTCACTCACCAGCTTTTGCCGCTGGCTTATGTTCACACGCATGGCATGGATTTGGTCCAGCAAGCGGTTAATCCGGACTCTCTTCGCCTCATGAGCACGCACAATGGGATTTCCAGGCGCCATCAGGCGAAGCTCCTTGAGGCAGACCTCCTGCCACCGCTCCAGAACCGGTTCCTCCCTATGTCCACGCATCCTCCTCTCCTGCATGAAACGGATGCACTGCTCCAGAACATGCTCCTCCATCCAGTCATCTTCCTCCTCAGCCGTCGCTTCGGTTCTAGTCACCGTGGCTTTTTCGGTGCCTGGAACATCATCTTGTTCGATGCTTGGGGTCGAGTCCTTGATCTGGCTGGTCTGCTCGATGGTGGGACGGGCCGGACCGAGATCGCGCCACCACAGTGGCTTGTTCGTTCCCGGGAAGGGGATGTTCGATACCATGTCCGGAGGGCCGCCCATTGGGGGCGGGCCTGACGTGTAGGACACCGGGTTGCTGGGGCGAGAGGGCGAGGGGGAAATCTCGATGGACTCGTGGACCTCGAGGTCCGAATCGTAAAAGTCCTCGGGGTCGGAAAAGGAGGAGACGTATGGCTCCGGACAGGGGTCATATGACTGACCGTACCACGAGTCGTGGTATCCAACGGAACAGATGATATCTCTAGGGACACCGGCTGCTGCTGATTTCTCGTTGGACTTCTCTTTGTGATCCTTACTTTTTTGGATAAGGGCGTGTTCTACATCGAGATACACCGATGGAGGCATCTCTGCAGCGAGTCTGGCTTCACCGTCCAGGGTAAACATATTCTGCTCGCCATCAAGTAGTCGACATTGGAGGGCAACGCGCTTGGCGGCCCGCTGGCTCTCGAGGCTACTTTCCGCCGTTAGCCAGTAGAGGTGTAAATCGACCTCCAGATCGGGAATGTCGCCAAGCTTCTGACTTTGTTCGAACATCATGACTTGAATCGTTCTCAAGAGTTTAGCGTGAGGAGTGAGACTCCTGTTCGCACTCCAGGCGTTGTTGGTAAGTACGATGTCTCGGAACACGTGAAGGGCTCCCGTGAAAATATGTACCGTAGCAAGCTTGGGACCACCTGGACCAGGAGGAAGGGTGCGCAACCGCTGGTGGGCAAGCTGAAGTGCCTGGACCACTGCCAGAGCTTCTGCAACTACGTTGTCCCTAAGTAACCGTGAACTCCACGCCATCTCGGCTTGCTTGCCATGGTCGTCGGTGTTTGGTGACATTTCGGTGAAGATTACCGAGTAGGCACCGACGGTCTCCCCGCCTGGCTCGTGCAAACGGGACGCTCCTGTGAAGAATGACAGCGCAACTTCGCCTTTCGTTGCCATGCGCCCTTGGAATCGCTCAGCGATGGTGATAATATGACGCTTGGAGGCCTCGTCGTTTGGTTCAGGAGCATTGACTTTGCCGCGCAATGTGGTGCAGACTTTGGGAATGCCTGTTTGCGATGGAATTTATTAGCAACGATGAAGAGAATGTACGATGATTTGACACAATGTTTCGGGCTGGATGTGTCTTACGAGAAGTATTGAGTATTTCTGGTCTGCTGAGCGCCCGGCTGGACGAGTCGAGCCTGTTGTTCGCTTCCGTTGCATTTGACGCCATGCTGTACAATGTATCGTGAGGGACTTGAAAGACGCGCAGAACTAAGATGGTCGCAATAGGAGCGCGCAACTGTGGCTCAAGGTGATGAAAGTACCTCTACGTATGCGCAGTCGTCGAGGTGTTACAAGGGGCAAGAAGACGGTGACGCGCAGTTAACAGTTGCTGTTTGCGAACTTTGATCGAGGGGTAGAAAGAAATTTCGGGAGTCAAATTATGTTCTGTGCGTGACGTAGGGCCTTGTGGGTGGACTGCTCAGCCTTGCAAGCCGGCCGCGTCACCCCTCAACCGTACCAGATTAATGGGTTGGCCCAATGGCAGCGGTATGGACATCGGATGAGACCTGGGTATAGTAAACTAGTGATGCCGCAAAAGGAGCTCACAGACCGCAAGTACTCGAGATGTTAATGAACCGATCATTGTTGGTCAAAATGTGATCGGTTGAGGAACGATTTGGGCAGGCAACTGAAGAGAGTCACGTCAACCTGACATAAACCTACGTTGAAGTGAATCAACACGATATGAAAAGACATTTGAGCACTCGCAATATTACAGGATTTTCAGTATTACACGACGGGGCTCAAAAGCAGTTGACAAACGGAAGGTGGATAATAGAATAATGCTGCTACTTCCTGCGCCGATACATGAGTACCGAAAGTACACATTGTAGGTCTAAAGCTAGCAAAATGAACGTATCACAAAGAAGACGGAAGTATTATGATGGATGATGGATGGATTGCAGTGCCAGTCAGATAGTAAAAGCAAAAACGGTAAAAGGACCAAAAAAAGAAGGTGGAAAGGTCTCGATCGCGAATCGAACAGGGGACGTTTGAGCAACTGGAAGGGAGTAGTAGAGCCCTATTTGCATAGCCGGAAGACGCCAGTTACAAGAAACTATCCCAGAGGGGCACCGCTCAGCGCTTATCAGTCGTACTTTAGTGTAGTGTACACAGTTCTACGGTGACGCGGCCGCCATGAGCGGGCAGTTTTCCCCTGGGCCTAACCCTGGTGGATTGCAAAGCTGCACACCATACCGCTCGACCACTGTCCCTTTCCGAAAATCTGCCACAAACCTGTGACTTATCAACCTCCCCACCAGCTTCAACCCATTCATTTCACTCATGCCTACCTACCTACCCATTCCACCCTGCTTCCGAACACAAACAGCGACGCGTTGATGCGGCTTTCGAACAAAAGGATGGACAGACCACCTCATTCACCTACGCGCATTTCACGCTGCCTTTGGCATACTCGTGCACGCATTTGTGTCTTTTACTACACATTTGAATCAAGCGTTGGAGCTTCTCAATCAAATCACCTGCCATAGACTCTGCCTGATGTGCTCAAGTTCCAAGCTATCGCGAGGGAGGGCTGTGACAGTTCTGAGTCTTGTATCTTTTCATTGATACCTACCTAGCGCTACAAGCGGTGAAATGACTGACAAGAGTCTCTCACAAAAACAGAAATCGGCAGAGTGTGGATAGAACCACTGGCAAATGGTCTCGCAGTGGCTAAACGAGGAAAGGCTAGCAAAAACATCTAAACAGACAACTATCTACCTTAAAAGGCTGTTGATAGGGGTAGTAGAGCGATCGTGTTCACCTAGGGCTAAACATGGCCCTCACTAACAGAGATACGTCCGTGACTCCGTGAAACGTCCTCCCTTGATCTTTCCTCCTCCCGGTCGCACCAGAACTGATACACCCACAATGCCGGCATAATGGTACTTATTTTCAGTGGACCGTGTAGTCCCTTCCGCAACCAAATTTGCTGGGCTGCGGGTGACTGGAGCGTTCGCAGGATCTGTTTGATCAGTCTTCGAGTCTTGTATCTATTGAGTGCCCATGCAGTGCAGTGAGTGAGCTTGATGTGACATGGCCAATATCTTCAGTCAACTCCCAGCGTAGCCGAGGGAATTTTTTTCCTTCATCCATCCGCAACTGAAACTCAATCCTTGTGCAGTGGAGGATAAGGCGGTACATTAATGAGGACGGACACTGTAGGGTAATGGCTTGTTTAAAAGCATTCTGAAAACAAAACATGAGGGCTCTAAAGACTCTACCTGATATTGAAGATGACTTTGGCCTTTAGATAACTTGTAAGGGGCGTAAATATTACACCAACACCGAGTGTCCTCCTGCTTCACGGAAACCTCCTAACAAAAGTGGACCTCTCTTTACCCTCTGATTCCGGCTGCCCGAGTTGCCCAGCACCCCAACGTCCTCTCCGACAGTGCCCGTGGCGGCAGAATATACGTCTATTTCACCGCTCCCTGGACGGGTCTAAGGTGATTACTTTCCAGCCTGGCTTCCGTATGATCGTTGACAACCCCATTATCCGCAACGAGTCATCCGCCAACCAGTACCGCCAGCTAACCTTCACCTGCCTGAACGCGCTCGACACCCGCACGGGCGAGACCAAGTCCATACCTACCTAACCTTATCTGCAATGATAGAATCGTGATCAAACGTGCGTCTTCCCAAATTCCTGGGACAGCAAGAACCTGGATTCTGCCGACCAATCCTTGCAGGTCACCTATCTCCACGCACGGCGACAACAATTTCGGCTGGAAGTGCAATGCGTTGTAAAGGGCCATGAACGCCAACTGCAATATCTGCGACGGCGTCCTCCGCATGGAGACCATTGGCTAGGCTAACCCGTGCTCCCAAAGCAGAAAGTCGTGGAAAATTTGATGGGTAGTTGATGGAGTTGCCGGATGCTATGCGTATCACCGGCCCGCAGCCGGGAATGGGAAGCGGTGGTTTAAGCTGCACTGTTGCAAATTTGGGACAGTGTGGTCGGACCGGATATGCAGGGTGCACAGCCTGTGCTTCGGGGTCAATTCGCAAGCAGTAGAATGACTGGGACTCGCGATCCTTGTAAGGCGTGACAGTGCGGTCATACCGGGGCCTGAGATTCCGGCCCTGCGAAAGGAATTGCGTGTTAGATAATGCGAACAAATGTGTCTGGATGCCTGTAAATAATATGGAGGGCACCAAGACCTAGATGCTATTGTACCTACTACATACTTCATTCTCTGAGCGCATCATTTCGAGGATCCAGTGAACCTCAAATCCTCAGCGTCAACAGTGAAACGAGCGTAGATCTACCGTCCAAATCAACCAAGTCAGCAAGTCATCAATGCCGCAGTATCACAGAAACCCACATACCTCGAACTCTCCAACGACTGCGCCACAAGCTGCGAATAAAAGCTCTTAACATCCCTCAACGAAATCATCGAGTTGCGCCCTTCCCCTTCCTCCCTTATTACAACCTCTTCATGTACCGGGAGTGTCTCAGGCTCCACAACAATAATACACAAACTTCTAAGATTCGATAGAACAGACATCCATGTCTTATTGTCCACATCCGGCCTGTATAGCATGGTATTCGACAGCGAAGAAGCAATAACAGGATGCGTCAACTCCAAGCGTCGGATCGGTAGGCGATCCACGGCTTGGGGAAGCATGCTCAGGAGATCCTCGTTCTCTTCGTCTGCGACGACGATGCGGAATGTGTTTTCAGAGTAAAAGACGTCGAGCGCTTCGGCGCGGGTCTGCTGGTTCAGAGAGAGAATGGCGGTGGTGTCGGCTTCTTGGAGACACTCGAACACGGGTCGTCTGCGGCTTAGCTCGATGGTGTCGGGCTGGAGGACGACATCGCGATAGATGAAGATGCGGATCTCGAGGGGCAGGTCGAGGAACCCGAGTGTCTTGGGGTCGGAGTAGGGGAGGAAGCTCGTGGGAGACATGGTTGAACGACGGTCGTGATATTCTGGTCGTGGTAACAGGGCGCTGTACTGGACGGTAGATGCGTTTCGGTCGCTTGTGAATTGGTTTTCTGTGAGATGCCGACGTCGGTGGTGGCCAGATTCAATGCTGCGGGACTGGGCGTAGCCGTCTGTTATTTAAGCCATAACGGTTGAAGATGATGTCGGATTACCAACGACGACAGATCGGTCGATGCGGGGCATGATGGTGTAGCGACTGCGTTGCCAATGGATTACTAGTACTGCAAAGAACTTGTGTAGAGGCGGGTGGTGCGCCAGTGACCATACCACGGCTGAAGATGCCGGAACTTTGTCGAAAGAGGTTGGAAATCGGCAACTGGAGAATTATCAAGACGATCTCGATGGGAGTCTGATGGTGTTTTGTCCACACTGCAGGAGGAAGGCAGAGTTGCATGATGGGATTGGTGGATGACGTAGGGGAAGAAGGTAGCGAGTATTCTATACCGCATGCACTCGACATGCGGAAGGTGCCTTTGGGGTACATGAATCCCCTTGGCCGGCTGCCTATCCGTGGTTGGTTCGGTGGTGTAAAAGGCAACATCCCTGGGGTGGAATGATTTCACTTCTGACTGAGGTCCTTGAGGAAGATACGGGTTCGAATCCTGAACGGGCTGACCACATTTCTTTTTTGGACCTTCTTCCGACGCGTATCCATTGCTATTCATCTGATTGTTACCAATTGAGATGATGTAGTTCTTCATGGGAGACAAGCAATTATTGTTCGTTGGCAGTCATGTCGATAAATGGTATGAATGACTGTTCGTTCAGATGCAGGTGATCGCAAACGAACCGCATAGCATCGGGAAGCATACAACCTCAGTGCAAAATACTTGGCCAAGACGTGAACCCATCTTCAGCTCTACAGTCATGGGACCCTCGTTCGTTTTGCCGCAACTGGCAGCCGGAAATATCTGTGGAACCCCGAAGATCTGTTCCGTGCCGTCGTGCAACATTGTTTCCTGCAACGGGAAGCACTTCACCAACCAGCCGGGCCGTGACACCTCAATCCATTAGCCGGCATGTGCTACGGTTGTTCGCTGGGTCGATTGGCTTGGCCCCCAACGTCTTATAGTCCGGTCGATCTCGATCTCGTACTTGGTTGAAGGTGTGCTATTGCGGCTGCTTGGTTTCATGAGATCCAACCACCCCCTCGGAAGTCATCATCGGTTTCGAGATCAACTCACTTGTTTCGGGAAACTGAGGGGCAGGGTGTAGGACATAACTTCTCGCTGTTGTCAACCAGTGATTGACATTGCACAGAAGGCAATGCTGGTGAGTTAACATGGTCCATGACTTGAAATTTCAATCGAAACTCAGCTAATGACTAAGGAAATCAAAGAATGAATGACAGACACTCCCCCATAATGGCCAGCATATGCAGGCCTGCTATGCTAGCCCATGGATGTCGGTGAGAAAACGGGCCCCGTTAAACAAATGAAAACTTCAGTAAAGACTGTAACTTAACCGCATCCGGCAACTCTCGATTGTGTCATTCCAGACTTGGTGAAGTGCATGACGTTTTCCGTCGCAGCTTCGTCGAGAGTTATGTTAAGTCTTCGTCAGTTACTTGACTTAGACTGTCAAGTTTCCCAAGGCATTTATAATATCCAAGTTCCCACTGCTCCTCAAAATCTTTCCGACTTCCTTCATGTGATTATGAAACCTACTGACTTCGGTGTAGACGTCGCTAACATCCTCCACAATGTCCTTCATCTATGGGTTAATTGGTGTTAGTTGACCCCCGTTAATAGTAATCTAGGAATTAGTTAGGTATTTTTCAATCTGCCAACTTCCTGTTTTGTAAGGACCATCCTTCTTCATCTTCGTGCGACCATTGGCTTTCTTGATAGCACTAGGAGCCGGCTGGCACTTCTCCTCATCTTCCTTGCTGAGCTCACCAGACCAGAACTTGGTGGTCAGTTCCCATCTTCTCTCAATCCTAAGAAGGTCACCATCGGCTAGCGCAGGCAAGCGATTAGCATCCCTTGAATCGAATGAGTATCAAGTGGGGAGCCAACGGACCATACCCTCTTCGATGATGGAGAGAGCGGCATCAATGTGCGGTCTCAGGTCGTTGAAATACCTGGTCGCATTTCGCTTGGCGGTTGCGGGGTCGAGGTAATAGACTTCGAAATTGAAGTGCGTCGCCCAATCCGGAAAGGCATATTCGAATGGGAAGCTAAGGTCGAATCCAAGCTTCACAAAGTCTTTTCGCATACGAGCATGGTTGAGGAGATTTTCCCAGTTATTGACCAACTCCTCCGGACTTGTTGAGGTTTCTACCGGTTCTTGTAGTTTGGGCAGTGAAGAAAGGTCTGAGTCTGTCGTTCTGGAGGATGTTTGGCTTCTTCTGGACATTTTTGCAAGTGCTCTAGTGCGGTATATCAACAGCAAATATGATTGGAAGGCTTGTACCAAATGGGTAACGAGAGTTGTTAGCAAGTCTGCTGCTGTTGAAGGGAAAAGCTAAGTTGGAAACGAGCATTGTAATGAATGATTTATAGGTAGCTAGCACTATTCTGAAGCTTTGTTGTTCTTGCCATTTAGGACTCGAGATGTTGGTAGAGGCGTGGCTGCCAGTCTCACGACGTGACCATCTTCGTCCTTGATCAGATCAGATACGAGGCGACAGAACCTCGTTGTTTCCAACATTTCGGAGGCGAATCCATATGAGGACGCAATGATATTGAAGGTAGAAAGAAAATGGAAAGAGAGGTTGTATCAATCCTCAACTCACCAGCTTCCAACCACCTGACGATTTTGATCATCTGTGCAACCCTAACCCTGAATGCAACAAGGGCCGCGAAGAAGTACCCGGCCTTGCTGTTGGCTCGGCGGCTCGGCTGGTTGGCAAGTGGAAATCTCATGGTCAGTCTCTTGAAAGCTTGCAATAGTTGGCGCCCTCAGGGCTCAAGCAGCTTTTATCTACATGAGATAAATTGCCCGGTCTATATGACGTGGGTGTTGGATGTGTGAAAAGAAGAAGCAAAACCCCCAAGGCAGCGCTTTCAGCGGGGTTAGGGTTGGCGTTGTCTGAGGCCCAGCGGTTCACGCTGCTCATCCCACCATGGGCGATAGAGGATACAAACAGATATTACCATTTGTCACTGATTCCGGGGCGTAAACATCTTTCCAATTTGGAAGCCTGGACTTTGATGTTGCGAGTTCGAAGCTCGCTTACTTTTGTTGTCGCTGGGAGTCTTTGCCTAGAGGTATCGCCAATAGTTCGCTGCAGTTGCTATTTCCTGCAGTGTGTAGATCTGCAGCTGTCAGGGCGCAAAACACCTGCAAGTTGATCCGTGCGCATCTGCTTTCAGTTCACGATTCTCTCCCTTGCTCCTTCCGTTCCTGAAACAAGAAGCCGCCGATATTGGATGTGTCAACAACGAGCAACATCCAGCTTCCTCTCATTTGGATCTCCCACTCTCTCTTTTGTATCGACATATTTTCCCAGGGATGGGATGGCTCCGAGTAGAACGTCCGGACAAAGCCCAAGTTTGGTGTGATATTTCCACCACATGGCCCGTGCGCCCAAGAAGCTGACTGCTGCTTTCATTCAGCACCTTCGCGAACGGTGTTTTTACATTCCACCCGGATTTCGACTGCGCGCCAGCCATCTTTCGTCACTACCTGTCATCATTCTGGAATTCGGTCTTCGTCGATGAATGAGGGCTGGCTGAAGGACTCCTTGCAAATGTCCGTTCACGGTAGTAGCCGTCCTCAATGCCGATTTCGCTTCTCTGAAGTCACAGTCCGCTGACAGCCATGCCACGCCATCGTCATCTTCCCTGCCTCTGTCCTCAGTCAATGCAGTTGATCATATCCAGGCCAGGCCATGCGAGGGACGCCAGTAGTACAGCCACCCTTCCCTCGTCTTTCTGATCAGTCAATCAAGTAATGGCTTCTTCACGGCTTGGACCCTAACCCTTATCAACCCCCAGATTGTGATGACCGCCGGGGGAGGTCAAAGCCATCGTCATGTCTCGAACAATGGTGTTGATCTGGTCTACATCTGCCGTCTACCCGCTAGGTTTCCGGCTCTCATGAGCGAGATCTCAGATCCGGGGGACGGGGTAGATGCGGCGGCTGAGCTGTGTCCTTGCATGCCAGCCACCAGGGTCACCGACGGTTGATTCACAACAAGCCAATTCAGGGAGCATGCCAGTCGCCAGCCATGTAAACATTGCCAAGTCCGTCTACACTATACCGACCAGTATATACAAATGATCGTATCCGACTCCGTCACGCTTTCTCTGTTCCCAGGGACTTGGCTCTTGCATCGTCCTCGTCGGTTGGGTGTTGTTGTTGTTGCGTGTTCTACTAACCATCCAGGAAACCCCCCTATTTACACTCGTTGATCCCCTTTCACATCACCCACTAGTCATTCGGTGTGTCATCCCCAACACCCTATTGGAATATCAGTATGCGTTTTCTTCCACTTCTAGGCGGCTTATTGCCCCTGCTCGGCCTCGTTGGTGCCGCTCCAAGCTGCAACCATGAGTGCAACCGCGCTTGTTGGACATCCCGGTTCAACGTCAACACAGACTACGAGAACGAATGGCCTGTCACCTGGGTTACACGGAAGGTAAGATTTTCCAAACTATGTACCAGATCGACAAAGTTTCCCACATGCTCACACGAGACACCACAGTTCGACTTTCAAATCACCGAAGTGGATGAATGGGTTGGCCCAGATGGTCACATCAAGAAGGGAGCCATGCTCATCAATGGTGAGATATAGCGTCTGTCCGATGCTCAACTGCCTGCTAACGTGCAACCCAATAGGCGGTTACCCAGGGCCATTGATCAAGGCCGACTGGGGCGACAGGATCGAGGTCACAGTCACAAACAGGCTCAAGACGAACGGGTCAGTTCCGTCCTTCCAACTACAGTACGGGCCATTGACACTGACAATCCTTTCAGTACTTCTATGCACTGGCATGGTTTCCATCAACTGAACAGCAACAACCAAGATGGCGTGGCCGGCGTGACGGAGTGTCCCATCGCTCCTGGTACCAGCAAAGTCTACTCGTTCCTGGCAACTCAGCATGGAACTTCTTGGTTCGTCCACTCTGCCACTCGAGCAGAGGCGTCGACATATCCGCTAATACGTGATTTGTTCCAGGTACCACTCGCACATCTCCTCGCAATACGCCAACGGCATCGTTGGTCCAATCCAGATCAACGGCCCTTCCTCCTACCCGTACGATACCGACCTCGGCGTCTTCCCCATCAGCGACTGGTACTATGACTCCGCCGAGCACATCGTTGATCGGATGATGGACCCCAACGATCCCTTCCTCAAGGGTGTTCCTGGCTCTCCTCCGCCAAGTAACAACATCCTTTTCAACGGGATGAACATTGCGCCCAACGGCACTGGAGGCGAATATGCGAGATTGAAGTTCACAAAGAACAAGCGCCATCGTCTCAGGCTAGTCAACACCTCAGCCGATAACACCTTTGTCGTGTCCATCGTCGGTCACAACATGACGGTCATTGAGACTGACTTTGTCCCCGTAGAGCCGTACCCGGTTCACCAGCTTTACCTCACCGTTGGCCAACGCTACGATGTCGTAATCAAGGCCGACCAAGAGGTGGACAACTACTGGATCAACGCAACCCTATCTTCGACCCCCCTATGCGGCGTATCGCTCAACCCTTATCCCGCAGCCATAGTCTCGTACGAAGGCGCCGATGAGTCCAGGCTTCCCACTAATCACGGTCTACCTGCAATCGATCAGTTCTGTGAGGATGACGTCTCTTCCAAGCCCCTGACATCGAGGACAGCGCCAAAGGCCGACTTTTCCGACACCAAGGTGGATACTCTGTCCGTCACACTGGACGTGAAGGAGGTGAACAAGGGTATCTCCAAGGTACTTTGGTCAGTTGATGGCTCGGCCATTGATGTCCAATGGGATAAGCCGACGTTGGAGTATGTCGTCGAGGGCAACTTTACGTTTCCGAGACAAGCAAACATTATCCAGCTGCCCGAAGCTGTCAAGGTCCGTTACCTTTCCCTTCATGTCCCGTGCTTGCATCGACTACCGACCCAAATCTAACGTGCGAAACAGTGGTCCTTCTGGGTGATCCAAAACAACTCTCCCTCGCCGCATCCCATGCATCTCCACGTGAGTCTTTCTTTCTATCCCTCCTCCCTTACTTCCCCCCCCCCCCCCTTTCCCCTCCTCCCTTTCTCTTATGTCTCCCCATACATAGACTAACCTTCTCCACAGGGCCACGACTTCCTCATCCTCGGCCGCTCCCGCTTCCCCGCGAACCCCCTCGTCGACCCAGGCCACCCCATCCTCTTCGACCCCGTCATCGACGGTCCCCATCTCAACTTCGACAACCCCACACGGCGCGATACCACGGTTGTCCCGTCTTTCGGATGGCTCATTATTGCCTTTGAAGCCGGTCGTAACCCTGGTTCGTGGGTGTTCCATTGCCATATCCCGTGGCATATGAGCCAGGGACTCAGCGTCCAGTTTTTGGAGAGGGTCGATCGGATTAATGATGGGGCGATACCGAATTTGATGCCGGATTTGCGGGACAGGTGTGATGAGTGGAGGAAGTATGCGGATAATGATCCGGAGTTTAGGATGAAGAAGGTTGATTCGGGGATTTGAACTCATTTGAGTTGAGTGGGAGAGAAGAGGGGGGGGAGGTGGAGGTGGAGGTGGTGGAGGTGGAGGTGGAGGTGGTGATGCCTAGCGTATGGGAGGGAAGGAGATGGGGGGTGACTGGAGGGGGGTTTCGTTCTTGTGTATTCTCTCCATATTTTTGTTGGATAGTTGATAGGCTGAAGTTGTGATATGATCGTTATATAAACACGTCTTTGAAAGGCATGGTGAAGCAGATGAAGGCATGCATAGTCAATAGGCAGGTGAAAGAGTGAATGTGTTGAACCATACTGCAAGGGAGTGATCATAGTGAGCGATATTATGGTGGTGGTGAAAGTCTTGATAGATTGAGAAAGGAAGGAAAGGTGAAGAAGGAGGATGAAATCCGACTTATATCTAGGGTAGCAATGTGTGGATCATATCCACTGATACCGAGAGAATGCCGAGAACTGGTGATGGCTTCAACAGAATGAAGGATATGTGGCGTTAAAGCAGCGGAATGCTCCCAAATATAGTCGGATCTTCCTCACCAGCTTCCTGCCCTTCCTCAGTCCTAAGCAATTCATGATGCCACAGGTATCGCCTGAGTACAACGTCTGGTTCATAAGGCTCTTCCGAGTTCCGGGTGACAACTCCCTCCTACTTGTATATTCGGCACCACCATATCGGCCCGCTCATCATCAAAGTGATCAGATCTCCAAGAGAACCGACTCGGAATTCTACAATCCCTTGATGACGGGCCAACCAAATCCCAACAGATTTTAGATTTTCTGTCCATTTGGATCGGGACTCCACGAACCCCGGATCCTGAAGCAGCGTGTCGTCCTCGGGTCACCCCAACACAGATACCAGAGCCTCCAAAACAGAATTGCAAGTAGCGGATGTCGATATGACTAGCAAGTTGATTGTTTAGGTAGGTAGGGATTTACAGCAACGCACACTAAGTCGCGCTTAAAGACTGTGTATGTGTGCCACTGGGTTTGTGTTGTGCGGGTCTCTGGGCAGTCATCCAGTTCGTGATGGAAATGGAATGGGACCTTCGGCTGTACTCAGATGTTTCTTTCGGTCCAGGATTCATGTGGGCTGGAGTTCTCGAGAATCGCACGTCGAACCATGTTTGGAGGTGGGAAATTGGGCCATAAATCTGCGGGATTGTAGGGAGATGGGTATCAGGATGAGCAGAGGCTGGATGGACCAGCAGGTGGAGGAGCTCTGCCCGTGTTGAGCATGCTGGAAGCAACGTAACAGAGTATCGTGATTGGATCAGGGTCTTGGCTTTCCGGTGCAGATATGGAATGAAAGAACCTGGAACTTTTGACGTCGCCTATGATACGGACACACTTTTCGACAAGTTGTCTGGACTGGACCCTACATCACTCACGTTAGTAATCGTACAGGTGCCAGTTCAATAGAATTTCACTCACAAGTCGTTTGAGTCCGCTTAGTGACCTTGCAACGATGCACTTGAATAACGAAGCCTCTGAAACTCCAATAACGGATCAACTAGGTCGAGAGCAGACTTGACGTATTTTCCCTGAGCTATTAAGAGCGCAATCTTTGGCCTTTTGTAGTTCCTCAACACTTTCAATACGATGAGGGTAAATAAGCGCCGGGCACGGTTGCTGCTTTCGATCTCAGATCTCAACCTTGCTACCTTGTCCAGTTGTATCTGGCCATCGACTTGTAGTTCTTCCGCCATTGCCAGGATGCGTTCTATTACGTTGTGCTCCCGCATGTACCTCATTACAAGCCTCGGTGAAAGGCCATCCGTCTCTAGCTGATTGCTGAATACTTGGAAGGGCATAACTTCCCCATTCAACTGTTCACGGGCCTCCTTCGACGATTCGGGTAGCTCCTGATTAAGGCGCGGTACGTCGTATGCACCCAGAGCAGGCACAAGAGAAACGCCAAGTCCTTCCGCGAGATCCGTTCCTAGTCCTCCATGCTGGTATCTCTGTGCCTCCGTATGGTCTCTTATGTTGCCGAGCTGTGCAGACGTAGAATAGAAATCTCTCGGGTTATGGCGTAGCTGGACTTCCCGTGCAGTGGCGAACGATACCGTTGACGAGTAGCTACTTTTGGGAAAAGCCCACTTGGAGCTGTCGATCGATCTTCGTCCGCTGATAGGCAAAGAAATGATACTATCGGATGTTTGAAGCGGCGTTTCGACTGTATCACGATCTGCAGAGATGCCTTTGAAACCCAGAGTTGCTTCTATGCGCAAGGACGGGGCCCGGTCCGAAATAAAGCTCTGGAAGGGAAAATTGACTATTTGAAGTCGAAAGGCTGGTGCGAGAGGTTCTGTTACGGGATTTGGCAGGATGAGGGCATAGAAGGGTTCGTATCTCTTCTGTAGCGCGTTCAATCCTTTCTCTGTATGCTATCAGCAGGTGCTCTCAACTTTGTTGTGAGGGCCGACTCACAACTGTCCCGCTCCTGCTTCATTTTGCAAGGTTTGGATGGTTGCCGTCGCTAACAGCAAGCTTGTTTTGAGTCTCTCGATCCTTGGGTACAGATCGTGAATCTTAGGAACGAGTCTGAACCTGATTTTCATTGCTGTAAACAATTGACGCCCAAATTCAGAATCATTCGCCATGTCGCTTCGGTATTGGTGGATCTTTTGGAGCTGAGGCTCAATGAGTGTGGTTAGTTCATCACATTCTTCCTTCAATAGACCAAACGGCCATAGGGCCTGTGACGTCTCGACAGCGTTGGGATCTGGGTTCTGGCCACATCGTGAGGTGATGTTTGATTCGACTTGTTCGACTAAACTGACGAAAACTTTGAGAGAGTTGACTTCAGTGTCGAGCTGCTGGAAAACAGCGCCCGAGTCCTTTGCAACCTTCGCGACATCGTATATCGTGGATGCAAGAAGGTATGCCAGTTTGGCAACGCCGTGGGCAGCGGTTATTGCTTCGATCACCTCCATGTCGAAAGCATATGGCAAGTAGCGGTTGAAAAAAGATGGTGTGCGCGAAACAACAAATTGTATGGTAGGTATCCCGAGAGAGTCAAGAGACTGACTCGAGTGAAAGAGCAAGATGTTATAACATCTCAGATGTGGAGGTACATGCATGTCGACTGCCGAAGCCGTCTGTATCGACTGGAAGGAAACCAATAGTGCGTACGGGCAGTATTGGATTGGAGCGTTGCTTCCCATCGTTGGTGATTGGTGATAAGTGGCAAGTGTACTGGCCACTCAAAGAGCAAGCTGTAAATGCGCCTTCGATTCTACGCCTTGTCTGAGGTCTTTTGGGTGCAACTGCGCTGCAGGGGCTTGGGCAGTGACACAGACTGAGCAAGCCCAAGTCTTGGCAAGCTGAAAACCATGCCATTCCATGCGGGCGGGCATTCTCTCATCAGCTAAATACCATAGGCACGCCAGTAAAACATCACCAATTTTCACCTCCCTTCATCATACTCCCACGCACACTTCAGGCCTTTGAAGTAGGCATTCTAATCATGCAGCTTCAAAACCAATTCCTCTTCGCAAGGCATCTCCCGACAAACAATACACTTCACCCTTGGTCTCTCCACCACCAACTCATCCCAATCATCCAGACCTGGCTGTTTTTTCCACTCGATATCGACCGTGCCGATGCCTCTCACCGCGCGGTGCTCATCATCATAGGGGAACACGAACTCGCGGCGATACCACTCGACACTTTCTGTCAGTGACAAGCTATCCACGTAGTCCTCGGAGATGAGACCGCCGTACGGAATTTCAGCGCCATTCGCACCGTGTCTATTGCGAATGTCGAGATTCGGGTCGAACCGCACGAGCTGCGGTACCCAGGAGCCGTTGTTGTGCCACACAAGGACCTGTTCAACGGTGGTGGATTGTCGTGGTCGGGGTGATCGTGACCTTGGCCTGTACAGTGGTGGTTCGCTAAGATACTGGTTCTCAGATCCTGGTTCTGTAGTCGAGTCATCATTGGCGGGAAGATGATGAAGTTCCGATCCCGAAGGCTGTTCTCGGATCTCAACCAGCGGCGGATTTGGATGGAACAGTGGAGGAATATGAGGGTGTGGGGGCGGGCTTGGCGCGCGGTACTGGGGGCGTGAAGCTGTTGGCTCCTGCCGATCCAGAGACTCAAGGGACTCTGGTGGTGGTAATGGAGGCAAGGGCCTTTCTCTGTGTCTGTAGCGATGATTCGTGATATTCGGGATCGATTTGTTGCGGTTCCAGATAGTTCCGTCTGGCGGGTGTCCATTCTCCGCGCGCGTGTCGCGATAGCAATGAGGGCAAATGGGAGCATTTGCTGGCAAGCTGTCTGGTGGAGGCGCCCAATGACGGGGGTCGATATTCATGATTCGGCTTGTTGTCAACTGCGCGAAGTCAAGCTCCACAGGTATTTCCTGCCCCGTACGTGGAACCCGGCCTGTCAGGGCCATGTTGTAAGCGAGGAAGCATATACCTGTGGCCGCATCACCACCTCCGGTCATGCCTGGCTGTAGGGAGAAGTTTTGTTTGATTTGTCCAATAGCTTCGATGTGTTTCCCGATAACGTCCCTCAGTTCCTCGCTGGAGAGAAGTTAGCATCGGACAGCTTTACCGGTCGATAATGTATTCACCCACATCTCATTGAGCCTGGATTCGCCGCGGGTGGCACTTCCGTTTCGAGAGAGCACTTCGAGTTGGATAACCGCGATAATCAGCTGTAATGTCGACTTCAGCTGTGCCATTCTCGGTTGGAGAAGCCCGAGCTTCGGCTTCCTGATATTCTTCCATCTGTGGGTGGCATAGAAGCGAAGAGCATAGTTCGCATGGTCGCCGAAGTTGGATTGTAACCTCCTGATCTTTTCCTTTTGCTCGTCGATATCCCTGCTCAATTCGAATGCTTCTTGTTCCATGTTGTCCAACACCCGTCGATCACGCATATACGAGATGACTGCTGTGTCGTCCTGGGGGAGACGGAATTTGATAGAGTACTGGGCGGTTTCGATCAAATCCCCGAATGCTCGAAAAGGTAGAGCATCAATCCTCATCTGGTCTCCGATTTTCTTTGCATCTTCGGCAAGTTCAAGAATGACCTCGACGATTCCGTATGCGGCGACAGCAGTTGATATGATGGTCGGCACGCTTTCGAGGATGCCCGCCATTGAAAGGACTTTGCGTAGGTACCCAAGTACAACCAAGTGTGAGGAAGGGAGGTGAGAGGTATGAGATAGAAAGGGACCCCGGCACAAGTAATATGACAGATTATGGGCTTTATGTTACATCCAAGATGTCTTGATATTGCTCTTGAAGAAGAATAGCATGCATATTGACGAACCATAAGACCAATCTTAAAGCTCGCAGAGCCTCAAACTTCGTATTCGCGTCCACCCAGATGCCATTGGCACTAGTAAAGAGGGTGTTTAGTATGTGTTGTCAGTGCATCTGGCCTGCGAAGCGGCCTGTCAAAGGTGCAGCGAGCTAGCTCCTGTGCGATCATGCATTCTGCCAGCATGTTTTGCATCTTCGTAGGAACGAACGCTGTGATCGCCAGTGGGCGGTCGCTGATCGTCGAAATCTTATAGGGCGAGATACCGCCAGCTAGTGCAGGCGACCTGTAGGCTGGCCGCTGTGGCCCGGGTCGGCGCAATACAAGGTCTTTGGTGTGAAGTTATCTTGACGTTGCTCCCAATTGGGTTCCTGGCTGTTGTTCAAGCTTTTCTTTTGTCGTTGTACGTCTAACTTCAGTGAGCTAGGGTTCTTACCACCTTCTTTGAACCTGAAAGAGAATAGGTAGAGATAGCCCACTTTGAATTCGTTGTGCTTGAAATGGCTTTGATAGTGACTAAGCGGATGATTCTCGTTGGAGCCTATGTCGTGGTTCGAGGCTCTGCCGTTAGGTAACTTGGGCATTGCGTTGTTCTTTCGTGAATCCCCCACGTCTCTTTCAGCCTCAACTGGGTGGTAATGGTTTGCGGCTCTAAGATATCTCTAAACGCTTTGATGGGTCCGGTGTTTCCTTGGTCGAGTAAACTCAACCGCAATCGGCTTTCTATTGCTGATCCTGAAACCATGAGCGGCAATGGCCGCAAAGTATTGGTTATGTTGCAACCATGCACCAGGGGCAGCGGATCCTTGGGCATAGGTAGCTCCCTGCACTACGCACGGGGTTCCACGTTGTCGTCCTCCCGGGCCGCTTTCCCGTTACAGTCAGCTGCAGTGGTGGATGATCAGTGATCCGCCCGGCACTGGATGATCCGCTAGGTAACTAGGGAATTCCATCCTCTAGTGGGCGATGCTACTTTGGCTCGGTTTAGGTAACCTCTTCAAACCCCCGGAGGCGGGATTCCCTCCAACCACCACTGGCCAAGTGTAGAGGAGGTCGAAAGGCGGCCGGGCAGTAGGAGCGGGTCCATTCTGGTAGGAACTCCGCGATAGTCGGTTTTTCCAGCGTCGGATCAAAGAGATCCCGATATCGGTGAGTCTTGGTGTCAGCCGAATGGCAAGGGAACTGTGAGAGTAAAGGCAGCAGTTGCCTCGGTCACCAGATAATACCCTGGCATGGTTCAGCTGCATCAAAAACCCCACTACCTGAGCCTCAACCCGTTGTTGCCTGCACCTTTCTCTTCTTCCATTACAATCTACCGTTACCACTTCCAAATGGCGCGCACATAAAGAACCAGAGAGCCTTCCCCTATCGCATCGGGACATTCGCTGCGACAAACCCTCATACTTGAAATGCAGACGACCTACCAGCGCAGTGGCCCCCAGAGTCGTCCCCTGTATACGATGTTGGCCAAGTGCGTCCGACGCCATGGGGACTGCAGAGAAGAAATCGCCGTTCGTCACTCGAAATGACTAGTCTGTCCAATGAAGTGACGGTGTAGGCCACCATCATGATTCAACTGTTGCGTGTGCGACTCAGAACAACCTCTACCACAACAGCATTGCTCGGTTGGGACACAATAGAAATGCCTGATGGGAAATGACGGGTTCCTCATCAGGCACCTCCTACCCCTTTGAAGCGGCAAATGAGGTACAGGATCAAGTATGCATGTGCGGTTGTGAGGTTGTTCTCGATCCAAGCTCAATAAAGCCTGATCCATTCCTGAGTTTGCCCACGCTCTTTGACTGCTTCGTCCCATCGACTCCGGACGACGTATCCAACAGCGACTCGGGACATTAGGTGAGGCTTTCCGGGTTGTCGGAATAGCCACATAACGAGCACCATGTCTGGATTGGCATCCACCAAGGCCAGGAACTCCGGGGAGAAGTTGCCTCGCCGACTATATCTGTTTAGATACACAACGTTTTGGACATGTTCAAGGGAAAAGTCCAGGCGAGCAAAAGCAAGTAGCTCTGCGTTGGTGGCAATGCCCATGTTGGAGGCTGCTGGTAAGAACTCATCAGGGAAGAAGGTCTGTAGCGTCCCGGAGTCGATCCTTATCTCCCCAATGAGCTCATCATTGTCCATGTCTTCCGATGCTTCAAGCGAGGCAAAGATGGAGCAAAAGTGAACTTGACCGGACGCTTGCAAGGTATGGTCGCGTTTTCGGAGCCGAATTGGAAAGCTGCAGATTGTACCTCTGAAAACCAATTTGGTCTTCTCGGCTATGGCAAGGTCCTGCTGCCAGCGCTCTTTAGGACTGACGATGCGCCGACGCAAAACCGTTGGAGGATTGTCTCCTGAATGGTGGTGACAAGGCTCCTTCCCTGGTGCTCGAAGCATGTGTTGTGCAACCCTCGCTATTCTTGCGTCTACTTGGAGGTAGGGGATGTACCTTGGCGAAGTCCGCACAGCATCAATAAACCAGTCCAAAGTAAGTTCTATGTTGAGACCGTCCAGTCTCCCGAGAGGATAAGAGATTGGACCCGTCCACGAAGCCCAAGACCAAGATGGAATACCTTCACAACGTCGCCTGCTTAGGACACCATTTGGTTGCCACATCAGAGCTGCCCCCAAGTAGGACAGGGGAAGGCCAGCGACCGCCATCCCTAGGCTGTCAGCTATGTACATTGTGTACATACCCAGTGATGCCTTCAGGATGTCTTTGTCATGCGTGAAGTTTCTTGTGGAAAGCTTTTCGACCATGGAGACAAAAGTTGCCGAGGCTTTTTGGGCATCGCCTCCAACTTCCATGTCCAAGCCCAAACCTCTGGGGTCTTCATCCCGAAGGTAGCGTTGATATTGCTCAGGCGAAACGCTTTCATCCAGAGGCAGGTCCTCGTTCCAGTTTCCTTGTGCGCAGCTGAAGTACGTCCTCTCTGGAGTGAAGAATATGAACCGGTCAGAGCACGTTATTTCTTGAAGAGTCCATCCTCTTGTTGCCCATGTTGATGATGCGACAACTTCTTTGAACTCGGGCCTGTTTAGGCAGAAGCGTAGGCCTCCAATGGTATGGTACTTGTTCAATAGCTGATTCGGATCTATGTGCAGGATAGAGTGCTGTGCGTTGTCTCCGACGGCGGCAACAATTGTAAGGCTAGCCTGGGCGTAGATGATGTGCATCGATCCTATCTGAGTGACTGTATCCTCAGTGGAGTCTTGTTCAATGCAGAGGCTATCAATCCAGATGTATCGATAGCCTAAGAACTTGGTAACTTCAATGGCATCCAGGATGGTCTGTGGAAGCTTTATGGCGGGATCCCGGAAGGCGTCTTTCTCGCATAGGGTGCTGAGGTTTGGGCTTTGCAGGGTGAAGAACGGATCTCTTCCCCATACATAGCTGAGAGCGACATATTCGACTTGTTGAAGGTTCACATGACCGTTAATACCAGGACTAGTGGGTACTAATCTCATATCGACGACGTCAATCAGCCTGCTCGGGGCCGCCTGCAAAGCTTCTGTATCTGGTATCGCTGACTGATTGCATCTGTCATGGTTTTTGCGGCAGTTTTCGAGACAGCGCTTCATCAAGTCCATGTCTCGTGTATCCCGGTCGAGTGGCTTCGGTATCATTAATGTAGCCTCTAGTTTCTGGGCATCGGCCATAATCGTTTGGTAGTCTTCAGGATGCAGAAACAACTGATATTCGTTATCGTCCACGTCTTCGGAGTCCCTCAAAGGAAGCCAGAGTGACATGGCGCCGTAATCACAAACAGCGTCGACCGAAATCTGAAGTATCAGTTCCTCAGGATCGAATATCTCGAAGTCATCCGATAGCGATGAGCTTGAACTGGCCATTGAACTTGTTTTGGAGACGGTGGTACTTTCCAATGACTTGAAAGCTTCCCTGATTGTGTCAATGTTTATGAGCGTGTCCTCAACCAATGGTATTGACCTCATTGCGTGATAGAGATGCCTCTCTTTGGCCCGCAGCATGAGACGAAGGACGAGTGAGCAGAAACTGCACTCGCGGTAGCTGGAAAAGACATGGTCGATGGTTGCAAGTCTTATGTTGCCGGTCGAGTCGCGGGTTCCGGGATGGAAGTCTGACTTGTCGGTTGAGTTGAGTATTTCGTCTAGGCGTAGGGTTATGGGATGGCAAGCTTGACAGAGGGTGTTTCGAACCGAAGCAAATATCAGACTGCCCAAAGCAGCGAGGGTGCGCTTGAAGTCTTCCATGCTGAGTTGAGACGTAGACATGGTGGTTGCTCGTCAGCCGTAGGTCGTTGAAGTTTGCTCCGAAGCTTGACGATTCGAGACAATGACTGGAACATATTTCATGTCAGCTTTCCAATCACTTGGAGAGCATCCATGACATATGTGAGTCGGGCGCTAACCTACCTCTAACTGCTAGCGGGTGCTGACCACTGATGGCAGTGTAACCTCCAGCGCTGGACTGCGTCGCATTCCGCTTCTTCAGCGACCCAAACGGAGCAGCGACATTCATCATTGTGAGATCCTGTAACAGTGCAGCTGGTGATCGTTCTGGTCGTTGATCCCTGCCGCAGAATCTCTCGTCTGCGAACTGATGCTTTGGATTCTGCAATGGATAGTCTTTGCCCTCTTGTAAGGAAGCGGAAAGCCAAAATCTTAAATTCGTGAGCGCTGCCCAGGCATGGCGAATGCGGGGTAACAAGACAATCCAACGCCGACTACCGAGAATGGCAATGATTCTGTGTAGTTGGAAAATATCAGCCAGGTGTGATATGAGAGGACAGGAGACTGGAGTTAGCGATGGTCGATATGGACATGAACAGACGATAGGAACGGAAGACGGGAGGAATTATTGAAAAGTGGAAGCCAAGTCAAAGCTGTGTGCTGCTAAGACCGGCGGCAGGCATTGCACAATGGAAAGAACTGAACTTTGCAAGATAACCGCATTCAAACTTGAAATCACCTATTCTTTCATCGTCCCTTCCCACTCGCACCTTAGCCCCTTCCACCCTTACGGCAACCCAACACTCAACCCTCCAACCGCAGCCTCGGGCAAATCCCCGCCAAGACCCGCCGGTGTCTCGAAACTCTCCCCCATACCGCCTTTCACGCCCGTGATCTGCTTCAACGTCGGCCTGCCCTCCTTGACCTCCCTCTCCTCAAACTCAAAGATGCGATAATCGCCATTGTTGAACCACCACCCCGTCACTCCCGCCCTCAGGAACCCCGAATGACTGACAGCGACAACAGCCTTGCCGTCCTCCATCTCAGGCCACACCTTGGCCTCAATCTCCTTCAACACGTCCTCTCCTCTTTGCATGATTGACTCCTTGGTGTACCAATACTTCTTGGCCTTTTCCGAATTGCGGTTCTTTTCCGGCCAGACTTGGTCGACTCTTGAGAAATCTACCTCTGGGAACTCTTTGGAAAGTTCCTCGATGGATGAACCCGTGTCGCAGGGCTTGTCGCTGTTCTCTTGCCAGCCAGCGTTGGCGATGATGGGGATGTTGTGCTCCTTGGCGTAGTTGCCGAAGGAAAGAAGGGCCGTTTCGATGGTTCGGCGCATGGGGGAAACAATGATAAGGCTGACTTGGTACTTATTGGGCACCTCAGTCTTGAAAAAGTGCTCGCGGAGGGAGCCGCATTGTGTCCTGCCGAGCTCCGAGAGACAGGGATCGTGGATGGAATAGTCTCGTGGTAAGAGTTAGCAGGTGGGAACTTGAAAGACAAGAGTGGCACAAGTGAGACTTATTATCGACGTTGTGGAGGGCCTGAGCGTGGCGGACAAGGATGAGTGTTGGTGGCATGTTGACGTTGTGACCGACTTGGTGATGGCTTCAACCGCGATTCAGGGGGAAAGTAAACAAAGGGTCCAAGTGAGTGGGGCCAGTGGCTGGTTGGATGGTGTTTGGCGGTCGGAACCAAGCTTGAGAATGACTGGATGTCCAGAAGAACGCAGGATACACCAGGTTATAAGCAAAGTGGTCCTCTATCAGCAAGACACTTGTAGTTTCAAGTTCCCTTGTGATGATGACTGATGAGGCCGGGAGCTGTCTCACTGCGCCACCCAGTGCGTAACCGTTGGCGATCACCCTCACTGTGGCAGCTCGTTGGCAAGGCGAGACCCACTGTCAAACAGGGCTAAATCCGCTGAAAGCCTGAAACAGCCGCCCGCGATGGAGCAACTGAAAAGGTGGGACCAGCCGTCACCGTCTATCCAATCACAGAAACGAAAAGGACACTGCAGTAACCGCGTTGCCAGCCGCGAGCACAGCAACCGCATCTCCAACTAGAGGTAACTACATCATCATCACCGTGTTTATTTGTTGGACTGTTCAACACAAACACCAGACCATTGGCCATCAAGATGAATGTCGACGAGCTGTTTCAGGTACGTAATATTTTTTGAGTCCTCTGTCACTGACAAATTCTAACGACAATTCCCTCCAGAAAGCGGGAGTTCCCAGCAAACGCAAGCTGGATCCCATTCGCGATCCGAACGAAATCTACAAGTCCGCCAAATTATCTTCCAACGGCAGCCGACACGCGCAGGTAGAGGACGGAGACGACATAGAAGCGGGTCCAGCACCACCTCCTGAAGATGGAGAAGACGATGGCGACTACGGTCCCTCAGCACCACCAGTCGAAGATGACGGCGACGATGAAGAAGGTCGATTCTTCGGCGGTGGCATAACCGCCCAGGAGAAGGAGATTCTCGATTTCATGGACAGTAACACCGCCGCCCCAGCCGACGACCTCTTGACAACAGACAAGATCGACCTTTCCTGGCTAAAGAAAACCGCACTCAACTTCGAGAAGCGCATCACGCGCAACGCCGAGCTCCGCGCCCGCCACGAAGACGATCCCTCGAAATTCATCGACTCGGAAGCCGACCTCGACGCCTCCATCAAGGCTCTCTCCATCCTCTCCGAGCACCCAGAGCTCTACGCCGATTTTGCCCGTCTCGGCTGCGTCTCCAGCCTTGTCTCCCTCCTCGCCCACGAAAACACGGACATTGCCATTGACGCCGTCGAAATTATCAACGAGCTAACGGACGAAGACGTCGCTGCCTCCGACGAGCAGTTCTCCTCTCTAACCGACGCCCTTCTCGAAGCCGATCTGCTCGGTCTCCTAGTCAGCAACTTCTCCCGCCTAGATGAACAACAAGAAGCCGACCGCACGGGCGTCTACCATGCCCTCTCCATCATCGAAAACCTCTGCTCCCGCCGCGAAACCGCCGACCAAATCGGCAAACACACCGAACTCCTCGAATGGCTGCTCTCCCGCGCCAAAAAGTCCGAATCCCCAATTGTCTCACAAAACAAGCAATACGCCGCCGAAATCCTCGCCATCATGGTCCAATCCTCCCCCGCCAACCGCCGACGCTTGGCCTCCGACGAGCTAAACGCCGTCGACACCCTCCTGACGCTCATCGCCCCCTACCGCCGCCGCGACCCCGAGCGCGGCTCCTTCGAAGAAGAATACATGGAAAACCTCTTTGAGTGCTTAACCTGCCTAGTCGACGACCCCCTCGGCAAGTCGAAGTTCGTCGAAGCCGAAGGCGTCGAACTCTGCCTGCTCATCCTCTCCTCCGCCGACATCAAAGGAAAGCTTTCCAAGCCCGCCTGCCTACGACTCCTCGACCACGCGGCCTCTTTTTCTTCCGAAGTCTGTCTCAAGATCGTCGAAGCCGGCGGTCTCAAGACGCTCTTCACCCTCTTCATGTCCGGAGACAAGTCGTCCGACAAAGATAACAAGAAAAAGAACAAAGGCAAGACAACAACACTATCAAAACAAGACATCGAACACCTCTTGGGTATCTTTGCTTCCATGCTCCGCCATCTACCTGCAGCCACAGCCACAGCCACAGCAGACGACTCAACAACCGGCGCAGAACGGATCCGCCTCCTAGCCAAATTCGTAGAAAAAAACTACGCCAAGACCTCCAAGCTCATTCGACTTCGTCGCGAGTACGCCGCGCGCGTCAACCAAGTAGAGGAAGCCATCAAGGCAGAAGAAGACTTGGACGAGGACGAGGCCTTTTCTCGCAGAATGGATGCCGGGCTTTTCTGTCTACAGACGATTGACGTGATCTTGGCATGGTTGATTGCTGAAGATACGGGATGTCGGGCAAAGATCAGGGAATTGTTGAAGGATCGGGATGAGGATTTTGGGACGCTGGCGAGGACGTTGAGGGAGCAGATGGCGGGGGTGGATGGGGAGACGGAGGAAGGGAGGGATACGGGGGAGATGTTGAAGGCGCTGTTGGAGTTTTTGGAGTAGTTTGTGTCTGAAAAAGGGGGATGGGGGGGGTGTAGAAGGGGGGTAATGTTGAATAGGTTGGCTTAACCAAAACAGATCGGTGAAGTGCAGTGGGTAAGTAATGACCAAGTAGCTATAAAGATACCATTGAGCTAGGCTAGGCTCTTTCATACTATCTAGTTGCACTGTTTTTGGTTTTACGAATCTTGACTATTCGGTATTGGAAGGTATGAATTTTGGCGATTCCCTTGGTCTACTATCAAGGCATGGCCTGGTCTATTTAGAACCCTTAAACGCAGACCACGTAACCACAACCGTAGGATAGTAATACCAAGTCACAAACTTAACTTCATAATCTCCGTCTAACAACCTAACATGCCTTCATGACAGAAAAACGGCGCGGCCTCCCCTTTCGTCGTTTACCATAACGGGCCAGCCCAGGCCAATCCAACATCATCACCCCCATCGTCGCCCCATCACCTTCCATTTCTGTTTGTCCAACCAGGTACAGTTACTGCCCTTAGTGAGCAGCCATGGCCTCAGGAGAAGGAGTAAACACGGCATGCAACAAATCCTTAATCACCTGCTCGCGGTTCTTGTTGCCGGCCTCCTTGATCTCGCGAATCCGCGCCTCGGCTTCGCGGTTGGCTTCCTCTTGGGCGGCTTGGTTTCCTTGTGTGTGCTATATTGTATAGATAATGTTTGTTTAGTATGTACGTTTTCCTTGCATTCGTTGTTTCGTGTTGTTGGTTTGTAGATGTGGAATAAAAAAGGGGAAGAAAATGAGAAAGAGATGGGGAAGGAGAGGGGGGGATAAAAAGAGGATAAGCGGAAGAAGAGACAAAAGGGAGGAAACATACCTCGGCCTCAAACTTCTTGAACTCGGCTTCCTTTTGCGCCTTGTACGCTTCTATTTCCTTCTTGGCTTCGTCGCGCGCTTCGCGAACGCGCTTTGTGCGGTCTGTTTATTTTATTTTGTTAGCCTACTACCTTGCCGGTCTAGGTCATGATTGACCGTAGTTTATGCGTCGGTCTGCTGTTTCGTGTTTCCGGCCTCTGGTTGTAACTTGTACCATCGACAGGACCTTATTCACGTCGCGGGTGCAGGAACGTCGAATAATCTTGGGTATCAGTATCGGGTGAGGTTGATGGTCAGGATGCAATACGTACACTCTCTAGCTATACCCCCGAACCATTATACCAAACGTTAGCAACTATTATATCAAGACGTACGTTTCTTTCCGGCGGATCATGGACAAATGCATTGCAATGCGGGAAAGAAGACATACCCTTCTGAACAATCTTGGTAGCTTCCCTCTCAGCCTGTATAGTAAACACCCAGCAGTGTCAGCCAGTCTGTCATGTCATGTCATGTCATATCCCACAGCAGCAGCATCAAACACCCCTCTCCCCCTCCTCCAACACATCTTTTCTTTCATGGCCAACTGAAGATATAGGTAAGTTGGCTTTGCAAAGCCCGTAAAGAAGGAAGCTAGATCAATGGTTTGTCCGTCCGTCGTAAGGCGTGCGGGGGTCGAATCGTAGGGAAGAAGTGTGGGTGTTGGTGTTGGTGAAGACGGGGACGTACATCGAGAAGGAGCTGAATACCCGCTGACTTTTGGGCCGACTATTTCCAACCATCCATCCCGTTAGCTTTTCGTTATTCTTTCTTATGTCGGCGTCATGTGTGCGGACGACGATGCTATGCTAGCTGGGAACGAACCATGGTGATAGCTGTAGAGGTAGATAGAGGTGGTAGTCGGAGCTAGGTAGAGGTAGCGGTGCTAATCGCTTCGGAGTTCTGAGGCTGAAGCAATTGCGATTAGGAGGTAGAGATAGTATCGGTCGTAGCGAGTCGAGTAAAGGTATAGATTGTTGGTCTTGTTGTTCGTGTCAGTCGTAATATCGTGATGTTGATGCGGCCCGTCGATACGTGATTCGATGCGATGCGATGCCGATGGTCGACCTGAGGTCGTCAAGTGGGTTGGCGTTGGCGGGCGTCGTCGTAGCCCGGTACCTCCCCCGCTAGGCGCGCCTGCACAGCGCTACAGTGGCCGCCCGCAGCCGCTGTCCGTTGTAGCGGGACACTTTTAAGGTGCAGTTGGCAGCAGAGGCAGCGTGAACAGCTGGGCTCTGATGTCACCTTCCATTGCCTGCCGCCGCCTCTTCGCGGGCAGGGCAGCGGCAGGGCAGCTGTGACAGCTCTCCGCCAAAATCAGTCGGTGAGCAGTGGCAGAATAGTTGCCCGCCCGTTCGTCTCCGTCATCCCGTCGATGCCGTTCCTCGTCTGATCTTGATCATAGAGGTAGCTTCCATTGCGCCGGTGTAGTTTACAGCTTTCTCCTTTCTGTCACGGCCCGGGTTCCTGTTTCTTTCTGTCTTTTAGTTTTACATCTCTAGTAAAAAAAGAAAAGCAACCATGTCCCGCGCCTCGAAACTCACCCTCCTCGGCACCTCCGCCTTTGCGCTCGGCACCGTCGCCCTGGTGCACTGGCAGCAACAAGCCGAGAAGGAGGTTCGTTTTTTGCTTTTTCTTTCTTTCCCTCTCCTCCTCCTACCAACGCTTCCCCCCGCTCCCCAGTCCAATACCGTCCTGAACAACACTCACTGACAATGACATAAACAGGCAATGCACGCCGGCGTCATCCGCGACATTGAACAACAACGAATCAAGCGTGAACGCCAGCTCGATTTCGAAATGCAGCGCGAGCTCGAGAACGAATACAAGAAACTCCAGACTGTTCGCGACGTCACAGATCAGATGGACCACCCGGTGCCTACGAAACCCAGTAGTGCACTAGCAGAAGGACTGCCGAAGCCGAGTGCTGCGGCGGCTAGTATACCTGTTGGAGGGGCCATTGGGACAGGGACAGGGACGGAAGAAAAATGAAGAGGAGTCTGGTAGCTGAGAGGGAAAGGAGAAAGTGAGAAAAAGCAAGAGAAAGAGGAGGGAGCTACAACGATGGTCCGCTCGTTGACTACAAGCTAGCGAGGGGGGAGGTTCCCACCCAGCGGACCAAAGAGTGAAGACAGCGAGGTACAGCTGGGCTACCTTTAGAGAGTCGAGAAGACGAGCAGAAACGCCGCCTTCTTTCCTAGCTAGCGAGCGGTACCCTTTCCGAAGACCAAGGGGTGCGCTTGTAAGCGTACGGATAGCCAGATGGCGCGGTTATCCTCCTGGCTTTGTCTGGTAGACTGACGTGCTCCAATATGTCGGTCTTGTCTGTTTACGGGGCTGAGCTCGGCGGCTTCCTTCAGGGCGGAAGTCTGCGGCTCGAGACCTTGAGGGACTGCGGTCATGAACTGTATAACACTTGTATTATTACATCTCTGCTCGAAAGCAGACTGGCATCTTGTAACTATTATTGTATTGCACATTCATAAGAAATTGTTTCGAGGCTGCATCATGTGTATGTGCCTCCAATGTCAACTTGTTTGCGGGCACATGATGATAGTGATATTTTTGATAAATGTATAGTGAGTAGTAACTTTGCGCGTGAAAACTGAACCACTCCCCCCTCCCCTCGCAAATGCGCACAGAGACAGCCTGAATACTTTGCGAAACTCGCTTGCAAATTGCAATCTTCAATAATTAAACGCCAGAACGACCATTTCTATGCAACTTTTTGTGTCTCTCTTTGTCGTCTTTCTTCTTTCCTCGTTCCTTCCGTCTCCTTTGGATCCCACACAGCACATCTACGAGCCCCAGCATGTAGAGAAAGAACCGCTTCTTTTTTTGCCAGTGCCTATAAATGCCATGCCATGTACAAGGACCATGATAAGAAAAAACCGTGATATTATAACCGAGCCTTTCCGCACCAACCAACCCCCCCGGGAACCCACAACTACCCTTAACGAACCGAGATGCCGGACCTGCTCGTGAACAAGCGCGAGGCAATGTTCATCGACATGAGCTCCTGGAACAGAAGCTTGGCCGCATAGGGCATGTGGACCTGGGCGATCTTGGTCTTATTCTTGCAAGGACGGCATTCGAACGATTGCTTGGTGAGGTTTCTGCAGACAAGTTGTTAGCATCATATGGATCCATCAAAAGAAAAGAGGAGGTACATACGCAATGGGAGTCATGAGACCGCAAATCTCGCAAATGTGCACTCTGAAAGCATCCGAGACCTCGAACAATCTCTCCTTCAAGAATGCAGCGGCACCGTGAGCAATCATACAGTCACGTTCCATTTCACCGAAACGGAGACCACCGTCTCTGGCACGACCTTCGACGGGCTGACGAGTCATGATCTGCACCGGACCACGAGCACGAGCGTGGATCTTGTCGTCCACCATATGCCTCAAACGCTGGTAGTAGGTAGGACCGAAGAACACCTGGGCGCGAAGCTTCTTGCCGGTATGGCCGTGGTACATGATCTCAAAGCCACGGGACTGGTAGCCGTGCTCGCGGAGGAGGTTGGAGACGGAATCGACGGTAACATCCGTGAAGGGGGTGGCATCACCCTCCATACCCTTGAGCGCACCGACCTTGGACAGCAGACACTCGATCAAATGGGCAATTGTCATACGAGAAGGAATGGCGTGAGGGTTGATGATAATATCAGGCGTGATACCCTCGGCGGTAAACGGCATGTCCTCTTGACGGTAAGTGACACCAATGGTACCCTTTTGACCGTGGCGAGACGCGAACTTATCACCAATCTGGGGAATCTTTGTCGTACGAACCCTCACCTTTACGTAGCGCAAACCATCTTGGTTGGTTGTAAAGGCCACTGAATCGACGATACCACTCTCCGTGCTGCGCAGCGGCGTGGACGCGTCACGCTTGACGTGCTGAGCCGTGCGCTGGCCAAGTTCTTGGTTATCGGGGTTGATGGGAGATGTCTTGCCGATGATGATATCGTCACCGGTGACTCTGATGCCAGGAGCAATGATACCATCATTCTCTAGCTTGTCGTACGTACCGTGCTTGGGCCGCAGAGTGTTGCTTCGATCTGGCTTTTCAAATTGCTCCACGATGTTGATGCCGACACGCTTCTCGCAATCCGTGTAGGAACGGAAGAAAAGACTGCGGAAGATACCACGATCGATACTGCTCTGGTTCATAATGACGGAATCTTCCTGGTTGTAACCAGAGTAACAAGCGATGGCAACGATGGCGTTCTGACCGGCAGGAAGCTCACGGAACTTGAGATATTCCATAGAGCGGGTGGTCGCCAAAGGTTTTTGAGGGTAGTAAAGAATGTTGGCCATGGTATCCATACGTCGGGAGTAGTTGGTAAGGAAGAAACCCATAGCTTGCTTACCCATGGCAGACTGGTAAGTGTTTCTGGGCGACTGATTGTGATCGGGGAAAGGAATGATACTGGCGCAGATACCGAGAAGCATACTGGGGTGAATCTCGCAGTGCGTGTACATGTGTGTTGTCGGGTTGAATTTTGTCTTGATACGGCTATTGCCACGGTTGGCAGCGTCGTCCTCAAACTCGCGACCCTTGAACTTGTGCTGACGGTAAGTGTCCAGATCTTCTGGCGTCATGCAGATCATGGCTGTCTCTTCCTCCTCGGCGTCAAGGTATTCGATAGCACCAGACTCGAGCAGGCCTTGCCAGCCAAAGTATTCCTCATGGTATTTGCCAAGCTCCTTATCCTGCTCAAGGCGCCTGATATGCTCCTTGGTAAGGATGAGCTGACCCTTTTCGACACCGGATTCGCTGTTGTCTTCTTGCTCAACAACAAACAACGGCCTCATGACTCTACCGGCATCCGAGAAAATCTTGAACTCTCTGTCACGAATGTCGCGAACCAGCGAAACCTCGAACGAAATGATGTTCTTGCGTCTGAGGTTCTGAACAAGAGTGACGAGATGCTTGGGATCTTGATGGACACCAACCCAGGTACCGTTGACGAACACCTTGGTGGCGTTGGGATACCGCAAAGGCTCGTACTCCTCCAACACTTCCATGTTTCGGGCAATCATGAACTCGATGATGGGATCGGCCAACGTACCCACCGAGACGAAGCACATCAGAGACAAGTTCTTGACCAAACCGCAAGCCTGGCCTTCTGGCGTTTCTGCTGGGCAGACCAAGCCCCAATGTGTGTTGTGCAGCTGACGAGGCTTGGCGAGCTTACCGTCACGACCAATGGGCGTGTTTGTACGACGCAAATGCGACAGGGTCGAGGAGAATGTGTATCTGTTCAAGACCTGGGACACACCAGCAGTCGAGGACATGGCCTTCTTCTGGTCACCCCAGTTACCAGTGGCAAGCGAGTACTTGAGACCGTTGGTAAGAGTGGAGGCCTTGATACCCAGGGCCAGGGAGAAGTGCTTGTTGGTATCAACGCAGCGCTTCATGTAGCCCATGAGATCCTGAGTGAGGCGTCTCACGATGCCACGGAAAAGCTTGGCCAGCAGAGGACCAGCCAAGTCAAGGCGCTTCTTACCAAAGTGATCACGATCATCGGTATCTCTGCGGCCAAGGACGCACTGGAGCAGCTTGTGGACCATGTAGCCAAGGAAGAAGGCCTTTCTGGTTTCGCAACCTTCAGCCTGAGAAATATGGGGTAACAGCTCCTTCTGAAGCATCTCCTTAGCAGCCTTGATACGGCCGTTACGGTTTATTCCGGTGCTGCCGTTACCACGCTTGCCAATGTAATCCAAGGCGACCTCACGATCCTGGATGCAGAAGGCCTCCTCGATGCAGGGACGAAGGGCTTCGAGCATTTGACTGTCGCGGCGGTCGTAGCAGATGTGGTTGAGAATATCCTCATCGGAAACAACTCCCAAAGCACGGAACACAATGGCAAGAGAGACCTCCTCCTTGACGTAGGGCAGGGTGACGCTCACGGTGTTGGCCAAGCGACCCTTGTTCTGGTCAGCCTTGGTGTGCAGCCTCATCTGGAGGGAGGAAATAAGACGGGAACCCTTCTCGAGAGCACTGCGGATCTCGGCCTGGTACGAGACGCTGCCACCAGGAGGCTTCTTGAAGACCTGGACAATGTTGGCGGCAGAGCGCTCTTGGGCGATCAAAACCTTTTCACTACCGTTGATGATAAAGTAGCCACCCTGGTCGTAGGGACACTCGTTGAGGGTGAACAAGGACTCGTCGTCCTCCATGTAAAGGTGGCAAATCTTGGACTTGACCATGATAGGGATCTTGCCAAGGAAGAGATATCCCTTGAGGTTTTCCGGGTTAATCTTGTCGTCCTTGGGTGGTTCTGGTGGCGCACTCTCCTCCTCGATCCAGCGCAGAGCAGTCGGGTGCTCGCCAGTGCGGGCCATGTGGTCGTGCTCGTCATCGGTCAGCTGGTTGAGGGGCTTCTTTTCGCTGACGGCGATACGGGCGCGCTTGGTGACCTTGCAGTAGATGGGAGCCGAGTAGGTCAGGTTGCGGTCACGGCATTCGTACGGGAGAAGACTAATAGTCTCGCCCGTGGCTTCGGTGAGGGTCGGCCTGGAAATGATGATCTCTCCGAAATGAACGTCGTATCTGCGCAAAATGATCTCTCTGCCCTCGTCGTCGCCTGGGCTTGGGTGATCCAAGGTAAGATCGGCATACTCGTCTATTAGAGATTGCACTGTGTCTGTTGTGAACTCATTGAAAGAATCGATCTGCTGGGACACGAGGCCCTTGAGGTCGAAGTAGGAGGAGATGACCTCCCACGAATCCTCGGGCGTGATGGCGTTGGGATCGGAACCGTCATCCTCGTCGTCGAAAGTGGAGAGGTTCTCGTAGTTGTCATCATTGTCGTATGTGTCTCCATAGCCGCCATAGCTCTGGCTGCCGTCCTTTGCGTAGGCGGCCATCTTGCAAGTCAGCAAGGCGAGCGGTGCAGGTGGTTTGGTGAACGGGCGAGAGGGTGGTTGTCGAGCGGGCTGAGGGCTGGCTGAACAAGTAATCGATGAGTCGTGAATGGATGGTAGATGGCGGACCGTGAGTGGTGGCGGTCGGTGGCGGGGTATGTGAATGAAATATCCGACCGGGAATCGGCAGGCACTGGACTAGGCGGTAACGCGACGACAGCGTCTGGTCTGGCTGCTGTTGGGGTATCCGGAGTCGATTAAAAAGAAGATAAAGGTCGGTCGAGTTCGGAAAGCAGAATGGGTATCGCGGCTCGGGTTAGCCGGCGGTGGTGGTAGATGGCCGAGGATCACTCAGTCGCCCATCTACAGCTCGTCACTTTTTCGGATTTTCCTTTGTCGATGTCGGAACGCGACGTTGCCCACTCTTTGCCGCTTCAAAGAGATGCAAATGAACGGATCGAGTCGATCGATGCCGACTTGTTCGAGAATGGATGCAGCGCAACAGAGACGTCGACGGCGGCTGCAGGGAGTGGCGGGGTAGGAGGACAACACGCGCGGAGGAGGTCGCGATGTTGGTTGAGGAGGTGGTGATGGTGGTTTGGGGAAAGTGGCCGAACCGTACGCCAGCGAGGGACGGGAGAGTGCCACTCCAAAATCCCAAACCGACAGACAAGGTCTGGGCTACAAGACAAGGCCAGACGTGGTTGCTGCTGGCAAAGCACAGACGGAACAGAGTCCAAGCTCCAGGCGGCGAGGCCAAAAAGTGGATCTTTAACTGGCCAGTTCGTCAAGATGATTGGATGGATTGCAGCTTTACTAATGCACCATAACGTCCATTCACCCAAGTCCCCGCCAAATCCGGCCGGCAACGATGGAGGTCAAAGGCCCAGGCTCCCAGGTCAAAGGTACGGCGCGCAGCATTTGCATTTGCCTGCAGTATAGCGAAACTTTGTTTGGGTGTCACTTCTTCTCCATACATTCGACGTTTTCAAGCCCTTTTAACACCTCTTCCCTACTCTCTTGCCGGTCATCCTTACTCCTGCATCTCTCGGAAAGGCTTTGGACCCTATTTCATTCTTTTTTCCAACGTATTCTTGAGCTTTCCGCCGGCCTTTCAAAGGTTGGACTGTCTTTGTTTGATGTACCGAGCTAACAAACGTTCAAAATGGACCGTGCGTTGAGTTTATCAACATCGAGACAGAGATATAAGAACGCCATCCCAACAACTCATCAGGTAGATGCAATGAAAGCACTCGCCTTGCTTCGATCAAAAGCTTCAGAACCTACCATCCTTTGCTGCCAATCTCATGTATTACAACTGCCATGAAAGCCATCGCGACCGCGGAAAAATATGAGCGTCGCCGAGAAAATGTTATCCACCGATTCCAAGGTTGAGCGACACCAAAAGGCCAAATGCACCGATGTACACCGTTAGAGGGCCCGCTGAAGGGCGAAATCTACACGGGCACGATCTGGACCGTAGCTCCCATTGCTGCAGCGTCAACATGAGTCTAATAGGTCTTCTTTGCGGCCATCGTTCGTGTGCTGACAAGGGCAGAGGCCGGCTGATCAGGATTGGTGTTGTTGAAGGCTTCCTGTGGGCCCGTGGGGATGCTTGTTCTCCGTACCCGATCCATACTACGCCGATGGTATCAGAAGCGATGGTACCTCCAAATACTTAGAAACCTTGGTTACAGACATGCATCGTCCTGGCTGTTTACTCTACAAGGTGCTGGTAGCCCAAGGCTTTGCTATGAAGGTCTGGAAGTTTTTGAGCCACGTCGGAAGATGGGTCTTGATATGGTACTTGACTCGAGGATCTGACCAGAGGGTTGTCATATAAACACATTACCATGGATCCGGAACATAACCTCTGAGCCACAGGATCATTTTCTCAGGTTCTGGTCCAGGCAGAGTCAAGCGTGACGTGGGCTACGTACAGCTGAATTTCTCAAGCATCTTACATTTCTCTATCATTATGAGCATATCCTCCTGCAAACCGCTGACCGCCCGGACAGAGGGGATCTCACAAATGTCACCAGCTCCGCCGCAACTTTGTCATACAGAAATGTCGTACTACGCCTCATTTACAAAGAGTCTGGGAGAATACAGTCAGTCAGTCATCCGCCACACCCGCAACCTCGTGTCCAATATCCTCTCACAGGCACTCGTCGATCTCATCTGATGGTCATGAGGAGAGTTCTGATGGACGAGAAAGCTTTCGCGGATACGAAGACTCGAAGCAATGTCGAAGCGTCGTAATCCTTGACCTACTCATAGAGGGACTCCAATCTAGCGACGAGAACAACATCCGAACCATACATCCAGAGAATGAGGACACGGCGCGGGCACTGTATGATCTTACGAAACTTGGACGTCCGCGGGGAAATTATTTTTTGAATGGGATAAGCGGGCGATTGTTTGTCGGCTACCGGTGTGGCAGGCAAAACTCATAAGCCTCGACAGTAGGGGGCTAGAGCTATCATCACTCCGTCACTTTCCACGAACGGGAACTCCAAAGTTTAATCTGATTGGTAGCAAAGTATGTGCATTCCCTTCTATCTCAAGCTGTATCTTACACCGAATTTGCAATCGAAGAACTGTCGGTACAGTATCATGAGATGAATGTGTCCAGACACAGTTGGTACCTATCTGCAACTCGGTCAGCGGAAGTTGCGCTTGAGACCTGAGGATGCCCCTGCGTGGGCAGCCAATTCGATAAGATAACGATCACGATAAGACTACATTCTGTACCAAGAAAAGGTAGTAGCAGCCGGCCGTTTGTCCAACCACACTTTCCGTCATGCCCGCGTCCACCTGCTGTTGCTCAACTTGACCTCATTTCCTTTGACCGATCGCCAGTTCTTTCCTCAAAACATCTCATTGCATGGCAGCTACGGAGGTTGAAACTGCAAATGCCAATCAAGGAGAGACATTGAATCCATCCGATCATCACTCACTCACCTCAACTTGAAATGAAGTGCGGCTCTTACAGCGAGGTGGAGAGGCAAGTGCGCCCTCACACCCAACATCCAAGTCAACAACATCTCCCTTAACAATCCGTCCATTCAACACTTCGTTCGACGCAATAACCCGAACGGGCTGCCACAGTCTTTCTCCAACCCGGATCCCCTAGAGGTATTGCTCTGTTGCCTTGAACTGGGCTGAGGTGGTCAAGAAATACACGACGATTCGTCCTTCATACGTCATGGGAACTATGCATCGCCAGGCCAGGGCTCCCAATTCGTGGCGGCAAATCTATGGCCTTATGGGGTAACCTCTCCATCGGGAAACCCCGTCAAGGAACCCGCTCCGCAGTTCCGCGTTTAAATGGAGTACTGATGCTCGGCTAGGGTAGCATTGCTGTCTCCATGGAGGGTTCACGTCCCGGGGCATCAGCCACTCGCCATCATCAATTGCACCCAGACACTCAGAACTTGTTCTTCGGGGCCCAGATCTGCCGCTCGCTACCGGCCATGATACTCGGGATCTGCTGTACCCCAGACATCCTCAATCACCAACTCGGATTACCGCTACAACCCAGCGCAACCATCTCTACGTTTATACCTGCGCTCAGCACCGTGTTCCTTGCTTTTACATGGCCAACCTGCCGTGTTGGGGAAATGTTTGTCATGATTTCGAGCGCCAGAAACCGCCAATGTTTGAGCCACCCGGCTGCCCACATATCCAGGATATGTGCCCGGTTCTGGAGAGGTGCTGGGTAATTAGAACCGAGTCCATGGACGGATGCGTTAACTAGTATAAGAAGACTGCTGGGACCCTTTGTCTTCCACCCAAACTCCGACAACAGGCTTCTACACTTCAGACACGATACACATCATGCGCTCCTCCACTGTTCTGCAAACCGGGCTAGTGGCCGCTCTTCCCTTCGCCGTTCATGCCGCTTCCGGATCCGGCCAGTCCACCAGATATTGGGACTGCTGCAAACCATCTTGCTCCTGGTCCGGCAAGGCTTCTGTCAACCGGCCCGTCCTCGCTTGCGACGCAAACAACAATCCCCTGAGCGACGCCAGTGTCAAGTCTGGATGTGATGGCGGTTCCGCATACACCTGTGCCAACAACTCGCCATGGGCGGTAAACGACCAGCTCGCCTACGGCTTTGCTGCCACGAAACTCAGTGGTGGAACCGAGTCATCTTGGTGCTGTGCCTGTTATGCGTGAGTTTCTCATCAACTCTCTTCAACTCTTGGGTATCACTCGATGGCTAACTTTTACTGCAGCCTTACCTTCACTTCGGGCCCTGTTGCTGGCAAGACCTTGGTCGTTCAGTCTACCAGTACCGGCGGTGATCTCGGCTCTAACCACTTTGATATCAACATGCCCGGCGGCGGCGTCGGCCTGTTTGATGGATGTACACGACAGTTCGGCGGTCTTCCCGGCGCTCAATATGGCGGCATCAGCTCCCGCAGCCAGTGCGATTCATTCCCTGCCGCGCTCAAGCCCGGTTGCCAGTGGCGCTTCGACTGGTTCCAGAACGCCGACAACCCCAACTTCACCTTCAAGCAGGTCCAATGCCCATCCGAGCTCACCTCCCGCACCGGCTGCAAGCGGAACGATGACTCCCAATTCCCTGTCTTCACTGCGCCCTCTGGTGGAGGCACCAACCCCTCTACTCCGACAACCCCTCCCTCTTCAGGCGGCGGTTCCGGATGTACGGCGGATAAATACGCTCAGTGTGGCGGCTCGGGGTGGTCTGGCTGTACCAACTGCCCGTCTGGATCGACCTGCAAGACTATCAACGATTATTACCACCAGTGTGCCTGAATGGTGCCAGATGGTATGCTGTGTGACCGTGCCTCGAGGCGAGAGTTAGGACGGTTTAAGAGGAATCGGTAGACAGCACGATCCTCCAGTATAATTTGACATTCTGATGAGCATTGATCCCTCACAAATACTTCAATTCATCTCATGATGATTATTCTATCACACTCTGTCCGTATCCAAGTCAAGCTGTAGGTTCGGGGTGTAGGCGGGCTTACATGATCATCTACGACACTGGCGAATGCTGTTGAAGGTTCCGTACTTGCGTGCCATTGACCAGTCATGCATTGCGCCAAGAAGAAAGGATTGCCGTCATACTTTGTAAACCGAGCATCGACTGACCTGCCGCTATCTTCGTGCAAGTACAACCCGAGTCTCAGTCCACTACCTCTGTCGCCTCTGTGTCGGAAGAAGAAGAATCTTGTACCTTGCCATGATGTGACTTCCTACCTCAAGGGAATCCAGACCATCACTCTCAAGGCATCAATCCCCTCGGGTCAGTATCTCGCTCCTTCGGCGACTTTTCGGCTCCACGCATGATAGCGGAACCGACAGGGCAAGTGCTCAAGGCAAGATTGGGTTCACTGAAGGCATCATGATGGTCTTTGGGAAGGTGCTTGCGTACGGTGGGATGAATGATGATTGGGGTTCAAAATAAGCGCGACCTAACGAGACCTAGAAGTGGGAAATAGTAAGTGGATGCTCTCCTTGATTTCCCCTTGTCCTTCTTAAGTTATTCACGCTTCCATCCTGCTTGGATCCATTTTCTCACTGCCACCCTCGCTCCGTCGCTCAACCCAAGGCACTTTGACGACAACACCAGCCTGTTTGCCTTCATGAACGGGTCATCACTACCATCATGTCACTTCCACTCAAGCTGGCTTCTTCTGCTGCCCGCTGCTACTTTCCATCTACGTCTCTTATCTTGCCCAGGTATAGGGGCACCTCCAACATCTCTTCGGTACGCGTGTTCAAGGCCTACAGTCACTTAATATGCCAATGGGAGGAAGACCTTCGCTGTCAACGATACTAGACTCGGTTTCTTATGGGAGAAATTCTAATCTAGAGTAGACTGTCCAGGAACCCAAAGTCACATGCGGCCCAAAGTGTGCGTCCACACATGAGAGCCACACTTTCCCGCTCTTCAAAGCCTACTGACTATCATCTCCTTTTCTGCAGAAGCGCTTCACAATCCACCAAAACCCATTTTATGCCCCGTCGAACCCAAGACAAAGTGCCCCATCCTCATTTTTGGTGTTGATGACGAGGTTCAAGTCACCGATGCGTACCGTCAGGGGCTGAAGTATTTCATGTTAGCCATCCCTGCCATCCGTCGCTGGTTTGTGGAAAAACTCACCACTTCATATCACATCCATCACCGCCACTTGCTTAGAAGTGGGTGGGGATAGCACGCTTGGCCCTCTCGACAATGGTGAGAGCAACGCCATCGACCGTGGCAATCTTGATGCCGTCTTCGACCACAACATCGGTGTCGGCAGCAACCGCGCGCTTGTGCGGGTAGTCGCAGTCCGAGGTTTGAGAGCCTCTGCTCTTGCAGCAGGTACGGAAGTTGGACAAGTGCTCGGAGATGGAGCTGGCGGCGCAATCGTTGCCGTTGCGCCAGCTGCCGTGCTGTTGGTCGCAGCATTGGTGGGAGGCATTCGAGTCGACGCCGCCGCCGAACGCAAGGCACTTGCAGGCCTCAGCGCCGGCGAAGAAGGCAATGGCCGAGAGAAGGACGGTGAAAAACTGCATTTTGATGGTGGTGGTTGGTAAGGGGTTTGGGTTGGGTTGTTGTGATGTTGTTTTGATGGTAAGAGAAGATGTGATGGTTGTGTTGGCGATGATCTGGGTGGACGAGAGCAGGAGGAAGGGAGAGCTTTTATAGCTGATTCTTTCTTCAAGCTCTTCATACTCCTTGCCCTTCTTCCCGTCGATGCTCTCCTCGTATTCCTCCTCTTTCTCGCCGTCCCACACCTCGTCTTCCTACTCTTCTGCCTTCTTCTTCTCCTCCTCCGCCTCCTCCTCGTCGTCACGAACCGTGCTGACAGACGTGCTCATCCAGCTCCGGGCCTACAAGCATCATGATCCTAATGACATCAAGTCCGAAGTCCATGGTACGTGAATTACCAATCACATCTCTGGCCATATGAGGTTCTGCTCTCTGCCTGTTCATGCATGGCCTGCCAATTTGTGGAGATGGAATTGTTGGCTGAAGCTGACAGCCGAATACCACTCTCAGCTTGCAACGTAGTGGTCAGCGAATATCAATCAAATGATGAACCACACAGGTAGGGAACGGAGTTATCAAACATTCACAGATTTTGAGCTGTCAGGTAGTTTCGTGCCCCACTCTCTGTAGGAGAGCGGGGGTGAGCCAGAAAACCACAATATACCAACGTGACGGGTATCCTCTCAGGGCCCTCTGATGCTCCAGGGAGAAAGGAAACCCAAATACACGACTCTCAAATATCTCTACTATCACTCCCTGGTAAGTTTGTATCCCAATCAACAGCTTGTACAGATCGTTTCTCGCCAGATACAGCGGCAATTCAGTCGCTGCTGAGTACCCCTCTTGTCTGCCGTCACTGAATCATCTTGGGCTTTGCCAGCTGGGCTAGCAGCGTGGATTCCGATCCTTGCCAGCAATGGGACCATCCACGAGCCGCTCATCATGAGTAGGGCGTAGCCGCTACTCATTAGAGCTTACGCTTGCTACCTTCGCTACCTTCCATGCTGGGTTCTGATCAGGTCATCTCACTATGTGGCAAAGCAAGCAACTTTATTAATCAATGGCTGTAGGGCGCGTCGGTGCCGCTGTCTATATGAGGCTTTCTTGTCTGGTTCTCGGACCGAGGTAGGCGAAGTGGTATCTATAACATAAACCATCGTTCGCTAACATTCCTTTGCGAATCCTAACAGGCTGCAAGTGGTCGAGATGCAAATCGGTCAGCCGTTAAACACCCTTGTTGAGATGATGAGAAGTAAGGACCGCGGACTAGGACAGCATTTGCGGATCTTGCAGGCCTTTATAACGGAAGATCCGATCCTTCGATGACACGGAAACCCACAACAGCCGAACAAAACCGGCATAAGTGCTGACGGGCGTAAGCAACGGTCGTACACTACATAGTGCCACGACATGTGTCAACGGCGGTCAAAATTCGGCCCGGCCCTGGTCAAAAAAGCTTTGCGCTGCAATGTATCGCTATGGCTTACACTTTACACACAACCGTGCCACAGACCCCTGTGCTTGTCAAAAGAACACCACATTAGTGTGTGATTTCCCCACACCCTCGACATTTAGGTTGGCTGGCAGGGCTGGATGGTTACTTGGTGGCTCTGGGCGGTTCGCCAAAATCCGATAGGGCATCATGAATCCGAGATCCTGCGGGTGAAACCGCCACTTTGAAGCTGCCATGAACGCCCTTAGGATTCTTGATGGGTAGAATTCTGACGCCAAGCTTTACCGAGGCACCCTGATGGCCTCCTCATATTCTGGATCTGTCAAGTGCGACTTTCTTCCATTTTACAACTCCGTTTCTTAGACCAATTAACTGACAGAATGAAGCACGTGTCCGAGGACCAAACAAGAAGCTCACGATGCGCCGTCCGAACTGTCGTTTTTGGGCGCAGCGAGAGGACGAACCCGAGGAAAGCGAGAGTGAAGTTGCGGCACAGCCGAGCCGGCACTGCAAAACTGGGGAGGGCAAGGGATGTTAGCCAATTGGAATGGCGGCCATGGGTGTTGCCAATGCTACCTCAACGTCCCGCAACTAAAGGGGTACCGCCCCGTTTTGGAATGGAGGCTGTGCTACTACTGGGTAGGCCAACGCTCGGCATCACCAGTTTCGGCATGGTAGGCTCCCGCTCGGCTGTCCCTTGCTCTTCAGCGTCGACCTTCAGGTGACAAAGATGACTTGTCTATTTGCTGAATTACCCGTACCTCCGACCTCTTGATCTTCATTAACACCACATCCTCTACCTGCGCAATACGTGTTACCAGCGCATATTTCCAACTGGACTGTCCACACATGAGCAAAGGCATCACATAGCGATGGATCCCCGTACCAGTGGTCAGCCCCATCCGGCTGCCCTGACGGTGGCAACCGGTGTAGCTCTCACATCCCTCGTTCAGTACCTGGCTTCTAGAGCTACAGAGTACGAACTCTCCTCGGAAGTTGTGTGTTGTATGATAATCCCATTTCTCTTCAGGCTACAAAGCAAGCCCTCGACATATGTGCCACAGTTAGGCAATGTGGCCGCTACCAGAAAGCCGACTGGGTCACTACGGCTTTGGTGCCCAGCGGTCTGTGTTGCTGCCCTCAGTTTCTGTAAAGCAGAGTTCGGTGCGGTTGTCTGTTTGTTTGTAAGCCCTCCCGGTTGATGCGGACCCTTTCACGGCTCTTTGTCTCCCACCCTCTGCTCACACCACATCTTCAATAGCCACTTGCAACACCGTTGCTGCTCAAGGCTCAAGAACATTTCCAACTACGAACTGGAGCTTCAAGGTATGGGACTGCCAAGGAAGGGGCCCTGCCTCACTCGATCCTCAATACGTTCTGGGGATCACTTTTGGCAGCTGCAGTGGCCGTGTACAGCTTAGCAGCATGGGACGTCAAGGCAGCTGCCATGGCGGTGGTACCGTTTGCGGTTCTCGTCGGCCTTTTTTTCTCATTGATGTCCCAGATGGGAGAGCAAGGTCGCTTGAAAACTTTCCATCTTGAATTGGAAGATATTATTAAACCTCTCTCCTTGCGGATCGTAGGTTTCTTGATCGTCCTGCAGTTTGTCGACAGCTGGGTGTTTGGTTTCCCCAGCATAGATGGTGTGTGGACTGTCTTCCTGGGAGTAGCAAAGGCCTTTTCGTGGTATTTCGCTATTCAGAGTGTACGCCAGTCCTTGCTAACCCCTAACTGAGTTGCTTGCAGTGGCGAATGACGCTGACATTGTTTACAGACAAGGTATACGCCGGAGTCATGGCGAATCGTCACGGTGATTGCCACCTTTGGCTTGGTGGCAGCTCGCGACCCATACACGCAGCCTTCAAACATTCAAGCCCTTGCGAACGTTGTTGCTTCGCTTGTTGCACTGGCTCAGAGCATCAGCATGCTGCCGAAGCACACAGAACAGCGAGCCCTGCTCTGGAGCTTTGCGTTCGTTCCCCTCTTCCCTTACCTGGCCAATTTGGTTGCCATCAGAGCTGTAGAGTCTGCAGCACAGCAGCTTACTTTTCAACACCCCGGCCAACATCCGGTAGCGCAGCTAATGGAGAAGGCAAAAGCAGACTTCGACGGCATGCTGTCCAGACAGTCAAAGACGTACGAAGCCGCTGTCGAGGAGTACAAGCGTCGATACAAGGTTGAACCACCACCGGGGTTCCGGGGCTGGTACGACTTTGCTGTGAAGAGCCAGTCTCCAATCATCGATGACTTTGATACCATTTACCACTCCGTGTCGCCTTTCTGGAAACTGAGCGGCCAAGAGGTAGTGAACCTCATACACGAGGCTTATTACACGCGGTACAGCGAGTTATGGCAGTGTACCTTTCACGGCGCGACCGCAAAGACTGAGTGTCGGCATCCATACCGCAACTTCGACAGACATCTTACCCTTTTGTTTGATAAGGTGTTGGGTGATCTGGCGGGGGTTCTTCCAGACATCAAGTTCGTCGTCAATCACCTTGACGAGCCACGGGTGGTGCTTCCGCGTACTTCACCCTCCGACGGCTGGCGCTTTTCTCTTCTGGATATGTCTCATAAGCCAATCTGGAAGGAACTGACTGCTCCCTGTTCCTCTTCTTCCTCCGAACCCAACGATACCACCAACGGCATTGACACCTTTGGTCTCCCCTTTGTCACATCTACGGCTTCCGTCCTTGACATCTGCGCCAATCCTTCCTACGCCGACACCTACGGCCTCTTCACCTCCTCCGTCTCCATGCGCTTGTTAGTCGGACTGGTCCCCGTCCTCTCCACCGGTGCGCCATCCACCATGTCCGACATTCTCTACCCCTCCGCCGCCTACATCGAGTCCGGCTTCATCTATGATCCCACCCGCGACATCCCCTGGGAGCAAAAATCCAACAACCTCTACTGGGCCGGCTCCACAACCGGCGGGTACTCTTCCGACTTCTCCTCCTCCTCCGCTGATTCACAATGGAAGTCCTTCCACCGCCAACGCTTCGTCGCCCTCGCCCAAAACCTCAATCGCCAACGACATACCTACCTCCGCTCCCTCAACGGCGCCATCACCCGCGTCACTTCCCCTTTTCTCAACAGCCGCCTTTTCTCCGTCTTCTTCACCCGCTTCCAATTCTGCTCGCCTGCTACCTGTCGCGCCCAACGCTCCTTCTTCCGCACCAAGTCCTACGCCGACAAAGACGAGGCCCTTTCGTCTCGCTTGGTCTTTGATCTCGACGGCAACGGCATTTCGGGTCGGTATTACAAGCTTTTGGCGTCCAATAGTGCTGTTCTCAAGCAGACTTTGCTGAGGGAGTGGCATGATGATCGGCTGGTGCCGTGGGTGCATTATTTCCCGGTGAGTATGGGGATGGAGGAAGTACCGGAGTTGGTGATGTATTTGACGAGCACGGATGAGGGGAGGCAGAAGGCGAGGGAGGTGGCGGAGGGGGGGAAAGAGTGGTGGGCAAAGGCGTTGAGGGAGAGGGATATGGGGGTTTATCTGTATCGGTTGTTGTTGGAGGTGGGGAGATTGCAGGATGGAGGGAGGAGGGAGGGGGAGCCGCGGCGGGTGGTGGGGGCATGAGAGGTTGTGTTGTGGTGTGTAGGTGGGTTAGTGGCCAGGTCTTGGATAGGATAGTGTGTTGGTGTGTCACCACTTTTGGGTAGGCAGTGATGGACCTGACGGTTTGTTCGGTTGTGTTTGGATAGGAAGGCATGAGCTACCTAGTGAGTTGGTCATACAACCATTTAGGTCTTGGATATGTCAATTTTGTATGACCGCGTCACGACTTGAAGCGTTCAGAGACACTGCAGTACATTACGCGTGCTGCATGCAACATGGCACACGCTGTGCATATTTTTCCAATCTCCGAAACCCTCAAGCAAGTACTTCCCTTGGTCATTTGCCCAGCAGGCAGGGAACTCGGCCTCCAGCATGTGTGAAGGCACCGGAGTTCCGTAGCCCTTCGGCGTCTATGCATTGCATTTATTCCCACACAACCTGTCCTCTGTGCATCATCATGCCTGGGCAGAAACATTTCCCTGGAATTCCTACTATGTAGTTCAAGTTTGTCCAGGCCTTGGCCTTCCTCGAGATTCCTGGTTCTGATTTCGCCTTCCATGAAAGATTCAACCGCTCGACTCTGCTTTCGACAACGGTTCTTCCTTCCCACTGGGAAATGTGATCTTGATCCCCGGTCATCGACTCACGATCCCCTCACAACACTACCACCACCCGGAACCACACATCCCCGACCCATACTCCTCACCTCGTCGCTCTTCCAGCAATCCCCTCATCCTTGACACCTACCTGTTCGATCGCCGTCACAAGGCTCACAATCATGCCCCAGCATACTTTTCGCAATGCATTCAAACTCCTCAAAGCGAAGCAGCACAAATGGAAGCGATCCCTTCGCAAGAAGTTCGCTTGGCTCAAGACCAAGAGCAACTCGAAACTTCATATCCGCAATCTAGATACCATCATCCCCAAACCCGAAGGCTATCCCATTCCCACCATTCGCGCTACCAGGAAATTCCCGATTGATGACTTTTCCGATTCCGAAGAAGAAGATCTCGCTGCTGAGTCGTCATCGTCGTCGTTGCTTGACGAATCAAGTAGCAGCGTAGTGTACGACGTACCTCCCTCATGTCAGACTCAGGACTCTTCGTATTCGACTTCGACTTCGACTTTGGCGTCGGCGTCCCAGACAGAGACAGAGACATCACCAGAGACAGATCATGGCAACGTGCCCGAACGGCCCGAACCTGAGGTTTTGAACACCAGCGGTCGGTTTAGCTCTTTTAGGAGAAGTACCTGCACGGCTTCGACAAGGGACAGTTATGTTACTGCTGCTAGTTACCTGGACTCGGACTCAGTCGGAGATAAACACGAAGACGAAGATGAAGACAAGGACGAAGACGATCCCGGACCCGGACCCGGACTCGATAGCGACGAAAGCATTCGGTCAGATACATCCGCTACGTCCTATTTTGAGTCACAGGACTCGCAGTCGGATACAAGTACCAGTACGACTTCGGCGTCATCGATAAGTTGTTAGTTGTGGAGTGGACTAAGGTACTTTTCTTACGACTACCGGGAGCTTACAGGATAGATTCAGTTTCGGCTCTTACGTATATGTACACAGCGATTTCGTCTTTGGTTGTTCTCGGTTGAATCTCATGTCTTGGTATTAGGCAAATGCTATCCTCGGTGAACAGCGGTTTTTGTTGCGTTTAGCGGGATTTGTCTCTTACCCGACAGTAGTGCTTCTCACTTTTCCGGTTTTGTGGGATACGAATCCCAAATTTTTTGTCGTGGGACACGAATTCCTTTATCTCTTCGATTTTTCCAAAACAGCAGTGCATCCAATCGGCGTCCCGGACGGTTCGTCTCCTTATCCAACGGACGAAGGGGAAATGTGGGCGGTGACGAGAACAGTGACGAAATACAATCAAGACAGCGAAACAAGGAATACCCAGACCCAGCCCTCCGGCGCCATCAAGCGTTTGTTCGAGTACTTCTATCTCGTCTCCAGAAGTTTGAACGAGGGAGTTACACGAAGCTCTCATACAGACCTCGGACGTGAGGAACGCAGTGTTCGTTCCATCTCGTATGAAACGAGCGCAGTGCGTGGAGCTGTGTAATCTAGAGAACGGGAAAGGTGGATGAAGATTTTGAGGAAGACACAGAAGGCGGTGGGGTTGATGGATCCTGACTTTGTCAGTGCAATGAAAGTTTCTGGTACATGATTGTCGATGCGATTGGTTCTGGAGAGTATTGCGAACGTATGAAAGGTTTCTTTGGGTCATTGAAAGAGAATCCCTGGCGGGATTTATATCAAACGAGGTGCTTGGATATAACGAGCCGCATCTTTATGCGAGAGTGAAGGAGGGATGTCACACGGACATTCTGACCCTAACCCTGGGCCGGACCGACTAAGGCCCAGGAACTATATAGCTGGGACCAATTAACTAATTAGCGGTTCCTAGCCCGGTTAGCTGCAGTAGAGCCGCAAGGCTTAAACTAACCTTATAGCTTTATAGGCGCCTAGATGCCTTAGGCATCCCTCGGACGAATTAACCCTCTAGCGGTAACGCTTATCCGAATCCCTTTATTAAGACCCATCGTACCCAACCAATAGTATAACTACCGACTATATTAGCCCGGCGCTAATCCGCCCTATAAAGGGAACCCTAGTATTACGAAATTACGGCCGGCCTAAGCCGGCCAACCCGAGCAACGAAAGGGTATTAGGGATAACGCTAATACTAGGAGATTGGAGGAAACTATTTATAGGGTTCTATACGTAAGTACTAAGGTATTCACTACTAAATAAATACTTTATAACTTCATAACTGGATAAGGCCGTTAAATTTATATACGTACTCAATAGGAGGAAAGAAGGCTTTAGTATAAGAAGGCTATTGAGCCTAGTCTAATTGGAAAGGTTTAAAAGGATTAATAAGGCCTTCGAGACTAGAGTAGTTTATTAGTTAAATTAAATTACTATTCTAAATTTAAAATACTACCCTTATTATAAATAAACTACTTCCCTTTCGAACTACCCTACTACTAACCTTTTTACCCAACTATATCGACCTCCGACGTCCCTATAATTTTTATCGAAGAGTAGAATATAATTGTACTCTATTAGCCCGGCGACTTCGATACCGTTATAGCCAATAGTAATAATACTATCCCCGTTAATACTACCCTTATTGAAAGCCCTCCCCAATAACTCAAATCCCTTTACAATTAATTTACAAACGCTTATTAATAAATCCGCACCCTTACCCGTATAGTCGGTTAGGAATATTCCTAAGAATTCTCTTCCCTTAAGGAGTAGTACTAAACCCTTTATAAATATTATACCTCTATTACTACTTTCTTTAAAAATAGAATAGAGGTTTCCCAAGCCTCTATCGCCCGGTTCGAGTAATAAATTCAATAATTTAGTTCTCGGTTCGCCTCTAAAGTCTAGGGAGTTATCGCTTAATATAGTAAGAAGGATAAAGAATATTATAAAATTATACAATGCTTCTAGGAAACTACCTAATAATAATAGAAGGTATTAAAAACGCTCAATGAAAGAAGGGCCTACTATTCCTCCCTCTTAGGGTATATTAAAACTTAGGCCAGTTAGAAAGAAGTTTAAGTAAATACCCTTAATAATAAAATTAACAATCTCCTTAATAAGTAAATCGATCCTAATAAAGTTAAGAACTTAGAAAAATAAATCGCCTAATTCGCCGCCAATATTTAAAATACCCTCAAGCAAACCGGCTAACCTACGGCTAATATAGCTTCCGTCGCCTCAATTATCCGCGTTTTCGAATAATGTACTGCTACTCGTACCCCAAATACTATATACTATCCTTCTATTATCCCCGAAAATCCTAGCCTTAAAAATAACTTCCTTTAGACGGTTTAAACTAAATAGTAGGCCGGTTAGGTATATATAAACTATAATACTACCCGAACCGACCTATTCGGATCCGTCCGCTTCGGTTAATTAACTGGAGGCTAAGGACCCCCGGGCCCGCCGCTACTATCGCTACTTAGAACCTTCGGCGCATTCTCTAATAATAATAGCTATAATTAAACTAATTAATTCCTTTAGAACTTTACTTTCCCAATAATCTAAATTATACCAATCTATTTTAATAAGCCTCCTACGTATAATAATAAAAAGCTCGATTCCTTCCGCCCTTAGTAAGTACAAATTAATACGTATCTCTACGTATATACTACCAATTTTCCTACCGATAATTATAAAATCAATTGGCTAGGATCGATACTCTCTAATAAAACTTAGAAATAATACGATTTATAAGCGTATCAAATTTAATTTATAAGTGTTGAAAATATATAGAAAAAATACTCTAATACCCTTATAGAATAATTTAAGGATCCCTTAAAACGCTATTAGAATATAAAGAAAATAGAAGAGTTTAAATATAACGGGGATATAATTAAGTATTTTATAAAACTATTCAACTTTAACGAAACCGTCGGTTAGGCTAGAATTACCTTCTAGAACCAAATTACTAAAACCCTCCCTTCTAAAATTATTGAACTAATATACTCTATAAGAAGAGGAGTATTAGAAATTAATAACGAATTTATTAGTACAATCCGTAAAACCGGATGTATTTATAAGAATATACTTTAAACCCTTAAATACCAATTGGGAAAAGGCGTATTTACTTTAAAGACGGAGCCTTCGAAGTCGGGCCAATACCTTCGAAAGGATACCCACTCCCTTTTAGATTGAAATTAATCCTTAAAATAACCTAATCGTTCAATTAAAGAGAAGAAATGGCCTTTGGTCTGCAATATATTAAAAGGTATTAATTAAGCGGATATCGATTAGTATAAATAAGACTAAGCTTCCTATTAACGCTATAGTTGTAATAATTATTATACTATAAAATATTTTATAAAAAAGGATAATAATAGTAAGGATTTACTATAACCTAAGGAATAATAATTTAGAACGGCCACTATATCCGCTAAATACAAAAATAACGACCGAGAAAAAGAGGGAACTAAGACCCTCGAAAATAATAAGGCTTAATTCAAAAAAATTAAAATAGCCGCTATTACTAGAGTTATATAAACTATAGAGATGGACTAAGATTCTAATTCGGATTTTTAAATAGCCGCTATAAAGTATTATATAAATTACCCTAGCCTTACTTTAGTACTAATTCAATTAACCCTATTATTTACACCCTAAAGAGGCTAAACTTCAATAATAGTAATTAATAACCCTATAAAAAACCCTATCTAAAGCCTTACTTAGGACTATAATCGATCGTCCGAATAATATTAATCTATAATAATATAGAATATCCTATCCGCATTCTTTTAAACCCGGGTAATTTAATCCTAATTATATCCTTCTATTAAACCCGCGTTTAGAAATTCCCCTTAATTAAACGAACTAATATTTATACCCTTATAAGATTTAACGCATTAATAAATACGTATAACGGTCGCTACTATATCGAAATAATTGTTCTATACTATTAGGAAGACTATTATATATACTTCAATTTCGAATTCTCTATAATAAATAATAAGTATAATATTATCCTACCCTATTAATAACTATAATAATACGAACCTATATTCTTCTTTAATAAAACCTAAGAAATTAAGTTCGCTTTAAATTACTATTAAAAAAACTATATTAATTCTATCGTCCTTAAATTGCTTCTAATAATAGCCATCGCCAATATCCAAACTAAAATCGATATAGCTATTACCGCCGTCCTAGAAGAATTCCGTATATATTTCCCTATTATAAGTAAAGCCGCTATTATTCGTATACCTAATTTACAATTATAGGATTATAAAATTAATATAATTAATAATCAAACCCCTTCTTAGGGCCCTATCTTTACTATAAATAGTAGAAAGTTTAATACCTTTAAACCCTAGTTTAATAAAATACTAAAATCTAATAGAATTAAGAAATCTACGGCCCCTTATAGGGCCCCCCTTATATTTATAGATAAGAAAAATCTAAATAATCCCTTCCGACCGGTAATTAATTACCGTACCCTCAATCGAATAATAATTCCAATTCGTTACCCAATACCCTTTATTACGGAGTTTCAATACGCCCTTAAAACGGCTAAATTCTATACCAAAATCGATTTCAAATCGGGCTTCTTCCTAATAAAAATAATTAAGGGTCACGAATAAAAAACAGCGTTTCAATATAAATACGAACTCTTCGAATACGTTGTTATACTTATAGGTCTAATTAACGCCCCTTCTACTTTCTAAGCTATAATAAACTACCTCTTTATAAATCTCATTGACTCTAGCGTCCTTATATATTTTAATAATATTTTAATATATACTAATACGGAAGAAGAATACGACCGTCTTATTCTAGAAGTCTTAAAGCGGTTATTAAATAATTACCTCGCTATTACTTTATAAAAGTATAAATAAAAGGTATAGGAAATCGAATTCCTAAATTATATTATTTCTCCAAATAGTATTAATATAATTAACAATAAAGTAAGAACAATCTTAATTTAGGAGCTCCCCAAAATTCTAAAAGAATTATAGTCTTTCCTAAAATTTACTAATTTCTATAAAAGGTTTATTAAAGGGTTTTCAACGCTAGCCCAAACTATTTCGAAAGGTAATACCCTTAATCGTAAGCTTTGGAAATAGATAAAAGAAATAATTATAGCGTTCAACGATTTTAAACAAACTTTTACTAACGCGCCCGTTCTAGCCTATTTTAATCCCGCCGAACTAGCTATTATAAAAACCGACGCCTTAAATTTCGGTATTGGAGTAATCCTTTCCCAAAAGAAAGAGGATAGTAAAATCCACCCTATTACCTTCCACTCCTATAAAATATCGCCGGCCGAAATAAATTACAAAATTTATAATAAGGAGTTCTTAATTATCGTTAATAATTTTAAACAATAGAAAATTTACCTCGAGGGAACTAAGTATTGTATTGAAGTCTTTTCCGATTATTAGAATTTAGTATATTTTACTTATATTAAGGTCCTTAACCGTCGTTAAACCTAATAGGCAATCTAATTCGCTAATTTTTAATTTATTATTAATTACCGACCCGGCTATTTCAATAGCAAAGTAAATACCCTTTCTCGCTAGGAAAATTTCAAACCCGAAAAGGGGGGGGGTAAAGATTAGCTAATTATAATAGTCCTTTAGAATAAATATTTTTTGTACTCCGAAGGCAATAATTTTCTCCTCTCTAAAAATAGGCTTTATAATATCTCGGTCCCCCAATAGAACGAAGAATTTATTTAGTAGCTTAAAGAAACCCGAATTAACAACTTATTGTATATAAAGTAATTTAATAAGGAAGGAGAGAAGGATTTCGAAAAGATCGACGACCTCCTCTATAGGAAGAACCGCCTTTAGGTCCCTACTAATTTACAATACAAAAATATTAATTCAAAGTATAATACTAAAGTCGTAGGCTATATAAGTATAAATAAAACTATAAAATTCATTATAAGGAATTTCTAATAGCCTAAAATAGAGGAAACCATTCGAGAATATATTCGCGGCTACTATAAATACTAATAAAATAAGCCCCCTTATTACTCCCCTTATAACTTTCTTTAACCTATAGAACTCTACTACACCCCTTAGAAGACTATTACAATAAATTTTATTATAAATTTACCCCTTTCTAACGGTTGCAATTCTATTTAAATTATAGTAAATCCCTTTACAAAAATAGCCTACTTTATCCCTCTTAAAATAGGAGAGAAGAAAATAGAAGACCTTATTAAAATTTTTACCTACTTTTATTAGCAATTGTATAGGGTACTATTAAATATTATTTCCGATTGCAATTCCTAATTTATAGCCTATTTCTAAAAGGATTTCTTAAAGCTCGTCGGTATTAAAAGCCGTATAAATATAATATTCCATCCCCAAATCGATAGCTAAATTAAGCGGCTCAATTAAATCCTCGAAATATATTTCTATACCTTCGTTAACTATAAAATAAATAATTAAAAAGATTTATTAACTACTACCGAATTCGTATATAATAATACTATTTTATTATTATCCGGTATTTCTCTATTCTACACTAATTACAATTATTACCCTATTTTATACAACCCCCCTAATAGCGCCCCTCGTAACCCTAAAAACCGCTTTTACACCCACTAAATAATCCAAATTTATAAATTCGCCTAGAAATATTTCGACTACGCCCGTTAAAAGATAAAGGAATAAGCGGATAAACGACGAACGGAGGCGCCGAATTATAAGGTAGGATAATTAATTATATTAAACAATAATTATATTAAAACTAAGCGCCCTTCCAAAAAGTTTAATAAGAAGCTTTATAGCCCCTTTAAAATTACCTAAGTAATATTCCCTACCGCTATCCGATTAGCCCTACCGAAAATATAGTAAATTTACGATTCCTTTTACGTCTTATTCCTAGAACCTTATTATATTAATAATTAAATAACCCCTAACCCTAATTAGGTCCTACGTACGGCAGCCCCAACTAAATTTAAAGACTACGAGGTAAAGAAAGTCGTAGATTTTATACTAGCCGAAAATAAAATACTTTATCGAATTAAGTAGGAAGGTTAAAAGACTTTAAATAATATTTAGAAACTATAAGAATATTTCTTTATTAATAGAACCCAGTAATAAATTATTTTATTCTATTAACGCTACCCAAATAAGCTTTAAAATTATTGCGTACCTACAACGCTAAAAACCCTATCCTTAATATTATAAACCGGTATTATTAACCTCGTCGGCTCGAAGCGAATTTTAAAGAAGAGGGAACTAATATTATACGGATATTCTAACCCTAACCCTAGGCCGGACCGACTAAGGCCTAAGAACTATATAGCTAGGACTAATTAATTAATTAGCGGTTCCTAGCCCGGTTAATTATAATAGAACTACAAAGCTTAAACTAACTTTATAGCCTTATAGGCGCCTAGATACCTTAAGCATCCCTCGGACGAATTAACCCTCTAGCAGTAACGTTTATCCGAATCCCTTTATTAAGACCTATCGTACCCAACTAATAGTATAACTATCGACTATACTAGCCTAGCGCTAGTCCGCCCTATAAAGGGAACCCCGGTATTACAAAATTACGGCCGGCCTAAGCCGGCCAATCCGAGTAACGAGAGGATATCGGGGATAGCGCTAATACTAAGAAATTGGAGGAAGCTATTTATAGGGTTCTATACGTAAGTACTAGGGTGCTCACAGCTAGATAAATACCTTGTAGCCTCGCGGCTGGATAAGGCCGTTAGATTTATGTACGTACTCAATAGGAGGAAGGAAGGCTTTAGTATAAGAAGGCTATTGAGCCCAGCCTAGTTAGAAAGGCTTGAAAGGATTAACAAGGCCTTCGAGACCAAAGTAGTTTATCAGCTGAATTGAACTACTGTTCCAAGCCTAGAATACTGCCCTTGTCACAGATAGTAAGGAATTTTCGAAGAGGGTTGGTTGAGTGCTAGAGACAAACTATCGTCACAAGCGGTTTTTGAAGCATGTCGTCATTCATTTACAGCTCTTCAGCGTAGCCGATTGGTTTATGTTTGTACTCTAATGCTATAATCATCCTTGGGTGTATTGTATCTCTTTGGTGTAAAGTGTCAGTCACTATTTATATTCTTTGCCTTAACCGTCTTCGAACTGCGAAGTAAATATAATTTAGACAAACCTCATTCGAAGAAAATTTTGCATCGAAAGGAAATAAAAAGAAAGTATATCAAAGCGAGTCAGGCACCCACAAAGCCCTGAATCACCCAAAAATCTCAGCAAAAAATGAATAAACACTGGACGAGCTGGGAATCGAACCCAGGACCTTTCGCATGCTCGGAAACATGCTAAGCGAACGCTCTACCAACTGAGCCACACGCCCGATTGATGCTTAATACAGCGTTCAATGGCAACTAAGACGTTGTATGAAGCGAACAAACGTGGAGGGACTTTAGGTTCGTTGCACGTTTGGAAAAGGAGGAGGAGTGGATGAAGCTTTATACGTCGCTTCTCTGTTTTGGTAAAATGATAATCGCTGACGACGGTAGAGTTCCCGTGCCGGGCGTTAAATAAGCGACTATATAGATAACTCGGCGCTGATGCTGGTGTGGTAGACCGGTACCCCTAGGTAAAGGGAGTGATAAAAGAGGGTTGCAGCAGGCACCTACTCGAGGTACGTAATGTAGGGCAGCTAGCGTACTAACGTACTGTCGTGAATAGGTGGCTATCCTGAGCACATCAGACTTTCCTATCATGCCTCTGGAGTTTTACTATTACCGTTGCTGGCCAGTTACACTCTTTGAAAGGCGGAAGGCGGAGAGCGGGAGTGTAGGCACCGCTCCACTGTCTTGGTACCCTTGTCTAATTAAACGGTTCTAGGTCCTGATCAAGCCGCTTGTCTGATCATTACATATCCTCTTTCAAGATTCGAGTATGTTGTTTCAGGCTTGGATCATATATTACCATTGTCTCTCGTCGCATTGTTACATTCACTCACAAATATATTCTCGGTATCCTCGTGGTGTGTGAATTCGTCATATAGGGGAACCCTATACCGTTGGACCGGGATGTGCCAGGCGGTTGGTCCCGCTCTGCGTCCAACTAAATCTTAACAAGGTACGGAAGATCTGTGTACCGTAACACGCCCAACCAACTTCAAGATAACGACAAGGTTCTTTCTGTTCTTACTGCGCAGCCTCTCTAAGTGTCACTCATCCAGTGAGGCCACTGTTAGTGCTCACGTAATGGCACAGCGGCGGCACTCGAAAGTCGAGAAGCCTATAAGGCCAGAATCTGTTGGACTTTATGTGACCAGAAGCAAGATAGTAAGGACATTGATGAGGACAGCCCTAGCCATGCCCAAAGATCAGCCGCATACCCGCCATCAACAGCTTGTGAAGTCGAGATCAAAGCGAAGCGAGCCAATATCAACTGAAAGACCCCAACGTATCAGCCAGTGTTGAGCAAATGGAAATGTAAAGCCAGAATAAACTATACAATACCACGGCCCTACATGAAGTTGTCATCGAGCTTGTCAAAAGGTAAAGGATGAGATGGAAGAAAGATGGGAAGAAGCTTGCTTGATTACCCAAGAGAGAAGACTAGAATACAGGTTGGGGGTTGACCTTCCTTATATGCTTGCCAGACGTGATTGTAACACCCTTGTCTACCCTGAGACACCTTTGTCTACCCTGAGTCCGTCTTGCCCACCCCTTTAGGAAGGCTCGATAATATTCGTAAGTTCATCGACATTCGACAGAGCTATCACATGCAATTGATGGCGTGCCTGGGCTACAGTGCGCACCTGCCCCTGAGTGGCGTTCCTCCCAACAGTACGGACGCTAACAATCGATGGTAATGACCTGCAGTTGACCACCTTATCCAAGGGTCTTTGTGCACTGTGGTATATGTTTCAATGAACCGTCAGCGCCATTGACCGTTAGTAAGTGACCGTGATGATAAGGCGGAAGCACAACGGCTGGGTTCGCTTTTTTGGACGACTTTGTCTTTCTGGGGGCCTCAGTCTGGTAAGCTGCTGCAAGACGCTGCACTATTGCGACCCCGCCACGTCACAATCATGAAGTTCAACTTTGGGGATGTAACTAAGCACCCCCACAAATACCACCAAGGACAGTGCTCGTCTATGCGGCCTCCGTAGTCCCCGGACAAGAACTAGTGATATGGATGGTTGACGAATGAGCAACATCACCACAGGTAGACAAGTCGGGCTCGACGGTCAAATGCAATGATATGGCGGGTTTGTGGTGATGCTCATGCTCATTCTTTGGGCTATCAGTAAGCGTATAGTGAGATTTGTTAGAGGATAAGAATGCTCGGAATGTCATGGAGGAAAGGACCAGTTGAGCCATGTATGCTACACTGGATACCCTGATTCTCACACCCAAGGACATCGACATTTCAAACACAAGGACAATGGCTACTACACCATATGACACCATCATTTTCGACCTTGGGGATGTGCTCTTCGACTGGGATGAGCCACAAGACGTTGCGTCCCTTGTCGCGTTGCCAAAAGGTGCCATGCGAAAAATGATGAACTCGACCACTTGGCATGACCTCGACCGTGGCCTCCTACCTGCGGAGGAAGCCTACAAGGTGAGCAGGTCCCTCGCTTTCAGGACCTCCGTACCTTAAGACAAACCAAAGTCGAACAGATCATGGGCGACGAGCTCCACATCGAGGCGTCACTGGTACGCCCAGCCATTGATGCAGCTGCCTGCTCGCTACGAGTTAACGAGCAATGGGCAGAACTGGTGGAAAAGCTTGCGGCAAAGCCTGGGTTGAAGGTATATGCCATGTCCAACTGCAACATCTCCAAGGAACATTTCGAGTACATCCGGACGCTGCCGTTTCCATGGGAAGCGTTCACTCGCGTCTTTACCTCCGCGGCCGCCGGTATGCGCAAACCGGATCTCTGTTTCTACCAGTACGTCATCAACGAGACTGGATGTGATCCTAGCCGTACCGTCTTCCTCGACGACCGCACCGAGAACATCGTCGCTGCTAGATCTTTGGGCATTCGGGGCGAGATCGTGACGGACAACGAGAGGACCAAGGAAGGAAGAATATATCGATTCCTCAAGAACGTGGTCTTGGGGGAGCCCATTGCACTTGCAGAAGCCTTCTTACACTCCCAGAGCGGAAAGCTAGATTCTGTCTACTCTGAGGAGGGGGTGGTTTTCAAGGACAACTTTGCCCAACTGCTGATATGGGGACTGACTGATATGGAAGACATCATCTACCTTTTGTGGCCAGATGGAACGCGCTGGAAGGGATCATCGCGATGCTCGTCTCCAATGACGATGCCTCCGTGGCCAGCTCAACCGACTCTGCTATCGTTCTTAACGACAAGACCAGAGAGGGCAAGAAGTCACGCCCGCTTCAGGATGGCCTGTGGAACTACTTCACCGAGAAGCCAGTCGGGACCACGGAGACATTCCCAGCTGATGTTGATACCACCTCGATCGCCTACCTGACCATTCCGCAAGAGCACCTGCACAGAGTTGCCGATCCCAAGCTGGTTCTGGATGCCATGATCTTCAACGTAAACGTCGATGGCATCATGCAGGTGTACTTTACAAATGACAGGCTACGCATCTACGCCATTGTCAGTGTGAACATGCTTCGGTTCTTCGTGAAGTATGGTGGTGATGATCTAGATCTGGACATAGATCCCCGCCTTGCTGCCACAGTGAACTTTGTTATCAACTGCCTTGTCAACAATGCAGTGGTAAATGGCACACGCCATTACACGACCACTGAAAGCTTCCTGTATTTCGTCAGCTTGTTCTTCGACGAGCTCAGGACAAAGGCCGAAAGGAATCCGACCAAAAACGCCAATACGCGTCAGACACTCCAACGACATATCTATCGTTTGCTGGTGCAGTCGTTGGGGAAGCCTGCTAACCCGTTGGCTTTGGCGATGCGGGTGCGCGCTTGTCAAGTATTCAATATCGGCAGAGACCTCCTAAAGTGGGAGATGGACGAACTGCTTGTCCTTCAAGAGGAAGATGGAGGATGGCCGGCGGGTCACTTCTGCAAAGCAGGAAAGACGGGTGCTGTTATTGCTAGTCAAACGACACCAATGGCTTGGCGACTTCTGAAGGACTACGAGCGTGAGGTCATCCCATAGATAGGCTGAATCGTTGACAAGGCGGAGTGATCCCTGAGCATCCAATTCCGTTGCGGCCACCTCTTTTTACATGCCACGTTCGGACTTGGAGGCGGTGGCGCGGTGCTAATTGAACACATCGGACTCCAGGAACTCAGCTTGACAGGCCTAAGCCGAGGGGGAGAAGGCAACCGCGGAAAGAAGACCTGCCGTGTCACCAACGCCAAGCCCTAGGCAAGAATATAAGCCATATCATGGGCGCTGGTTTTTGATCAGGCTTTCATCTTTTCCTTCTCCTTTCCTGTCCACACTCTTGACTGCGTCGGAAGCACGATTGCCTCCCTAACCAACCGTCGACTTTTTGCCAGTACAAGTGCAACCGGTATCATGAGCCGTACTCATTGGGACGATGGCCTGCACGCAGTGAACGGCACAGATGCGCCAGAAGCTGTTCTTCCTGGACAACAGGTACCCAAAGAGCCGGTCTCGACAAGATGGACAGCAACATATCCGCAATACAGCCCGCTGGTGCGACCGAATTCCCCAGAGAAGCAAGATCAGGAACAGAGTGGGCACTTCCTCCCACAATCAAACGCATCTTCGCCAGGCCTGAAAAGGAAGATCTGCGGCCTACGGAGGTCCACGTTTTTTTTGATAGTGGCGCTTCTGGCTGTGATTGTAGTGGCGGCCGTCGGAGGTGGTGTGGGTGGATCGATCGCGGTCAAGAAGGCGAAGAGGTAAGCCGGGATAATTGAGTCGCCATGTATTTTCTCCGGCTGTAGCTAACTGTCGAGAACCAGCTCCCCGCCCTCGAGCACCGCGTTCGACTGCGCAGCCGTCGCCCGCAGTGGCAGCACTATAACGCTGGGTTCGAAGGTCTGGAAGTTCGGCGTTAAGTGCAATCTGACGTTTGAGGGAAACGTGAACCTCGCCGCTTCAATTGCTTATTCGTTCGAGGAATGTCTCCATTCGTGTGCACAAACGAACTGGCTACTGAGGAACGAGACGTGCGTCGGGATATCTTTCTGCGGGGATTTCCAGTACTCTATGCAGACCCTCTATGGGAATTGTTTCTTGAAAAAATCCTTGGGGACCGGGAAGCTCTTGCCGGACACGAGACCAGAGTTTGCGACAGCGAGTGTAATACCCTGATTGAACGACTCGCCAACAATCGTAGGGATAGTGAGTTTGGAGTCGGCAGCGTCCTCGGCATGAGGTCAGGTATTGTACAAGGCGTCGAGGGCGGCCATCGGGAGATCAAGGTGGGCCGTATGTTGAGGGCGTTTTCTGGCGTGCAACTGGAATTGATTTAGGGATTAGTGAGCAACAAGATATCCAAATGCCGTATATTTTTGATCTTGAAAACGGGGCAGAGGAGGAGGAATCGACCAAAACGAGTGTATTTCTTGAGCTGCAAGAGACGCCTTGAAATTTGTCGAGTTGCTGATGCTTGGAAGTCATTGGGGAAAATGGAAGAGGGGAAACGACACGCGGGGTTCGGTGGAAACGTGCTACTGTACGTCCAGTTCGGCGACGGTCAGTGCGAGCATTTGTGCTACAGAAAATGGGGTTAAGATACTCCACAAAAATGGTTACCCCTGCACACTTCACCGCCACCGTGCACCACAGTACACGTTTTCTGTACAAGTACTTGGTGACATCAGATCGTGTGCAACAACAGAAATACCAGGATAACACGCAAGGAAGAGGACATGATTCCACAGAGGACACTCGTAAATCGTATCACCACGATCACGCTGGGAACGAAGAAGTCATTGGAATGACTTGCTACCGGGCTCTAGCTTCGATCTTACTCGTTACATCCTTGTGTCACAAGATACATAACTAAATCATCGAGGCCCAGAATATGATAGCTCTTCGCTGACTTTAAATCATCCTCGAAACTTTAGAGATGATGCAGTTGACTTCCTACCTACGCCTTGCCCATCCTTCCTCTTATCAGATTTACAGAATAGCCAAGGCCCCAAGAGCTACAGGGCCCACAAGGAGCGCGAAAACATAACCAGCTATCATGCGAAGGCTTTGGAAACAGAGAAGCCTGCACCGGCACGACCTGTGGGTAGATCAGCAGCAATTAGCTCCCGCGGACGTGAACTGAACAGTCCGATACTGCATTTACTCCATCGTAATAGTAACATTTGTAAATACGACAAGGTTTATCAGCCAATCCAGTTGGCCAGATGCTGCATACCTACCTATGGATCTAGTGCGCAAGCTTAAGACGCCCGCATAAGGTGTGGAGGCCTTCCCCGTAGCGGGTTGAGGATTTCTGTTACGAGCGAGTAGAAGCGGTATACCACAACGCCTGCTAGGCTTTGGAATGCGCAGTCGCGTAGGATGATACCTGCAACTCAAAATTCATGGTGTCAGCATTGGCAGGAACGAGGCACGGCAGGCCCGCAGGCGAAGATAAGGGAGGTCAAGTTGGATGAGACTGATGGCTGGAAACAACAAAGAACCACGACTAAGCAAAGAGTATGGAATGGTGACGTTTCTGGCTTCCTACACTGTAGACGTCAGGTTAAGAAGGTAACATTGGGCTTGGTTCCCTACCGTTACAGTCTCGCCTGCCCCTGCCTTCGCGGCTGTCACAGTGCCTCCAAACACCCCAGATTTTCACCAGTGGGCTATTTTCCCACACTTCTTCCGCCTCTCCCTCAACTCAATCATCATGATGTATGCTCGTACATTGATGCGCACTGTGGTTAATGTTATGTCAGCATCCGACGTTGCCCCGATTCATGACCCGCAAACGCGCGTTTACTACCCAAGAGCGTATATTGAAGGAGCTTCTCTCTGGATAAGGCGTGCTCGGTCGTTTCTAGACCATCTGAACTGCATGACAACCGCGACAGGCCCAGGGTTCCTGCAAAGAGGTATTCTAGGGCATCGAAACCAAGTCATGTTACAGTCCGCTCATCCGGTCCTGCAAGTTCGGCGAGCAGGTCTGCGTGCAGTAGACGGATAGTAGCTCTTGGGAAGACTTGACCGACTGACAAGTTGAGAATCGAGAAGAGCTAGCGAGAGCTGTTTACTTGTACTAGTAGGCATGTAACCTAGAGGTAGGTATCCCACGTCTTGGGAGGTCCCTATCCCAAACCTTGCAAGAAGTCACTAAAAAGTGTACGCTATGGCCCGGCCCGCCCCTCCCTCTAACCACCAACGGCGGCGGCGCTTGCACATAGATTAGTTGCTTATCTCATGATTGGCTATGAAGCCAACGTTTTACTGTATCTCTCGGAAAAAGCCGTACAGGGTGTCCTCAAACTGTTAAAAACTCAACCCATGTTATACGAGCAGAATCCGTCCGTAGAATCCGTGTACTCATGCTCCTTGGGGGCTCAACGCTACCAGATCCCAACGCGCAGCCAACATAAATACGCGACTCGAACCCCCTGGTAACAACATGTCCTGACGAATCCTGTATTCGCGCACCGTCATGAACTTCTCGAAACCACTCACCACCAACCTACATACTTCCAAATGCACACTTTATCAAGTGGAAGTCTCACTGTACCCAAACAGTAAAACAAACCACCATCTCGCTCGCTACCGCAGTATAACCGTTTGTGGCTGTAACGCTCTCCCCTTCCAGCGTCACTGTCCACCGGCTGCCATGTTGCATGGCAGGGTCGAGTATCATACGAGGATGGCGGATGGACAAGGGTTCCCGAGAATGGGTGTAAGATGATTGGCTGGACCCCAAAGGGTGACGTTGATTTAAAGACTTTTATGACGGTGCGAATGAAACGTACTGTGTACAGTCAATTCTGTAAATCGGCAATTTACCGTCGTGGCTGTCTTGGTTAATGTGATGGTCGGATCGTTATACCGCGGTTATCGTTATGTCACGTAGTGTCGAGGATGCCAGGGTTGGCTCAGGGCAGGTACTTGGGTGCTGAAAAGTGGTGGTCAAGGTACATCTAGGGGGTGAGTGGTGATGTTTTCGAAGTCTGCAAACTAAAGGGTATAACGATTACCATCCCTTCAACGGTGAAAATTTATCTTTTTAGCGTCATGTACGTTTGGGGATATCCGATTTGCCTATTGGCCTGCAGGATACAATCTGAGCTCACAGATACCTCGGAAGCTCTAGCCTTGGTAGTATCCAATAATGCTGTAAGCGGATTGCTTAGCTGACAGCCCATGTAACCAAGTTCCTTGGGTATTCTGTGGGGCGCGTTAAAAAGATAACTTTTCACCGTTAAAGGGATACTGGATAGAGACAAGGTTTTGATCGTGATGCTAATAATAGCCGATACCCCATTACGCTGCTGAAAGCTCCAAACGAATGGAATGGGGGCGGTGACATTTGATCGTTATGTCCAGATTATCGTTGTACCTCTCTGATCGTGAATTGCCGACTTGACTTTATCTGTTGAGCAGGCCAGGACGAGCGGGTTGCGACGGGGTATGCCCTTTTCTCTTTGCATAAATAGACAGAGGTCAGACCTTTCTCCACGGTCATGACTTGGTCTGCGGTATAGCAAGCTCCTTCTCACGTTCCAAGAGTCAAGACTCAAGAGACAACCCGCAAAAGCCAGCCCACCATGTCTACGACTCTTCACAACAAGCCAATTCCGGCTCTAGGACGTCTTTGGTCCATGTTCGGCACCGGATCATGGCACCCAAGCAATCCAACCCCCAAACTCAAGTCGGATGATGACGACGTAGATTCCCGTTCCCCGGAATCCCTTACCCAGAAGCCCCTTCTCCCCGCTGGAAGCCTCATGGGGAACGTATCCGCCATGATCCGCATCATCTGGACCTTCACCAAGAACGACCTCTTCACCTTCTCCCTCCAATGCGTCCTCTTCGGCGTCGCCCTCTCCTTCGCCAAAGATGCAAGAACGGCACCCGACCCCCCCACGCTCAAGCAAGCCCTCTCCCGGCTCCCGGGTAGCTGTCTATTCCAGTTCATGAGCCAACTCCTTGTCAACCTCGACAACCAGCGTGAGCCTGCCTCTGTCGTTGAGGACAGCATCAACAAGCCATGGCGGCCCATTCCCTCGGGCATGATCACGCCCGACCAAACCCGCCGCCTGCTCCTTTGCCTGGTTCCCCTATACTTGGCCCTCGGCTATGCCCTGGGCGTTTGGAACATTGCATTGCTTATCGTCATCGCCGTCTTCATCTACAACGACCTCGGAGGCTCCGGCGAGCTTCTGGTGCGGGACATCGTGCTGGGTATCTCGTACATTATCTATCAGATGGGGCCGCTGCGAATTGCGCTCGGGTCGGGAGAGTACCGTGCCGACATGGCGGGGGATCTCGTCAGCCCGAGGGGATACGCGTGGGCGGCCATGAGCGGCTTGCTCGTCGTCACGACCGTGCCCATTCAGGACATCAAGGACCAGGAGGGCGACCGGCAGCGGGCGAACCGCAAGACGATGCCGCTGATCATTGGCGACGCGGCGACGCGCTATTACCTGGCCGTGACCATCCCGTTTTGGGCGGTGGTGGGAACGCTGTTTTGGGGGACGCCGGTCTGGTATGCGGTGCCTCTTGTGGCGTATGGGTTGTATATTTCGTGGCGGCTGCTGGCCAAGAGGAATCTGGTGGATGATGAGGCGAGTTGGAGGAACTGGACTCGGTGGCAGCTGCTTGCGTATGCGTTGCCTGCTGTGAGCGCACTGACAGAGTAAGCGGGGACAGTCCACGAGCGATAACCGTGGAGACTATCTACTGGGGGAAAATGACCGGAGAGGGACTTTAATGTTACGGAAAGGACAAAAGATTGGATCATGACATGGATGGAATAAATGAATGGAATGACTAGGAGGAATGAAAGGGGATCAGGAACATAACGATTAAAGATGACGAAATGGCTAAGAAAAGACAAACAAAGAATTCATGAAACCGTTCGAAAACGTGATGGAAGATGCGCATGCATTCCCGTCCAACTTGTTCACCTCAAAAGATCCGAGTGATTGGGGGAGAAGGCTCACCCAGTGTGTACTCCACCCAACGAAAAATGAATGACGCCACCCAGCAGTACTTTCCCCTACGACTGTTCTGGTGCGCTCCGACGGTTGATAGAAGATGATCAATTCGAGTGTCTGCTACCCATTTTCTCAGCGTTCTTCACTTGAAGTGAATGAGATGCAATACTAACAGCACTCGGCGCAACTCCGCTAGCAATCTGATAGTGGGATAGCTGACCAAGTAGACTAGGAGCAAGTCGCATGTCCGCTTGAAAGGAAAGGGCAAGACTGGCAAGGAGGGATGATGCTGGAGAGAAGCCCAAAAGCTCTCATTTGAAGGAAGAAGTCTAGGGAATGTCATCAAGCCCCGTGGGCGGTCAAAGGGAAGATATATCCTACTTGTGGGTTTTCGCAAGTCATCGCCGTACTGGCAAGGCCATTGTCATAGCCCAAGGAGGCTAAATGTTGTATCATCGAGGCGATCAAGGCGCTTGGCTGTGATTGAAGACATTGCTTGTTGACCAGGAGAGGTTGAGAATATCGCCGACCCAGACATTTGCCAATCTTTGAGATTAATAAAATAAAAGCCGTGAATTGTCAGAGGAGTCCAACGACGATATGTATAAATGTTTAAAAAGTTTTCACCCGTTGGAGTTGATGAAAAAGAGACGATGCGCTCGTGCAGGGTGGTTGTGATTGGCGATGTGTTGTTGCCGGTTTGCGAGAGAAGCACCTGCCTGGAATCGACGCGGGGAAATGTCGACAGATTGTTGGGGTGGAATGGGAGCAGCAATGTTTCTCCTCTAACAGTGAAACCGCGTAACTCTGTGGAGTCTTGATGGTGACATAACTGTTACCATGCATGGCCCATGCTCTCTGTACACTCATTGGCCCCCCCAGCGTTGCTTTCCTTTTGTTCTTGCTTCTACAATAACGTTGACCTCTCCTCGATCTTCATGCAGGCCAACAACTTCAGTTACCATCAGCCAAAGCCACGATGGACTGATCACTGCCCACTCGTCGTTGCGTTCCAATTTCGTACACTACGCAGTACTCGGGAATGATCGACGACACAGTGGATTCGCTCACGAGTCGCGCCGACGCGCCAGCTCAACAACTCACTAGCCATGGCATGCTTTCGCAACGCCGGGGTGCCAAGAGGCCATGATAAAAGGCCAACCGCGGCACGTCGCTAGTCTCCCCACGACACGCTACAATACCTACAAGATGGCCGACACCATAAAGAAGAACATCGCGGTAGTCGTGGGCGGCTACTCGGGCGAGTATGACGTATCCATCAGCACGGGTAATGCCATCTACGCCAACGTCGACCGTGCCAGATACAACCTCTACAAGATTGTCATCCCCCGCAACCCCAAGGCCGGCTGGTACCACTTGACCGACGATGACAAACAAATCCCCGTGGACCGCAACGACTTCAGCGTCACCCTCTCAACCGGCGAAAAGATCCAGTTCGACCTAGCCTACATCAGCATTCACGGCAACCCAGGCGAGAACGGCGTGCTGCAGGGCTACTTCGACATGCTCGGCCTCCCCTACACAAGCTGCGGCTTCTACACCTCGGCTCTAACCGCCAACAAGGGCCACTGCAACCCCGTAGTCCGCAGCTTCGGCATCGTGGAGGTGGCCAAGTCCCGCCTGCTTCATCGCAACCAAATCAGCGCCCTCGACCCTGAAGCTCTGCTGTTCGATTTTGAGCTGCCCGTCTTCGTCAAGCCCGCGTCGGGAGGCAGCAGCGTGGCCACTACCAAAGTCAAGAGCCGCGAGCAGGTGGTCCAAGCAGTCGAAGACGCCATGCGCGAGGACGGCAACGGCCAAGTGTTGGTGGAGGAGTTCATCGAGGGCCGCGAGTTCAACTGTGGCGTGATTCGCGATGCGGAAGGCTGGCTGCACGTGTTCCCCATTACCGAAGTTATCCCCCACGGCGACAGCGAGTACTTTGACTACAATGCCAAGTACAATGGGTCGTCGAGCAAGGTGACGCCTGCCGAGGTGGAGACGCAGGTCAGCGACCGCATCAAGGATGTATCGACGATGCTGTACGATCTCCTAGACTGTCGTGGCGTAGTACGCTTCGATTACAGGTATAACCCCGAGCTGACGGCGTTGTACTTCCTTGAAGTCAACACGATACCTGGCCAGACGCCGGAGAGCATAGTACCGCAGCAGGCGCGCGCCGCCGGTATTAGCACTGCTGACCTCTATCATATGGTGATCGAGTGTGCCCTGGCAGCGGCCTCGCGATGAGCTACGGATGGAGGACTGTAGATAGATTGATATTGGGCACGCAGGCAGTAGAGGACAGTTCTTGTGCTAGCCTACATCTCCCGCTTGTCATATTCACTTGCTCTCTTCGGCCCTCTGTTCTTACTCGGTTACATACCATTTCTGGGTATTTCCTTCTAATTATGACACGCTACACGTACTTTATTTGAGGCACGCCCTACACACGCCCACTCACCCTACAAGCTATTTTCCCCCCATGTGGGTTGATAACAGCTGATATTTTCGCCTGATGTCCATTTCATAATTTCATAGTTCTCACCCATAAAAACTCGATCCCCAAGTGCAAAGAGTGTCCATTTCCTTCCTCGATAGGTACCCATCTAACCCCCCAAAGCTACCTTCATGGTCCTTCCTTCCTTCTCTCCCATAGTCCCATAGTCCCATTCGCGCGTCAACACCAATCGAATCAATCCAGTCCAATCAGTCCAGTCCAGCTGGCTCCAAACCAACCTACCCACAACCCCATTCGTCCTCCATTATCCATCACATACCCCCTTCCCCCTCTTTATGTCCCGTCTACTCCATGACTACGCTACCGCTGTCATGTTCCAAAGCATGCATAAGGTAGTTAGGCCCTCATGCTACAATGATGGTTAAAAAAATACTGTCTCCCTCCCCCACATATCTAATGTGGTGATTTGGGGGAAGGGACAGTAATTTTTTTTTACTATGAGTTTACTGTAACTTCCCCTCGCACTTTTCTTTGCCGTTTGCGCACCACCAGCAAAGATCCTTTTCCGGGTCTTTATCGTCGCCCAGCTGCTTCTTACACTTGCACCACCAGAGGTCGTAGTGGGGACAGCGTTTCATATAGCGGGTTTCGGTCATGGTGGAGGGTATGGATGGTACGGTAGTAGAGTGATTGGATGATTGAAAGGTGTCGATGGGATAATCGTCGGTGTTTTATCTTATTTTGGCTTCGTTTGGTTTGGAGTATGGTACGCTTGTGTTGTTCTTGTCTTGTTGGACTTAATGTGCGGAATGGTCTCAACAACTGAGTCAGAGTGCCCTGGTCTTGATCTGGTCGAAGTTAAAGTTGAAGTCCTGCTTCTGCTTCTGCGTGCTACGGATGAAAGTGTTCACGGTTGACCATTCCATAGCGTTGACCGAGCATTAAATAGGTATGTACCTACTCTTGACTCCTTGCGCAAGATGAGACTAGCTAACCGCCCGACAGTGAGTGTTGTTCACTTCGATCATCTGAGAAGATTTGCCATTGTTCGACTTAATACCTATCAGTTGGCGACCTTCAGCCATGAAACCTTCATCAGCATCCGTCTGCCCAACAATGATGCTTTTTTCGATCATCTGAGATGTCAATAAATTCATTGTCTTGACAACCAACCATCGTGTGACGGTGAGACCATCATCAGGACTGACAAAGCGCTTATCGGGAATCCATCCACCGCGCATCCTGTCACCCATCCGTTCTGTTTCGTGCCTAGTGTACCTCTAGTGTACATCCTGCTTGGGTCCAGAAGGTCCTGCTGCCCGGAGGTCCTAGATCTAGGGCCTCGTTGAAGCGCTCACCTACCTACCTAATAAACCGGTGACGAAAGATGGGAATGGAGGTATGGAAGCCAACTGATGTTTCAAACACTTGCTTGACCACTGGAGAACCAACATAACCATTACCATTACCACAGCACAGCGTCACGATCATCTTCAAGCAGCACGAGAGACGTCCAGGGCTCCTCGGGATCCTCAACCAACTCCGCGGTGACATGAAATGATAGACTGTTGGGACCGACGTGGCGTTTTCATACCAGCGCCAACGTCATGTATTCTGAACGCCACCAACTACCATAGGTAGTTTGGTTGTTGTCAGAGAGGATATCATCGATCAGTCTCAGTCTTGACATCGCTGTTGGTGATAAGAAATCGACCCTTGAGATAATCGGGCATGAGAAACAACGATACCATCGGCTAAATCTCGTCAAAGGGAGATATGGCGCCTAAGTACGATGTGGTTGATCACCCACCAGAGGTAGAAAGACAGCAGCAGAAAAAAGAAACACTGTATTGCATGTACCTCGCCTCCCACCAAGGGCTCAGCTTTTTAACCACGCAAAACACAGGAAGGATACCATCGTTAGGTACGTTTACTCCGAAGAAATACCACCAAACACCCTCCGCTGAATCACAACCCTCACCTCCTCCTTCGGCTTCGCCGGCCCCGGACCACCCACCATCTCCGGTACCGTCCATTCACCACCCCCAGCAGGAGTAATATCCCACAGCATCACCAGCGCCGCGCCAATAGCCATGAGCTCCTTCTCCGCAAACACCCTTCCTCTGCACATACTCGCCCCGGCGCCCCACGGCCTCAGCTTTCCATACTTGGCAACCAATTTACCTGACGCGGGATCCATCTCGAGGAAGCGATCGGGGACGAACTTGTCTGGGTCAGGGTACAAGGACGGGTCCCGCTGGGAGAAGGAGTGGGGGACGGAGAGGAAGGTGCCTGGATAGAGCTTATGGGCATGGTTACCGTCTTGGACGGTAATGGGGCGTTTGACGAAGCGAGTTGACACTGCGCCGAATGCCAAGCGGAGAGTCTCTAGGATGATAGACTTTAGGAGTTGGCACTCGCGGGACAGGCCGGGAGTGTCAATTGCCGTGATGTCTTTTTTGTTGTGACGAGAGTCGGAGAGCGTGATGAACGGAGCAACTTCCCGGCGGAGGGTGTTTACCAGTCCTGGTGTGGAGTAGATGTACAAGATGAGCCAGAAGAGAACGGGTTGGGTGTTGGTGTTGCTTGCGAAGAGGACGAGCAGCTCGGAGGCGGCACGTTCTTGGTAAGACCACTTGTTCCGTTCGAGGGCGGTGTTGCGCTCTAGGACAACGTCACTGACGTCTGACATGTCAGCGCCGTCGTCAACCTTCTCTCCTTGTTGGAACTGGGTGACGCGGCGAGAAAAGGCTTCAACGCCGGCGAGCAGCCGTTTCCGAGCTTCTATGCCCTCCTTCATGACCTTGAACGGAACCCATGTTGGCATGTTGATGAACAGTAACGGAACAACGTGGTCGAACTTCCAGATGTCTTCCAGGAGGTGCGGGTTGCGATCCAGCAGGTCGTGTCCAAAGATGGGAGGGATGGTGAAGCAAGCACCAAAGTCCATAATCAGGGCTGAGAGATTGGCCTCGACCGCTTCGCCTTGTTTGATAACTTTGGTTGCGGCGCGGAGTTCCCATCTCTTCATCTTCTCCTTTTCCTGGCTGAAACTGACGAATTCGGACACAATCTTGGGAAGATTACCCCTCTCAAAGGCTGCAGTGGCACCGGCATCGTTGTTGAAGACCCTTTCAATCGGGGAATGCCAGGGTTTGAACGTACTTTCGACCTTCTTTCTCAGGGTTGGTGTGTCGGGAAACCCAAAGAAACGGAGAAAGAGGCCATATCCATGCCACTCAATGCTGAGGGCGTGGTTCATTTGAGATGAGAACAGGCGATCGACGTCTTCATACCCAATGAGAGTCTGATTGGCTGATGAGATGCCGTAGAATGAGCCACCATATCGTCGGATTGCAGAGCTAGGTGATGCATGTTAGCTAATATGATCGATCACGAGAACAAAGTTGGCATACTAGATTCGATAGACGATGCCGTTGCGTGCTCCATCCAGCAAGTACATGACAAGCCCCATTTCAATGGGTCCCCAAGCTGGCAACTCCTTGCGCCTGGTGGACTCATGTCGGAAGAGGAGTCTGTACAGGATGAAGGCGATGGAAATGGCGAGTGTCGCCTTGGTCGCCGTGCTCAAGTCATGATAGACGGTAAGAGCATGCTGTTCGATACTGTTCTCCACGGTCATGATGCTGTCAGGATTCTTCGTAGGCTATGATCTTGATTGAAGGAGCCGAGAAGAAGTGCTGGTGAGCCACCCCCCGGCCCAGGTGTATCGGTCGTCGCCATCGTTGCGGAAGCATGCTATATTCTTCCTGAGGTTTTCGTGCACAATAACAACAAGCAAACCTGGTTACGATTGTTGTTGTAGCTTGTAGGTAGTTAGGTAGGCGTTGCTCTGGTCAAGCCACAGAAAAAGGCCAATCATGTCGAAAGTCAGAGACAAAGCGACACGAGATGAAAAGGACAATCACAACAGGTGTGGCTGGTGCGGTGGTTTGGGAACTGGTAAAGTCCCGCGCTTTGCCAGTCTTTTTCGGACCCGGACCCGGGATCTTGATACCGGAAGACGTTGGGAATCAACGGTAGCGGAGCCGGGCGCGATGCGAAAATAATGGAGATTGCCTCGTGTCGCACGACAGTGGTGTAGTGGTGTCGTGTCTAACAGTGATGAGTGACACTTGTACCCATTTCTGTTAGTGCTCAAGTGACTGTGTTACAAGACCGATTGGTCCCTGGCGATCATCAGGAACACCATGGTTTGATGTTCGGCCATTTCAGTCTGGTCTCAATCAATACGAAGACCGATGAATGGGGAAAGGCAGAGCAGTTAGATGGAGAGAGGAAAGAAGCGAAAGGGTGCTGGGAGGGGTTCGAGAGAACAACGGGAAAAGGAGGTTTATGCTGCCTATAAAATGACATCATCCATCTACCGAATCAGATTGTCTGTTCTCTGTCACGACTTCCAATCGAAGAAGGCGCGCCAAACATCTTCCATTATTGAACCTGCGCATTCCCGCTCAAATGTCACACTCGGGGAAATTCCTCTTCATTAAGGGCTGTCCGACTTTGATGACAAGTGGTGACCACGGCAAATATGCCTTCAGCACTCCAACGCGAAGGCACGATATGGGCAATTAAAGAAGGCTATGCGCAGTCAACAACACACCAAGAAGGGACCATCTTCTGTCGGATTCAAGGGATAAAGAATCCCATGTCTCGCCCTCTTGAGATGCGTTTTTACATACCTGGAGCCGAGGAAGCTACGCCATGATCGGCAACTGGGCTACAGGTCCAGCCCAGCCATTCGCGTATTCAGCCATGTTTCCGTGACTAACCATTCAGAATCCAGGCTTCGACCCCAAGCAAGAAACGAGTCAAAAATATCATCGGCAGATGCGAGATACCCTCCATCATGTACAATTACATCACCGGTTCCCAAGCTCAACCATAACACGAGATTGGAAAAGCCGGCAGACATGCATTCTCATGATAAACAGCATTGGTTCCTGAGATGCCCGGGACACACCTCTTCGAGATGAAGGACCCTTATAACTAGCCTTCACTCACCTGTTATACTCGGGAGTCTTCACAACAGTCTTCACATCGCATAAAAAAGTGAGGAAGTGAGAGCACCAGGTCCGCGAGTCGAAATAAATTATCAGCCATGGCTCCCCTACCACTCCCACGCATACCCGCCTCAACGGGTGAGAAACTCGAAGACTTTGTCTTCAAACGGGTCGTATACCCAGCTCTCCAAGGAATCGAAGCCATCCACCCAACCAGAACTTTCAGCCCCATCACCCGGCGGCAAGATGCCCCACCCACCGCCACAGTAACCTTCGTCCAAGTCGACAACGACAACGACAACGACCCCGATGACGCACAAACCCTCAGCGGCGGCGCCATTGCCGGCATCGTCATCGGCTCCATCGTCGGCTTGCTTCTTCTCATCTGGATCATCCGCAGCTGCTTCAACCTGGGTGCTCCACCGACACACGGCAAGCGCAACAGCAAGGCTTGGTACGATGGCGTGAGGGATGAGTACCCGCCCAGACACGTGGGCGGGGTGAGACACTCACGGTCGAGGTCGAGGCATTCGCATAGCCGTCATCGAGGTCATTCTAGGCATCGGAGCCATTCGAGGAGGTCGTCTTCGATGCGCGAGGTGCCGGTTGTGGTGGCCTACCCGACTCATGTGTATGATGATCGGAGGGGGAGGAGCAGTAGGAGGAGTCGGAGTCGCAGTGTTAGTGTTTCGAGGTATTAAGGGGAAGAATGGAAGTTATTCGGGAGTATGGGAATGAGAACTCGACCGGGATGAGAGAGCATTGCGCCATGCGTAACGGATTGACGAGGCAACGAATTGATGACTGATTGATACGAACATATTCTTTCCTTTCTACCATATAAAATCCGGACAGCAGAACATGTAATCAATAATGAACAGACACTCGAGAAAATACACACCGGAAAAGCGAGTTTAATGCAATGAACCTAGAGATCTCGGGTTGTTTTCTGTTGATAAGTTCGCGGGCCACGATGTCTGTTATCATACGGTGCGCTAAGTACTTGACGATATTTCATGCTACCTGTGTACAATTATGATTTAATTCCTGTTGTGATCTTTTGTAGAGGTGACAAAGCTGGTGTCTTGGATAGAAGCCGGAACAGTCCTTCAATAACATCAATAAAGCGACTTTTCACTTAGACATGCGACGTTAGCAGGCGGCAGTGCGCTATGTGGAAACACTAACAGCGTCACTGGTGCATGATGTACACCTTTGACGCCGGCTTATCGGCTTATCGGCCGTCAAGGTTGCGTTCAGCCAGGAACAAACCCCGCCCTTCCGGCACCTTTTGGCAGGAAGCTCCACTCCGTGAGTCACTAACGCGGCAGGCGGTGTAAAATTATAGCGTGCGAGGGCAAGCATGCCACTTTCACGGTTGCGATCGATGGCGTCCCGTCTCCTCCGCGACCGGTTCAGTTGTCACTTTGACATCCATCCACTGACTCTTTCCACTTTCCTCTGTGCCAATTCCACTCAGAGAATCCCCTCCGTCCTGTTTCTGTTTCTGCCTTTTTTTGCTTAGACGTTACAGTTCAGTTGTTCAGGATGGCTGCCCTCGACATCAGGCCGTCCCTGGAGGACGCGCGCAAGCTCTTCGACCAGACATGCCAAGCATCAGCGACCTCGACAGCATCCCCAAGGCCCACCCTTCTCCCTCTCTGCATCTCCCTGCCTGCCGACCTCTTGACGCCCTCGGCCATCTACCTCAAGCTCTCCGCAGGGTGCGTCTTCCTCCCAAACCTCTCTCTCCCTCGCCTCGCCGTGTGTCCCGTTCCGAATAGCTCAATTGACTCACTCGGCTAGAGCGACAGCTGAATACTCGTTCCTCCTCGAGAGCGCCACTGGCAGCACCGAGACTGTCGGCCGCTACAGCTTCATTGGCGCCAACCCCCGAAAGGTCCTCGAGACCGGCCCCGGCTACCAAGATGTCGGCGATCCCATGAAGGCCCTTGAGCAGGAGCTCAGCCAGGACAAGGTCCTCAGCATCCCCTCCCTCCGACTCCCCAAGCTGACCGGCGGCGCTGTCGGCTACATCTCGTACGACTGCATCAAGTACTTCGAGCCCAGGACGGTCAAGGGTCGCGAACTCAAGGACAACCTACACATCCCCGAGGCCCTCTTCATGCTCTACGATACCATGGTTGCCTTCGACCACTTCTCCTCCGCCTTCACCGTCGTCACCCATGTCCGACTTCCCGAGGACCCCTCCGGCGACTTCGAGGCGGCCTACAACGCGGCTTGCGACAGCATTCGCTCGACACTCGAAGTGATCAACCAGCCAGAGACGCCGCTCCCGCCCAAGGACTCCAGCACACCCGCCGCCGATCAGACATTTGCTTCCAACGTTGGACGCCACGGTTACGAGACCTTTGTGACGGAGCTCAAGAAGAACATTGTCAAGGGTGACATCATCCAGGCCGTCCCATCCCAGCGCTTCTCTCGCAGCACCAGCCTGCACCCCTTCAACATTTACCGGACCCTGCGCACGCTCAACCCCTCGCCGTACCTCTTCTTCCTCTCGTGCTCCGACTTCCACATTGTTGGCGCCTCGCCCGAATGCTTGATGAAGACCGACGGATATGCCGACCTTCCTGCCGATACCCGTTTTGGCTATAGCGCTGCTGAGGCCCGCTCTCGTCCCAGGATCGTCAACCACGCCATTGCCGGTACCATCAAGCGTGGCCTCAACTCGGAGGAGGACGATGAGCTTGCGGCCGTGCTGCTGGCCTCAACCAAGGACCGCGCCGAGCACGTCATGTTGGTCGATCTGGCCCGCAACGATGTCAACCGTGTCTGCCACCCGTCTACCGTCAAGGTCGACCGCCTCATGCGCATCGACCGTTTCTCGCACGTCCAACATATCACCTCGGAGGTCTCCGGTCTGCTGCGCCCCGAGTGCACCCGTTGGGACGCTTTGCGCTCCATCTTCCCCGCCGGTACCGTGTCGGGCGCTCCCAAGATTCGTGCCATGGAGCTGATTTACGACTTGGAGAAGGAGAAGCGCGGCATCTACGCTGGTGCTGCCGGTTGGTTCGCCTATGATGTCATTCGCGTCGAAGGTGGCGAGGGTGATGCCCCTATTACCACTTTCTTGAGCGAGGGACAGATGGATACCTGCATTGCTATCCGTACCATGTTGGTCAAGAATAAGGTTGCCTACCTACAGGCGGGTGGTGGTATTGTGTTTGACAGTGAGAAGACGGAGGAGTGGATGGAGACCATGAACAAGTTGGCCGCCAACTTGCGCTGTATCGAACTGGCCGAGAAGTACTACGGCGAGAGTACGGGATCAAAGTCGGTGCAGGAAATTATTGAGGAGGAGAGGAAGAAGGGCGACGAGCAGTACAAGCTGCAGACTATGAGCGCTGGGGCGTAAGTGTGTAGTGTATTTGTGCGTGTTGAAGGCTGAGTCAAAACAGGATACCAGGTGAATCAATGTTTGAGCTGCAGGCTGAAGCCTTCCCATGATGTGGTCTGGGTGAAACTCGGTGTCCTTGTCTGTCAAGTCCACTGTTCCGTCTTACGTCCCACCCTGTCGGCGATAACTGTCCCTTGAGCATCAAGACACCCTTCCCTTCTCGGCCGCCGCCGATTTTTTTCTCCGGCCCTTATTTCCCCGACTGGCTAAAGCGGACCGGCCAACGGCCTCCCCATGCTAACACTCCGCTTTCCGGGGTATCTCTTTAAGCGTGAAACGCGCCATTTTTTTCCCGACAAGGGTTTGTGACCAATGATATTTCTTGAAGACCGAAATGTGACCCTTTGGTGACTTCAAGCTACCCTTCTAGTATCTAAGCTATGCGCTATAACTCTCCTAACAGAACCTCAAGCTGTTAAGACTTCAGAGGCTCACTCGTTTTTGTGGGCCGGGAAAAAAATGGCGCGTTTCACGCTTAAAGAGATACACTGTAAGCGCCCGTTTTCCCGCCGCACCGGGACCAAGCCGCTTTCAAAAGATAGTTAACGAGGCCGAGATATCGGAGACCTATAACCCTCCTATTCAGCGGCGGGTATTGCATCGATTAACGTATAGTAGAAGATCTCTTTGTTTTTTTAATTAACCCAAAAAAAAAGGTGTAAGGCGTTTGGAACGGTGACACTTTTTCGGGTACTACAGGGGCAATCAACGCAACTAGTGGTGCCACCTTTTTTTGTCAGGGCGAGCTTGTCACACGTGAGACCACATCACAGCCTGACATGGTGTACTGGCTCGGTGCCGCGACCGGGAATAGTGGGTCCCGGGTTTGAACGCGCCTTGGGTTGGCCACTCATTCGCGCCCATGATTCTATTCCGTTGTCAAACTCCATCTTCCATTCTCTGAACAACATGCAGCTACTGCATAGTAGTATCCAAACCAAAACATCTCCCCCTTTCTTTCACAACGTGGCAAGCCATTTGCCGCTCCATCCTCCATCGTCGAACACCCACCTAACCACGTCTTCACCCTGCCGTCCGGGGTCGCCATCATGGTCCGCACTCGAGCTCAGAGAGGTCAGCCCTTGACAGGAAACCGACCCCAGGGCATCCGCAAAAGCGCACCTCAAAAGCGCCGTCGCCTCCGAGACCCAGACCCAACAGACACGCCACAAGATCAAGCTGGATCAGATCAACTCAAAGTTCCGTCATCTCCAACGGGTGGGCCTCGAAAACGAAAGGTATGACAAGCCTGTCCTTCTTGTCATCTGTTAGCTAATTAGACTACAGGATCGACAAATATCCGTTGAGCGCAAAGACCAGAAGCCGTTACCTGCCATTGCAGATCCACCCAAGCACACTTCAGACGAACAATCTCGGAAACGCAGACGAACATCTCTTGACCAACAAGACCCTTCTCACCATTCTCTCCGTTCCGCACGCAACTCTCCGCCCCTCTCCAGGCCTCTCGAGCCCCCAGCTGTGCCAGATTTGCCAGTATCGCCGGCTCCCGTACCGGTTCCGGAAGAAGCCGCAAGTGGTGATACCGACGAGAGGCAATACATCATCGATTACTGGAGGAGAGAAGGCTCTTGGCCCAGGAAATATTTCGAACAGGACGACTACACCAGGAAAGATTTCGATAAGCTAATGGATTCAACTACAAGGGTTCAAAGCCTTCTATTCCCATGTTACGATCCAGTCGCAAGGCTTCGTTTCGCGGAGAAGGATGCCCCGGCATCTCTCAGCCGCAAACGATCTGGATCCAACAGTTCTACGCCAACTTCGATGCCGCCACCTTCCATGCCGTCACCTTCTACAACGATGGCGTCCAGCGATTGGAGACCAAGAGAAGAGAAGAGCGCCCCGTACCGGAGTGTCCAATACCAGTCCGTACTCGAGACCAAAGGTTCATACATGAAGACGTCACCGTTAGGTATCACGGATGAGAGTAGGAACCTTTGCAGGACCCTCCTCGACACTGAACAACCGGCTCCTAAAAATACACTCTTCGACGACGACATCTTTGAGAGTGTCTGCGAGAGTCTTGCGAACAAGAACGAGGCGACGGTTTTTCTAGATATTCTTCGGCTGATCGTTCCTTCGGCGGTGCATTACGCTCTTCGTGCCAAACACCTCGAACACCTCAATTACCTTACCGAAAGTGTGAATGAGGGCTGGAACAGATGTTTCCCCTTGACCGGCATTCGTCCTCAGCCCGATTACTCTGTTGGTTTCCAACGAGACGCCTTCACTCAGGACCAGATCGATAAACTCATGCCCTTTACTGGTGACATGGGATACCGGTCCCTTTTCAAGGCCACGTACCACATGTACTTTCCGTTCCTAACCTGTGAGATGAAGTGCGGCGCTGCGGCACTCGATATCGCAGACCGCCAGAATGCCCACAGTATGACACTTGCGGTGCGGGCCATCGTCGAGCTCTTTCGTATTGTAAAGCGCGAAGATGAAGTTAACCGGCAAATCCTTGCCTTCTCCGTCTCGCACGACCACCAATCTGTACGGATCTATGGCCATTACCCGGTCATAACAGACAAAGACACCAAATACTATCGACACCCAATCCACAAGTTCTACTTTACTGCGTTGGACGGCAAGGAGAAGTGGACAGCGTACCGATTCATCAAGAACATCTACGATATATGGGTGCCCGATCATTTCAAGAGGATTTGCTCTGCCATTGACCAGTTGCTGGTGCCAGATTCCGGAAATTCATCGCCTTCTGAGGCAACTGGACTTTCGCAGAATTTGGGAAATCTGATGCAGTCAGAGCAGCCCATGGCCACTTCATCGCAGAACTTGGGAAATCTGATGCAGTCAGAGCAGCCCATGGCCACTTCATCGCAGAACTTGGGAAATCCGATGCAGTCAGAGCAGCCCATAGCCACTCCACCGCATAACTTGAGAAATTTGGTGCAATCGGAACAGCCTACAGCCCCTCCATCGCAGGACGTGGGGAATCCGGTGCAGTCGGAGCAACCTACAGCGCCTCCATCGCAGGACGTGGGAAATACGCTGCAGTCGGAGCAACCTACGGCTACTCCAGACACTTCACGTACAGGACCGAAGGCGGCAAAGAGGAGGAAGGGTCAAGTCAAGACGTGAATACGTAGCATTGTTTTGGATATCACACAAGCCTTCGTGACGTGATGGTCAGTTGGTGCGTGCCCCCCCAATTATTCTCCTTCCCTTGAGTCACTGAAGTCGCCCGTCTCTTCAAGTTCCATCTCGAATTTAAATTCCCGAATGATTAGATGCTGGGAAGCTGCTGCTCTCCGGGCAGTTCAATTGCCACTGTCATTAGACATGAAAGCCATCATAGAGCCGTAGACGACAGCCCGAGAACGCTTCGTTCTTTGTAGCACCTACTTTTCAACATACATGCCTGACCTTTCGTTGTTGCCCGAGTCTAAGTAACTGAAGCAGGCCACTTCATTCTCCTAGAAGGCCCCGCCCGTCCAAGATAAATTACATACACGCAGGTAGGTACTGTAGTAACGTAGACTGCGGCCGGGTCAGACTAACGAAAACCACGATATCTTTTTTTTTCTTTCTTTTTTTCTTTTTTTCTTTTTTTTTTTTTTTCCAGGGGTCAGCGAGGGACGAGTTTAATGCCTAAACAGTCCTTAGAACGCACCGACGCACGTCATGATCTCATTTTCTCATTTTTCGAGCAAAAAGTTTACTGCCAGACGAAAAGGCATTATTACCCATTGACAATCCCCCCTCCCACTCAGACAAATCAGGAACACCCATCCATCGATTCCTGGCCACCGACCACCGACCACCAACCAGCAACTAGCAAGTATTATCCACCCACCCCCTTTGCGATCAATATCGGAGGGTCGACATCGCATACACTTTTACGTCCACTGACTATATGTGACCGAATGAATGAAATCGAAGCTACAGTACAGTAATTTACCTAATTAGTCCTTGGAATTGTGAAATTCTGTTGTTTTTGTCTGCCTTCGCTACTAGCAGATGCGATGCCGTTATCGCTGATGTACTGCAACTTTTCCGGCCAAACAGAGATCCTGCGATAGCAGCCCCGTGGTTAGTCTGTTTCCAGGCGCCCTGGTCCTAAGGTACCTTGACGGGTTATTGAGTGAATGGATTTTTAGGGAGATTCAGAGATAACTAGTTGGATATAATAGCAGGTGAACGATGTGTCTTTTTTTTACGTGCCATGTTTTAAGGTTAAACCCTTCTCCGTATACAGTCCAGTACTGGTTTGTTTGTTAGTTCGAGACCTCTTGTCAATATTCCTATACGTTCTTATGGCTAACTAATGTATAATCTTACTTTGGATACGCTATTTCTGATATTCAAAATGTTGGATTAAATCCAGCTAATGCCTTTCAATTCATTAGTATAGAGTTTAGGACTATTCGAAATAGATTTCGTCTAGTGCACTATGTATATTGTACTACCAGGAGTGTCTGGTGTACAAAGCTAATAAATAAACTAGTATCGGACTGTATACAGGATGTCCGAAGAAAGAAAATCTTCACCCCTCCGCCTGAGATGCCCTCTTTTTTTGCTTGCTCTGCAACCAACCGGCGAGATTCACCCAATATGCGGAACATACTTGGACCATGACGGCACTAAATATGCCGAGTCAGAGTCGGACAAGTGAACAAGGTTGATAAAGGAAGCAACCACGAGATAACCCCGTGCCAGGAAATACAGGGGTATAAAACAGAGCGTGATGATGTCAAAGATGAACCACAGTAGAAGAGCTAGAAGTATCGCTAGTATGACAGCCGCGAAAAATGCAAAAGTCAGGATATAAAATAGCGCAAACACCGTGGCAATGACAATGACAGAATGGAGACGCAGTGCACGAGTTGAGCAGAGATAGAAAGTTCCTCGCCACGACGATGGCCAGTCGGACTGGTCATACATAGCACGGTATTTTGCCTTCATTCTGTCAGTTAGCGACCGAAGCAAAATGCTTTCCATCCATTGATGATTGGCGATATAAGCTTCGAGCTTCGAGTAGCTCAGGGGCATGTTTAGTTTCTCCCATGGGCTTTCCAAAACTTCGAAGACACCTTCAACAAAGTATACGTAGCGAAAACGGGGATATTTCTTCCAAGCCGATAAGACCACCACAAAAACCCCGCTAGCGGCTATAGCCACACTGGAAAGCCGCCATAGGATTGTTGCTGCAGTTGACGTGAATGGAGCGTTCCACGCGAGACAATGAAGCGCCCCGTAAAGGAGGCTAACAAGCCCGAAGCCGAAGTAAAGTGATATATAGTGCTCGTAGTCTTCCAACCGCGGAAGGTTGCGTGCCCTGTCAACGAGCAAATCTGGAGGTATGTCTGAAAGGTCCCCACATGCCATTGCCAACTGCCATCTTCTCATGTCAGAGTGGTTGATATCAATGAAGGGCCGAGACACCAATGGAACTTGTGGCGGATTGGGCTGACGCTTGACTGTGCCTTGGTCGGGGAGTGGGATGTCAGGCAATTCGTCTGGAAGAGATTCCAGAACCGCGCCAATCTTCATTTTCCCCAAATCTTCTGATTTTCGCCACTTAGAATCCTCGCTTTCCTTGCCCGCCAACACTCAACACCTCCGTCGTCATTATATCAGTCCGGGCAATCAAGCATGAAAGAAACACCCACCATGCCAATCCAAAGTGCTTGCCTCCAAACCCATCCAAAGCCAGCGACAACAATCACCCCGTCGAGTCCCCTCTAGCTTCGTTCCACCACTCCTTCCATTCTACCTCGCCCCCCTTCTCCTCCTTCTCCCACCAGACAAACACCACAACCACAATCACAAGCAGGAAATTACAAGGTCAACAATGAAGCAGTCGTGATAATATTATTATTGACGATCATCTCTCTCCCTTCGCTAATCCACACACACAATGCTTTTAGGATATCTCATCCATCTCCTTCAGTCTCATAATCATGCAAACTTTTCCACACACGCTTCGCAAACCCGCCGGCTCCCATGACAAAACGCAGATATATGACGAGCAAAGGGAAATATGGTAGTGGTATGTACTTTTGGTGGTGTATGCAAAAAGCCTCCCCTGCCCCACCTGTAGATCCAGTGATTTCGAAGTTCCTTCCTTCCTTTTTAATTCTTTCGTAACTTCCTCCTCTCCCACCTCCACTTCAAGATTTTTGTATGTTCAGCTGAACTCTCAACATTCAGCAGCACCTCCTCTGACATCTAACAATTTCAATACAGAACTACACGACCATCAAACAACCTCCCTCTGACTAACCATACTCGCCCTCCCCGAGCTCAACCCGCTCGGCCCCGCCTCGGACCCTCCTCCCACCGTCGCAACCGTCAACCTCGACAAGTTCCTCACATTCTGCTGCGGCTGCGGCTTGCTCAGCCTCCTGCCCTGCCTCTGCCCCTGATAACTGCTCCGACTCCTCCTCGAGTTCCGATCCTCCCTGTACTCATCATCCAACGCCGCCTCGCTACCGCCATAGATGACCGTGCTCGCGTCGCCATCATAATCGCCTGTCTGCGTCGTCGTTCCCTGGCCGCTGAACCTCATCAACTCGCTCCTCCTGACGAGCGCCCGACGACGCATCACACCCGGGTCCCGACGCATCTTGGCCATGTGCCACTGCACCCAGTACATTTGCTCGTGCTCGCGCAGGTACCGCTCGCCGTGGAAGCCCTTGAGGACGACTTCTCTCGTCAACATGCCGAGCTTGCGACGGGCGTCCGTCTTCTCGTGCATGCGCTTGGTGAGGAAAGCGACGTCGGTGGGGGTCAGGGTATCAGGGAGCATGAGCGAGGGCAGGACGGAACCACGCTTGTCGACGTCGCCGGCAAACTTGGCCCAGGGACCGGCCATGGCGAGCATGGAGATCTGGGCGCGGGCGAGGCCGACAGGGTCGTTGGGCGGGACAACTTCGCCGTAGGCGACGGACGGGTTGTCGGGGTCAGTGAGGACGAGCGCAGTGGCGCCGACGGCAGTGGCGACGACAGGGACACCGGCTAGAGCAGCTTCACCAACGGCGAGCGGGAGACCTTCGGAAAGGGACGAGTTCATGAAGAGCCAGGCGTCCTTGAGAATCTCTTGAGGCTTGCCGAAGCCCTTGAGAATGACATGCTCGGTGAGCTTGCACCCCTCAATCAGCTTGGTCATATTGATGGCATACTCGGGCTCGCGGTCCTTGGCGCCGTAGATGAAGAGGCGGTACTCCTTGAAGCCGTACTGGTTGACGATGACGTCAGCAGCGCGGATGGCGGTGCGGATGTCCTTGATGAACTGCACATTGGACAGCATGACGACTGTAGGCGTGGTGGTGCGGACTTCATCGACGGGCTTGAAGGCATCCATGTTGCTGACACCATTGACAATGGGATCGATCTTGCGAGCAAACTTCTTCTCGTGCCCGATACGGTTCGTGTCGGTGCCGAGCGAGGTCTCCCAGATGGGATTGAAGAAGGACGTGCAAGGCAAGATGACATCGGCGTGGAAGTAGGCGAGCTTCATGGCCAGACCGATACCAGCGAGGACCATGGACTGGACAGGGATGGGCAAGGTCGACTGCGCAGGGCTGAGGTTGAGGCAGCACTCACGCCAGAGAATGGCATGATCCCAGATACCAAAGGTGGCACCGCGCTGGTACTTGAGGAACACACCGAACATGGAGCTGATACCGTGGTGCGTGCTCTGGAAGACCTTGGGGCAGTCCTCGGGGGTCTGGACGGCGTAGATGAAGAAGTATGAGGAGAAGATGGCGAGCGAGTCGCGGAAGTCCGACATGGTAGGCTGCTGAACCGCCAGGTTATCCTCGGGGTCAGTGATATCCGGATCATCGTACTTGATGAGCCAGGCCTCGGCCCACGCGGCAGCCACCTCCTTGGAGTTCCAAGTCTTGTTGTAATCCTTATGTTCAAAGTACTGGAACATATCCAGGATGGCATTGCTGTACCGATACATATCTGCCTTGGAGATATGACGCGAGCGCGCACCCTTGACGAAGAGACGGAGAAGCGGGATGAAGGTGTCAACGACGTCGCGATCAATGTCGGTGCGCACAATCTTGTCCTCGACCTGCATCTCAAGGAGGTTCTCAATGAGACCGTGGTTGGGAACACGACCGTCAAGACCCCAAAGGGGCACGACCTTGAGCGACTGAACGTTGCGTTCGACCTGGAAGCGCGGGATACCATACTCGTTGGCAGACTCAGCCAAGACGTGGTTGCGGATGGTAGTATGACCGTTGACAAGATCGCGACGGCAGTTGGAGACACCACCGGGAGACTCAGGCCAACACCCAATATCGTTGAAGATG